TAAAGTCTTGAGCAATGGTAAGTGGAGTACAACTAAGGAGCCTCCTGCTATGCCACCAACAACAGAATAAATCCTCCATGTTTCTTTAATACCTAGCCAATGAAAGAGGGGACACATGTCCCCACAGGATTGCCACACCTGCCGTATCTAGCAGTTTGGCACAGGAGGATCCTTGCAGTTTTAACAGTGCTACAACAGGAGGCAGCGAAGGGAGCAATGCCCACGCAAGGTGGCTTTCATCATATAAATATATTAAACTGACATATATCTATATATTTAATCACCATAAAATTCATGGGGGGTAAAAAGAATACCAGTATGCACACATACACTTGATCAAATGACCGAGAAGCAATACCAGTAAATACCAGAATACCAGTAAAATTACAGTACTTAGCCCGGGATAGTATGATGACAGCAAATGTAATCCTGTGTGTTGTGGGATGCCTATAATCTTATTCAGAAAAAATAAATAAATCCCCAAACCTGGGCTGGACACCATTATGAGCAAAAAGGCCAAGATGGTAGCTATCCTACAAAATAAATAGGCATTAAGACGGGCCTCCAGACATTTTTGAGACTACAATTCCCATCATCCCTGACCACTGGTCCTGCTAGCTAGGGATCATGGGAGTTGTAGGCGAAAAACATCTGGAGAGGCGAGGTTGAGGAAGCCTGCATTAAGTAATACAAGTCTGAGGAGAAGTGAAGCTGTTGTGTGCCTTTGTTGCTTAAAATTCAGGAAGGAAATTTAGGAAGATCTCCTTAAAACCAGGATTTCTTAATTTCAACCAGTTGCACCTAATGAGTGGCAGTTTCCCCTCATAACCAGTGCTACAAACTTCCAACTCAGACCAACCCTCCAGTGAGAAGCTCTCCAAAGATGTTTCTCCTGATATTCCCTCAGGCAAGGGTAAGTCCCTACAGCTGAGCCCAGCTGCATTCCTCTCATGGCTGAGATCGCTGGCAGTCCCACTAGTGAGGAAACACAGCTGTGGTAATTCCAGTCTTCAACAGAGAACATGTTAACCCTTGATTAGACTCAACACCTTGCTGAGGGGAAAAGGGACCCTTACTACTTGGCTTCTCAATAGTTTGACACCATGTATTTATTTGCTGAAGTATTTGCCTGTCTCTTCAGATTCCTGGTGAAAGCATGTTCTTCAAAAATAGCTCTAGGCCACATGTCTGCAACAGTTCCTTCCTGCAGCGGAACAGAGCTGCAAAAGAGGACAGATCGGCTGTACCTTTAATAGTTATGCAGAAGCTGGATTTTCTGCAGGTGTACTTACACCATTGCTAAAGGTACAGGAGCCCTGTCCTCCTTGATGTGCATCTGCCCAGCCTGTTTAGCTGTGGCCTCTTTTGTTTTCTGGGGCTTCCTGCTGTTTACAGCCAGTGCCAGATTTATGTATAAGCTAAACAAACTACAGCTTAGAGCCCCACTCTCTTGGGTCCCCCCAAAAAAATTGAAAGAAAAAAACCTGGATGTACATTTCCAAAATATAAGATAAAAAACAAATAAAATAAAACCTACATACAGCAACAGTGTTTTGTGTTGCATAGGCTCCTATAATGTAAACAATGGGCCCCACCTGCTGGCCTGCTCGCTAAAATATCACAATTACTTTGATAAAATACATATTTTGTTATTTGCAAATGGCTTTAGATACCTGTTAGGTCCATAAATTACCATATAGCATATATTCAACACAAAAAAGTGACAATTTGTTGTTGACAAAGGACAGCTGGACATATAAAGGGCCCCATTACCTTCAGTAGCTTAGGGCCTCATCAAACCTAAATCCAGCCCTGTCTACAGCTGTAGATATTCAGCACAATAAGCCTGCAGCTTACGCACATGTAACTTGTGCACATTCAGCTTTATGCTCTTGGCAAAAAAAATGAAAAGAAATTAAAAAGGGGTGGAGTTCTGGGGGGGAAATGACTTTAGCAGTTCCACCTGCCATTGCACCCAATGTGTTTTGACTATACACGGTTTTGGTTTTAGGCGCAATCTCTGGAACGTAACCCCTGTGTAAATTGTGGGCTTACTGTACGGTATGATGAGTTGAAGCTGAAGAACTTTATTTTCTGCTGAAACTCCAAAGCCTCTCTGATCAGCACCACCTTGTGGTCCCTGGGCTTATTCACAGCAGAAGTTACTCTGAAGAAGGAACGTGTTCTGTTTTTGTTTGTTATATCTTCTGGAGTCTTCAAGTAGCTGAGATATTACAGTTAAATTGCAGTGCAGAATGGCCATGGTTGGCAACAGAGAATAATTTTACAGATTCAGCACTTTGCATTATCTAAAGCAAACTGTTTTTCTTTTGAATCAGTTTAACTTTCTTTTTTGAGTGGACATACATTCTTCTGTTCTGAGGTTATAAGATCCTCGACCTTTTCATCATGCAACTAGCATGAATGATCACATGACTGAGAATGAGTGACAGGGCCTTCTCAGTGGTGGTGCTTCTTAGCCTTCCTTTTCTGTTATCTTTCAGACAGAAACAGAATACATTTTTGTTTAAGCACATCGATAATGCATAGTTCTACTGCAGTTGTAGCCATTTTAATTGCTGCTTTTTGGGTTTTTAATTCTCTGGTTTCAATATTGTATGCTTATTCTTCAATAGTTTCATTTAAGCACTTTTCTCTTTAGACATTATAACCCAACCCCACAGGTAGCATTTTGTAAGGTTGAGCAGTATTAAAACTGCACCCTGTCTCCATTGCCTTCTAGGAACTGGAGGGGAGAGCAGGAGCATTGTGGAGGCCCATTGGGCAGTTTAGAACTCGGAAAATTGGGAAATGGAGTTGGGAAAACCAGTTGATGAGGGAGGTTTGAGGAAGAGACATATGATAGCTGATGTCAAATACCCAGTTATCCTATAACTCCTTGTTGGTGAAGATTAGGAGGTTGCTGTTGACTGGGTTAGACTAAGAGGCTACTCTTTGTAAACGTCTTTCCACAAAAAGGTGACACCATCATTTTTTGTTTGCTTGTTTGGTTAATAATAATAATAATAATAATAATAATAATTTATTTGTACCCCACCCATCTGGCAGGGTTTCCCGAGCCACTCTGGGCGGCTTCCACAAAAACCAAAAATACACTAAAATATCACACATTAAAAACTTCCCTGAACAGGGCTGCCTTAAGGTGTCTTCTGAATGTCAGGTAGTTGTTTATCGCTTTGACATCTGATGGGAGGGCGTTCCACAGGGAGGGCGCCACTACCGAGAAGGCCCTCTGCCTGGTTCCCTGTAGCTTTGCTTCTCGCAATGAGGAAACCGCCAGAAGGCCCTCGGCGCTGGACCTCAGCGTCCGGGCAGAACGATGGGGGTGGAGACGCTCCTTCAGGTATACTGGGCCGAGGCCGTTTAGGGCTTTAAAGGTCAACATCAGCACTTTGAATTGTGCTCGGAAACATACTGGGAGCCAATGTAGGTCTTTCAAGACCGGTGTTATGTGGTCTCGGTGGCCGCCCCCAGTCACCAGTCTAGCTGCCGCATTCTGGATCAGTTGTAGTTTCCGGGTCACCTTCAAAGATAGCCCCACGTAGAGTGCATTGCAGTAGTCCAAGCGGGAGATAACTAGAGCATGCACCACTCTGGCGAGACAGTCCGCGGGCAGGTAGGGTCTCAGCCTGCGTACCAGGTGGAGTTGGTAGACAGCTGCCCTGGATACAGAATTGACCTGCGCCTCCATGGACAGCTGTGAGTCCAAAATGACTCCCAGGCTGCGCACCTGGTCCTTCAGGGGCACAGTTACCCCATTCAGGGTAAACTATCCAAGCAGCCAGAAGTACAACTGGAGGAGCTTTGGGGTTAGAGGCAGATTGTTCCCAACAGTTGGGCATGTTATAAGGTTTTTTTGGCTGGGGTGGAGGTTTACAGAATTTGGCTTTAAAAGCCATTTAGAGGATGGTGTAAGTCTCTCGAGTCTTTAAAAACTGTCATCAGGCACATTTAAGACCCCAGTGAAATATAATAATACCCTTTTAATAAACAATATTTGTTATTAGTTCATCCTGTGGCTAGTGTTGGTGTGTATATCCCATCTAAGTCTATCTCAAATCGAAGCTTCTAGAAGGCTTTAATAAGGGAATAGTGCCATTGGAAATGGGTCACATTGAGGAGCTCTGAGTTATGTGGCAAGGCGTTACATAGTGCAAATACCTAAACTTGTGCTTATAAAAAGTGAGTTGAGATAAAGGGAACCAATTTACCTATAGGTATAGTAACAGAGGGATTTGTATTTCCCCATACTGTACACAGAAATCGAGAGATGTTAAGGGATGAAGAAAGACGCCCTGTTTCCCCTCCCCAAACAAAGTATTTGAACTATATGCTCAATTTACTGCAGCCTGTTTTGTTATTGAAGATTCAGTGACCCTTGCTCATTAGATTATGATTATACAGATCTATTTTAGAATGCATTTACATGAGAATATAAAACACTAAGAGTCCAGCAAATGGCTTTATGCAGGTTTAGTCTGGATGACCCTTGAAGTTATGATTCTATGAAGACATATATGAACATGGTTAACAAGAAAGAAAAGTGACTGAAATATTAAAAATGCCATAAATAATAGTGTAATACTGACACCTACAGGATAGGTGTCATTACCTAGGTGTTTGCTGCATTGAACAGAGTGGCGGTCTAAACCTATACACGTTTATTCACCAATATTAAGTTGTCCGCAAAGGCTTTTAGTTTGAAAGACTGTTTTCCCAGTAATATCCCTTTAATTTCTTCTTCCCTTCTTATTTCCGAATTTAGTATTTCTAGTGTTAGTGTAAATAATAGAGGAGAGAGGGGGCAGCCTTGCCTTGTTCCTTTTTCTATAAAGAAATGAATTGTTTTTTCATTGTTTATGATTAAGCTGGCTTTTTCATAAATGGCTTTTATACCCCTATAGCATTCTCTCATTTCAGATAAGTTGATAACCTTTTTTAGGAATTACCAAGATAGATTATTCGATAACCTATACAACGTTTATTCAGATGCTAGCCCTACTATAGGCAGTGGATTTACATACACGCCCCATATGTGAAACATTGAAGCCTTAGATGGCAAAAGCTGCCCAAAGAGGCCAAATCTATTTTGGAGGAGCAACATTATCTGCCAGAATAAGAGATGTGAGCAATGTCGGGATTAATACAAGTGAGCTTTAGTCCTCATATTAGTTCAGTTTGTAATATATGCAGGTATGTCTATCAATCTATGATTGGGCTTATATAAGAAAAGGCGTTTAAAAAAAAACAGGGCAGGGGGGCAAATGGTGGAGAAGAATGTGACTTGCAACCAAATGTTGCAATGTATTCAAAAATTCCAGCCACTCCATTCCATTCCATTCTCTCTTCCCTCTGGTTTCTTCCAGTAGTCAGTCACAAGTTAAATTCTGTGTCCATTGACCATGCTCAGTCCTCACTGGGCTGTTTTGTGCCTCTTCTTAAGGTTCGCCTGCACCCAAAAGATTTTTGTACTACTTTTACATGCCTCTTATGTGTGAATGGTGCTGTTTTGGCTACATGAGGATCAGCACTTAGATAATGAGTTTGCTAATAGTATAGTATATGGGATAATTAGGGAATGACAATTCTCAATTTTGTTTCCTCTCAGTTTCTAATTTTTCTAGTCTTAAATTCACTCCACATTTCTGCATCAGCTTGTGAATTTTTTTTAATGCCAATTCATCAGAATTTTAGTGCAAATTTCTCCCAATATACACATTTTGGTATGCAGTTTTGCATGATGTCGACATTTTTAAAAGCAATTTCCCCAATATAATGCATTTGATATGTTATTTTCACACTTTCCCCGATATGCACATTTATGAATACAGTACATTATTTGGCAGAAGAACTGCAGCACAAAATTCAGAGAAGTACAAATTACAAATGACAACTATGTTTCAGTTCATGTATGGTTTTGGAAACTACAAATTAGATAGGTTCACATTAAAATCCTAATCATATTTAATTTCTCCCACTCTCCTATGGGTGGTACAGCTCTGCCGTTCAGCTCATACCAATTTAGGATTTATCTTCATCCCTTAATTATCCCTATCAAATACCTTTCCATTTTCCTTTGGTAATATCCAAGGAAATATATTCTGTGACATTCCTGGTCAGGTGAACCAGTGCTGAACTTCTCTTTGTTGTCCTGGGACACTCCATTCTCTTATAGGCTTTCCGTGTTCACGGTTCAGGTGACCCCCAAATATTTCATTAATCCAGCAGATTATAATATAAAAATCAGACCACCAAGATCAAATTCTTATTTTATATAGATAGATAGATAGATAGATAGATATAATACTATTAATGAATGGAATGTTATTTCTTACAACAAAAGAGAACAAAATTTAAATGCTATTTACCCTTTTTTTCTCTGCTTCCTCTTCAAAAGTAAACTAAGTAGGTACCAACCAACAATAAAATTAATAATTAAAAAAGTGAACAGAAAAGCAGAAAATATAAGAAGCAAGCAGATAAATAGCATAGCCAAACAGAAAAAGAAAAGCTGTTCTGAATATACATGCACTGGATTGTGTTGTAAATTAGCTGCATTTAAATCAGGGGGACTTAAATCATGACTAAGTTTGGATCCAATACAATAGAGAGGAACACAGGAAAGGGGGGGAAATAACAGACTTACAAAATGAAGTACAAGACAGAAATTAACTAAACTGACTGCAGAAGCCTCTTATGTCGACTCAGTCAGGGTTGGTTTTGTGAAAAATATACTTTGTCTTTGCAATGGGACACGTGACATACAAGATGCTTAAAGCAAAGATAATGAAATTGCCATATGCTGTGCAACAGGTTGTGGTATAATCAAATCATATTATATTCATGAATTGGTTATTTGGACTGGCAGAAGGGAATATCCAATTATTAGTTAGCAAAATCTACCAGCCCAGTTAGCAGTCGACTCCTCCCTCTTCCTCTGCAAAGATAAACTAAAATGACCTTTATTAGAAAAATATTTTTGCCTATGTATGTCTATGGCAGGGATGGGGAACCTGTGGCCCTCTAGATATTGTTGGACTCCAATTCCCATCAACTCAAGCCAGCATGGTAAATTGCCAGGGATGATAGGGGCTGTAGTCTAACAACATCTGTAGGGCCAAAGGTGCCTCATCCCTGGCTTTTATGCTTAAAGCTCAATCATTCTAATATAAAGCTTCTATTGCCCAAGGAAGTGACATTGGTTCAGCTATTGCCCCATCTGGCTGTACTACAGATTGAGGAGACATCCTTGTCCTTCAGGGCAAAGAGGAGGAAAAAGGGTTGTATCTACAGCCAGCCACAATCAAATATATCCATTGAAATTATTAACTTGGGGTCATCAAATTCAACAAGTCTGCTCTGAGTAAAATTTAGTTGGATACAACCAAATACTATATCTGGTGTTAGGATAAAATGCCATGTGTCTCTTGCTGCTATAGACAAAGGAGAGGTCAAATTAAATTTACAGTGCTGTACAACAGAATGTATTTTCAAAGAGGGTTAAATAATTTCTATGTCACAGGCTATCAAGCCTCCAATGGAAAACCCCAAGTAAAAAGATACTCTTTCTACACTCCGACCGCTCTTCAGCTGGCCTAAGAAAACAGGCCATGCTGGTATTCTAATGTCTTCATCAATACCGTAATCAACATAGACGATATTATCTTCAGCCTTCCCATTCAGCCGAAGCAAAAGATGTTTGGCGTCCTCTGTTTTCCATATCTCTCCAGTCTGCCACAGGGAACTCAGCTCATCATTCATCTTTTGCCTTGACTTGCCCCTACTCTTAGCAGTAACAGACTGATCAATTTTTCCTTTGTGAATAAATTTGCTCAGATTGCTTCCTTTTCCAAGGTAGAAAAATGCTATAGGTTGTTTGGAACGGCACATTTGCCAGTACTGCCTATTAAATGCCTTCTTCAAAGAATTGATATATTTTCCCATTTGTTTGGAATCTTTATCTAATTGCTTTTGATTTTCAGGCCAGAATAATAAAGAAGCCAAGAAGTATGGTTCTGCAAATCGATAATCTAGACCTACTGACTGTAAAATTGTTCTAAGCTGTTCTTTCAGTTCTAGAAAAGATGGTACCATCTTGGATTTTGGATTGAGGCAATGGAGAACAATGTTGGCCAAAATAAAATTCAGTTTGTACCTCTGCAAAGATTTGCTAGAGCTCTGATCAAGCAAAAGTGTATACTGTTTCACTACGTCCTCAATTTTGCTTATAGCATTTTCATGATTGCTGAGATGTTCCAAAATTCCAGAAAACTTGTCAGCTTTGGAAGCTTCTAAACTCTTCTTGTAATTTTCCACCTGCAAAGATGAACTCAGTTTTGAGTTCATTAGCCAGTCTGAATCAGAGTGGCAAAATGTTTCGGCATACTTGTTGAAAACTTCTTGTACCTTTCTCCGTATTTTGAGCTCCACAATTTCTTTTTCAGGATTTTTTGGCTTCAAAAAAACAAAGTAGTTCTCGAAAAAATCAAATGCTTTTTTCAAATTTGTGTGCAGATTACTTAGATAACTAGCATATTCTTCCAGTGTCAATCTGTATTCTTCATTCTCTGTATCACCCGGGACTTTTGGAATACCCCCATTTCCTGACAAAAACTGTATTATGTGTTTTCTAGAGAGTTCATCTTTTTTGCTGAACAGAGGTATGGATTCAATCATTTCTATAGCATATAGACCAGTTTCTATTTCTCCAAGGTAACCAGATGTATTATATGTTTCATATTTTCTCTTATATTTTATACTCTGAAAACATTCTTTTTCGCTGTCTTTATTTTCTGTTTGTTCTTGAGATTCTTTAAATGCCTCTGAGGCACACTTTGCAAGATTCAACAAACGTTTCAGAATTTCAACCGTTATAGATTTCTCTGCATTTTCTTCTAGGCAATGCTTTATTTCACTTTTATAAACTTGACCCAAAGTGTCTGATATATATGAGTTGTTAGGGGCACCTTTTTTAGCTTTTCTAGCCCACTCTAGTGCACGATTAAAGTTTTTCTCCTTGATGTAGAAATGCCTTGCTAAGGCTTGGCTGATAAATACATTTTGACTAAATCTGCAGGTTGCCTCAGTCAACACCCTTTCAACTTCAACACTCCTCTCTTCTTTTTGAATTGCTTCGATTAATGGAGAAAACAAAGTGTCTGTGTCATCTCCATGTTCCTTTCGGTGCCTTATAAGCAGCATGCTTTGAACATCCTGCTGAAGTTTGTCTCTCCCTATGCCCATGTCATAAAATAAATTCTCTCTTAACAACAAGAGTGTAATCTTACTTTTTGTTAGTTTGTAAGTTTGTTTAAATTCCTCTAAGCATTGTCCAGCAATCAATGAATGACTAATACGTACCCCTTTGTATCGCCCACGTTCTTGCACTTCAGTCTGTATTATAATGTTGGAGCAGTTTCCCATCTTGTCATCCAGGTTTTCTGTACCCCAGTAAGCCTTTTTAGTACTTATTCCCAAAAATTCCTCGCATTGTGATACTGAAATCGTGGACTCAGTGACGTAAGAATTTAACAGTGCCAGAAAGGAAATAAGTTGAGCTTGCTTACTGCTAACATCCAAACCTTTTAGAGTGTTCTTAACTACATTCTCTATGTACTGCTGGTCAAAATTTCTTTTCATAATCATAAATGAGTAAAAATCTTCAGGATGATCATACTGCTCTTCAATTTCTTTCAGTTTTTCCTCAAAAGCCCTTTGTTCTTTCGGACTTAGTTTTTGTTTCAGTGCAATACTGTTCAAGCTGTTGCTTTTTGAGCTTTCCCCAGGATTCTGGGATCTCATGCAATTTAAGATTATAACTATAGGATTTTCATATTGAATACCCTTTTCTGCTATGACAGACTGCATAGCATGCTGTAGAAGGTAAACATTTTCTTGCTCTTCAAAGTCATCTACAAGTAGCAGTATTGGCAAATAATCAAACTTGTTTGATGTCCCATATGTAAGTAATGTGGTCAATTGTGTTGCAATTTCTGCAAAATCAACTGTTTTATTTTTCAGAACGGCACATCTAAATTTCTTTCTCAGTTCCCAGAGAATATGCATGGCTAAAGTAGTACCACCACAACCCGGATGATGATAAAGGTTGATAATTTTTGTGGGCGACTGTTTAGGAGACTGAGATCCTCTTTCAATCAGATCTTCAAGCGTTTCATATGCATCCCGTTTAATAAAAGGTAAACAGTAGTTTTCAGAGGAGAAATAGAAATTCCACCAAGACACTTTCCCACCACGATAAAAATGCTCTTCTTGGGATTTTTTAAATTCATAAAATTTTTCTTTGTTTTTCTCAATTTCTGTGTCCTTGCATTCATTTTCACATAGTATTTCCAGTGCAGTCATAAAGTCTTCTTCTTTCTTTGAGAGAATTGTAAAGGAACCCCCCTTTGATGGCAAAAGTCTCTGAGAAGTTTGGGTCACTGATTTTAGTTTTTGGATAGTACCATTCACCATTGGTAGGCTCAATTGAGATATGCACCTATCTGCTAGTGTGTCTGATTCAATAAATCTGGCTCGCAGGAGATCTCTCCAGCAAGGGTATGTTTGTGCCCCAATACATATACACAGCATATCATCAAGTCCATTAAGTTCTTGATAAAAAGCACAGAAAGCTTCTATCATGGGATCACCTGGATCCTCCACTTTTGACAGCATGAGAAACACCACCAAAAATTTTCCTCTTTGCATTATATCTGGATGGGATAGAAATGAGATCAGTTTCCTAACCTCAGCTGCCTTCTGCTGCTGCCAGAGTTTAGGACTCAAGGGTTGATATGCTTCACTGTTCAAGTCTGACCTACCGTTGCAGAAAATCCAACTTGGCTGCTGATAGAGATTAAGTTCTTCAATTGTTTCAGAAGTTGAATTCCCAGGCTTCTGGTACTGCTTTGGAAAATGAAGGTTTGCAGCTCTGTCTTCTCTGAATGCTTTGACGACACCATTGCTTGCTGATTCCGGATCAAACTCTAGAACAGCAAATAACTTTATTTCCTGCAAGAAGTTTATATGCTGTGTCTGATGTGGATGACATTTGTTTGTGACTAAAATATACCAGTCATAATGGGAGTTATCTAGTAAGTCTCTGTTGCCTGTGAGCAAGCTCACCAGCTTACGACCTTCCCCATCTATATTCCTCCTTTTTTCTCCATGTTTTTCCTCAGCTTCTTTTCTGTCCTCTGCTAATTTCTCCAGTTTGACCAAAAATGATTTATGTTCTGTTTTATCATTAGATTTTAAGAGGTTTTTGGAAGATGCACCATCTCTTATAAACAAACATGGATCCCATTTTTTAGTCTTAAAACTGTAGTTCTTAGTAGGGAAATATTTAGATAGGCAACTAGAGTACTTTGGAACCACATCAACTTCAATAACAAATGTTTCTGATGGGATGCTGTTTTGTTGCAATACTTCCACAAACCTAGGTTTCCTAATGCAATCTTTTGCAACACCAATGACAGCATCTCCAAAGTATTTGTTTATTAACTCAAAATAGCTAATATATTTCTCTTTATTTTGAACTTTTACTCCAATAATTTCTCCATGTGGCTTGTCCCGGACTCCCAAGTGGATAGTACCATTGGTGCGAGAGTTCATGCATGCTGCAGCAAATCTGAAAACCTCATTGCAAAATTTCATCTTCATATCCTCCTCTGTTGCATTTTCTGTATTTGTAAAGAGTTTAAATTCATGGACTGGATCAATAAGATTGAGGGGACCTGTTTCAGGTATATGAAGGACATAATGTTGAATATAACGATGGCTAATGTGAAACTCATCAAAAGGGTAGGGTAGACAAGTTTGTCTAGTTGGAAGCTGGTTATTTCCATTTCCTTGGTGAGCCATATCTTTTCTTGTTTCTTCAAGTACAGATTCTGGTGGCTCAGTGGATTTAGATCTTGCAAACGCTGGTGACGCATCAGCACCGGCTGAATTCTCTTTGCTATTTTCTTTCATTGCACCTGCATCTTCACTTTTAATTGAAGAGTCAGTATCAAAAGGCCTTGCGCTACATTCTTGCCCAGAAGAATTGCTAGGGCTTTCACCTGGAACATCCTTTTTTCCCAGTGCTTGCATTATTTGGCAAGCTGGGCCATGGGTTATACCCATTTCTGTGAGGTCTTGCTTGGTTAAAATCTTCAAAATGGCGCCTGACACATCTTGATGAAGAAGGATGTCGCCATGTTTCTCCTCAAGCTTAAGTTCATTTGTCACCCATTGTTTTACGTGTTCCTTAGTCCAGTCCTCAATTTTTTCAGGCAAATCTAGCTGGTTGCTTTTCTTGATATTTTTAGCCCTTTTAAGAAAAAAAAAAAGCAATACACCGTGTTAATGAAAACAAACCCTTTCTTTCTACACTACATTCAACATTTTGCAAACACCCCTTCATCTGCATCAGTGTTATTTAACTTTGATTCTCTTCATGTGAATGGACTATACTGCCCATCATCCTGTTGGAGATGAATAGAGTTGTCCAATCTTTAGCGACCCAAGGTCAAAGAACACTGTTCTACACAATCCTGTCCTATGTCTTGCACCACACATCTAAAAAGATTTAAATGGATAGGCTTCTATTTAGTGGGAAGGAAGTTTACATTTTGGAGATCAAACTCAGATTTTTCAGTGAAGTTAATTTGAAAACCCTGATGATTAAATCTCGTTATAACAAAGGGTTGCCATATTTCAAAAAGTGGAAATACAGACACAAAAGTTGTTGAGCTTTTTTGAGCAAAGTTTATGAGTTATGTCCAGGAAATTTCAGACATATGGCAACCCTATATAACCTCCCAAATCACTTGCTATATTTTTGTTCATTTTAATTCAGCTTACCTTTTCTTCCCCATATTTGAGTTCTGTCAGTGTGCTGTCTAGTTGGTCTTCCTTATTAAAATGACATCTGAAAGCTGGAATACCCAAACCAAGAAACATTTACTCATTTTCAGATAGCGGCTGTATAATTTAATCAAGAAGAAATAATACAACATATAGAAGATAATCAAACCCTTACTTTATGTGGCTTAGGAATATGTCCATCCACTTCCACATTAATTAAAAATAAAATAAACTTCCTATGTTTACATGGGCCTTCCACTGATTTGTCATTTACCACTAATGGAATGTTAGTGAAAAAAGGTGAGATGTGAGAAAATAATGAATCAGAAGACAGGAAAATGTAGAGATCTAGAGGAATCAAAAATACTGCATCTCATAGTTAGAAGTCACTTGCTTTCTTTTGCTTAATTTTATTTTTGCTGAACTCCATTTCCCCCCAATATATTTTTGTTTGGTCCAAGTCCTTTGGAGCCCAGCTTGCCTTTTTGCCTTCTTTGTTTTAGAGAAGGGATTTCTTGCTTTGAGCATATTCCACCCTCAGATTTGTTCTTAGCCATTTTCTCTGAGTCAGCCTTTTGAGGCCAGATATTTGACTCATTCTGTGCTATAAATCAATGCATTTTTATTTTACATTCTGTTTATTCCCTTGCACGGCTTAGACCATTCCAATTTTAAACATTTTCCCTCAATTTTTACCTGAAATGATTTCCCATTTGGACCATTCTGGGTCTCCTATACACTAGATCAGAGGTTCTCAACCCTTGACCAACTACATTCTTTCTGTGGTTCCCCTGTGGAATACTTGGCAAAAACTTGTGTTGTTTCATCATTTAGCGGTTTTGCCTATGATTTCTTTTCAAGGCTTAAAATTTAAGCAGTAGAGCTTTGAAAAGGCATTTAAAAAATAATGAGTCATTTATTGCCCTGCTAAATGTTGCTTTTGTAAGTTGGGGAAAGATGAAAACAAATTTTCTTAATAATAATAATAATAATAAAATTTGGAAAAAATATACCAAATATAATTCACTATTTTGCAGCAGCCAACATACTTTACAATTCTTAATCTAAATTTGGTCATTCTTGCAACCATCTTGTGATGGTTCAGAGCAGGGACAGTGGAGAGTGGACTTGCTGCAGGCTGCTCAGTCAGTTTCATGAAAATTGATTCCAGGAGTCTTGTATTCAGACTACACATTGCCCACTTCTCTATACCATACTGTGACCTAGAGCACAGATTGCAACCACTATGGCGTGCCGATCGGAAGAAGCGCAGTTTGAATCCCCATGATGGAGTGAGCTCCCTTTGCTCTGTCCCAGGTCCTGCCAACCTAGCAGTTCGAAAGCACACCAGTGCAAGTAGATAAATAGGTACTGCTTCAGTGGGAAGGTAAACGGCGTTTCTGTGCACTCTGGTTTCCGTCACGGTGTTCCGTTGTGCCAGAAGCGGTTTAGTCATGCTGGCCACATGACCTGGAAAGCTGTTTGTGTACAAACGCCGGCTCCCTCCGCCTGAAAGCAAGATGAGCATCGCTACTCCATAGTCGCCTTTGATTGGACTTAACCGTCCAGGGGTCTTTTACCTTTTTACTTTGGAGAAGATACGAAACAGGCTTCTAACAGAGTCCAAAATGCTAGAAAATCACTCTCACTCTCTCCTCCCTTTCCTCCCCCCCCCATTTTTTTAAAAAAATGTGAACCACCTTCTCGGTTGTCATTTTTGGGCATTATATCTGCAAAGATGGAAGTAATTTCCTCCCCAGAAATCCTGCAGCAATTTCCAATCAGAAAAGTGCACTTTGAAAAGCGGAAAAACATCTCAAACCAAAGGGATGCTTTTGCATTCTCCCTTCCCTCACTGATTGTTCTCAAAATTGTGGGGCGCAGCCTGGGCCCCTTAGAGTTGGTGATGCACCAACCCTAAACTCTCCCAGACAACTTCCAACTTGAGCATGATCTACCCACATGTGACCACACAGACATGCGGTGCCTGGCACTGGCGGAGGAACGGGGGTGCAGAGGGAGCGGACCGCCCCCAGCACCACTATTCTGGTAGGGTGCCATTGCGGTGCCCCCGACACACACCGTGCACCCTCTGCATGCCGGGCACCACGCCCCCACAGGCAGCACGTCACGCCCAGAGAATGTGCGCCACACCCCTGCAGGCGGTGTGTCACACGCCTGGGGTGCTTGCCACGCCTCCAGGTTGCGCCAGCCACGCCCCTGTCTGCTCTCTGCCCCCGGTAATGAAGCATGCAGCTTCACCACTGGTGCCTGGAACCTGGAAGTGGGGAGCACCCTGGAGAGTCCTAGTGGCTTGCGAGAAGACGCTCCCCAGAGGCTAAAGAGGACATCCCCTCATAAGCCACTAGGGCTCTCCAGGGTGCTCCTCACTTGTGCACATTTCACTGATGCATGTGGGGGCTTGGAATGTGACCCCTGCATAAGTTGGCTGTAGTAGCCTTTTTTTATCTAACCACAAAGCCATGTCTCCCTCTCCCAGTATTTTGCTTCCAGTGGAGGGCAGTTACATAGTTTTATCTCTGGGGAGCTGGGATCTAAGGCATCAGCCACGGCCCACTGGCTGAGGATCATTGCACTAGATAATAAAATTGTAGATCCTAGGTTCCATCTTTCTCAATTTCCCCCATTAGTCTGCAGAAACCATAGTTCTTCGGATCCCTGCTTGGATTGGTAGCTACAACCTCCCACCCCAATGTTTAAGCTATAAGACTGGGAATTCAGTAAGCTTTTAACTTGGTGGAAATTTTGGGAAGATATAATTTAGGGCTTAGTAAGATAAATTTGCTTTGGGTAGCTGTTTGGCTATTTATTTTTATTTTCCAATATTTCACTTATTGCAGAGTTTACATTTCCATCATTTCTGTACATTAAAAAAAAATAAAATAATAATAATTGTTGATCTGACTCAAGTGCTTTGTGGGATGGAGGGGTGCTGCTATACTAGTTTTCCAACAGGTGGGTTGCTATTGCATACCAGGAAGGGAGGAGGGTGAGGTGGCAAGGAGCGATGGACTGACAGAAGCACTAGTCTGGCCCTGCTGGTGCATTTGCACTTGCATGTGTCTCAGCCCATTCTGACATTCATTCACACGTTCATCTGGCATATTGTGTTCCGCTGCAATTAATCTATTTTGCACAAGTCTTTCTTCTTCTGCTATGTGGAAATGTAATCTCTAATGTGGAAATACACACCTCATACTTCGCAATAGACATGCATATTTTACAAATCAGCTGCCTTGCCTGGATATTTACAAATCAGCTGCCTTGCCTGTGTGATCTCTTTCAACGTTAACAAATTTCCAGAGGAGCAATCCTGTTATTCTGTGGCAAAACGAACCAAGTGCCTTGCAGCACCTTAACGACAAAGTTGATGAAGTAGCTAACAAGTAATCACAAAGCTGCTATGGCTAAAATTCAAAGCGTTTCTAGTCAGCACCTTAGTTCTCGAATGAAATCCGTTCCGGAAGTCCGTTCAACTTCCAAAAACTTTTGAAAACCAAGGTGCGGCTTCTGCTGGCTTGCAGGAGCTTCCTGCACTCAAGCGGAAGCCGTGGAAGCAGGGTCAGATATTTGGGTTCCAAAGAACATTCACAAACCGGAACACTCACTTCTGGGTTTGTGGCATTCGGGAGCCAAACGTTTGAGTTGCAAGGCTTTTGACAACCAAGGTACAACTGTACTCTTAGGGTGCAATCCTAAACCCACTGACGTACAGTGGTACCTCTGGATACGAACAGGATCCGTTCCGGAGCACCGTTCGCATCCAGAGCAGAACGCAACCCGCGTCTGTGCATCTGCGTGTGCACGGATCGCAATTCGACGCTTCCGCGCATGCGCGTGACGTCATTTTGAGTGTCTGCACATGCGGCGAAACCTGGAAGTAACCCGTTCCGTTACTTCCGGGTCGCCGCGGAGCACAACCCGAAAACGCTCAACCCGAAGCCACTTCAACCCGAGGCATGACTATATGTCTAACTTTTTCAATAACAGAAAATCTGACACATGGGACTGTATGATGTCACATCCTCTAAACTTTTGTGGCGGGAGAAAGAACTTCTTACGTTGCTATTGTGAATAACAGTTACAGAATACATCGTACCAAGCATTCACACGGTCCTCCGAAGCTTTTAAAGAGTAAGTAAAAGAGAGGGAGAGAAAATGGTTGATAAAGTGCTCATTTGTTTCCCAGTTTAAGGACCTTCACTGGGTTGCTGAAGGTTGAGTTTTGGTCTGACCGACAAGCTATGTTTGCTCTGGGTGTGTGTGCACACCACACCAAAGCTGTTTTGTTTAAGTGCATTAAGGTGCACCACACCTATCAAAAACTCTCAGCTTCTCATACCAATATGTGTGGATTGGCTACATCCCAAAAATAGACCGATATTGGACATTAGTATTCAGAGATCCTGACTAAAAAGGTTCAAATCTCACATAACTCCAGTCTCTCACTCTCACATACATCTCTCTGCCTCTCTCTGCCCCTATACAGGCAAAAGAAGTCGCTGCTATTCTCCCTCCAACTTGGCTGCCAGCCTGACACCCACTGCCGCCAATGACGTTTTTCGCCCTGGTGGTGAGTTGGTATCCTTGCCTCATGCAGTTCTGGGTGACTTGGGTCAATTGGCCAGTCACAATATGTAGCATCTAACCAGAGATAAGTACACCATAGACAGTGTGGTTTAGCAGTTAGAGTGGTGGACTGGGACAGAGGAGACCCAGGTTCATATCCCCACTCAGCTACGAATCTCACTAGGTGATTTTGAGTCAGTCACTATCTCAGAGCCTGACCCACCTCACAGGGCTGTTGTGAATATAAAATGTGGGGGTGCAGGGGCAGGGGAAACAATGTATGGATTTGTAATAGATCCTATTAAAAACACATTTCCACCCATTAACAAATATTAATTGTGACTGCAAGGCTTACATGGGAGAAAACTGAACTTCATAGAACTTACTTCTGAGTAGACATACATAGAATTGCACTCAGAGATTAATGCTTACCATTATCTTGAAGTGCTCAGGCTTTCCAACTATTTTAACTGAAGAGCTGCAGTTCTGGGAAACGAAACAAAAACGAAAGCAATTATGGGTGTGACACTTTCCATCTCAACTCTGTATGTTTTTCACCAATTTAATTTATCATTTTTTTACTTTGTTTTGCACTGCTCAGACTATTCCTTATTTTAAAAGTGAAAAGGGTGTTTTAAAAATACTTGGAAACTACTTAATTAATTTTCGGAAGGGGAGAAAAATGCAGGCAGCTATCTAGCTCTATTACAGAGGGAGAAAACAATTTTAAAAATCCACAGTTACTTGAATACTTAATACTTTTTCTGAACCCCAAAGTTTTCAGTTTAGTTTCTTAGAACTAATTTAATAAAAGTTAGACATAATACTGAGTTGCTGCAATAAGTATTTATCCTATAAAACACAATTATCCTATAAAAGAACTCTTTCACAAAGACAGTCCGATGCCCCATAAATTTATTTCCATATAGTACAAAGGATACAATCATTTTAATATCACTTTTCTCTGGCTTTTGAGGAAGTATATCTTATCAGTCTTATAATAATAAATCATAATAAATCACTTACCAAGATAGTTATGCAGACTCCATGCCACAAATGCTGGATAAATACATTTTGTTCAGTCAGAGAAACCCAAATATCTCTGTTCTTGGTTCTTCTGTTAGTTGCTTCTTCTGTTAGTTGCAAGAGACAAGCACATCTACAAAATCACTTTGCAAGGCACTAAGAAGCAGGGGTTTTTTTGCCAACTCCTGTCACATGATCTGCAAGTAGCAACGAGGCAAGTTGGCTTAAAAACAACAAAAAACCACTTCCTCAACCATTGTTATTCACTGAGTAATATGTACAGTAACACCCATTGAAAACATCACATAAGTACCAGATAATTTGACTGACTAATCTTTGAAAGCTTCTGATATGGGGTATGTGTTTCTATCTCTGAAATCAATATAATGTTAGGGATACATGTATGAACTTTTATGGCTCAAGCTCATCCACATTCTAAGACCATGCAGGCACAACAAGGGATCATTTTCAAGATACCACATCTATGTCAGGAGCTTTTCAGATGCAGATAGAAATTTATATTTATTTATTTTATCATTTTAGATAATCTAAATATGAGAGAATCTCTCACCTTCAGTTTGTTTTCTCATTTCCCCCATCTTAAGTTCAGTTCCCCACATTTCCACATCAGCTTTTTTATTTACTTATTTTTTAAAGTCATTTTGAAAATTCATTAGAATTTCTCTTAATGTGCACGTTTGTATGCAATTTTGCCTAATATACACATTTTTGCAAAGCATTTTCCCCAATAGAAGACGTCTGTATGTTATTTTTGCTAATAGATGTGTGGTCCATGGGGCTGGGGGGGGGACCCGGGCTTCCTTGCCAGCCCCGACCTGCTATCTGGGGCTGGGGGAAAGCAGCGCTTCCCCCCACCGCCAGTCCCACAAGCTCGGGGGACAGCGGGAAGGCTGTGCGCATCTTTTGCGCTGCTCCCCAACCTGGTCTTTGAGGCTGGCGGTGAGGGAAAGCAGCGCTTCCCCCCACCGCCAGCCCCACAAGCTCAGGGGGGGCAGCGCAAAGGCTGTGCGCAGCCTTCCCTGCCACTTCGCTGAAGGGGCGCTGCGCAGAGAGGGGAGAAATTTTTTTTTGTTCTCCCCCTCTAAAACAAGGTGCGTCCTATGGTTGGGTGCGTCCTATAGAGCGAAAAATACGGTATATTCTTTTTTGTACACATTACTTGGCTGGAAAACTTCACTGCAAAATTCAGAGAAGTGTGAATTTCGAAGGGTGCCTATGTTTCAGTTTGTGTGTTGTTTTGGAAAGTGTGAACAAAGCAAATTCTCTTTTAAATGCAAACGTAATCAATTCCGCCCCCCCATTCCTATTTATTACACAAACTTCTTGAGTGTTTTCCAGCTAAAACCAAGCTCTCAAAGTGACCTTTGACATACAGTTTTTAAATAGCTGAATAAAACTACTATAAAATACAGATCAAAGCAATAATGCAAGACAAATAGTAAAATTAAACAGACTGCAGCACAAACTCACATGACTGATTGGCTGCAAAAAGCTTCTGCGTGTAGGAGTCCTTTCCCCTGACCATGGAGTGAATGTCACAAAGGGTGTTGTTGGGAAGTTGGTGCTGCCCCATGCTCTCACTACCCTACATCTGAGAAAGTAGGAATACAGAGCAAAGTCACAAGGCTGGCTGGTGGCAAGACTGGCCAAAGGCAACCAGTATACCTGAAGGAGCGTCTCCACCTCCATCGTTCAGCCCGGACACTGAGGTCCAGCGCCAAGGGCCTTCTGGCGGTTCCCTCACTGCGAGAACTGAGGTTACAGGGAACCAGGCAGGGGGTCTTCTCGGCAGTGGCGCTTGCCCAATGGAACGCCCTCCCATTAGATGTCAAAGAAATAAACAACCAGCTTACTTTTAGAAGACATCTGAAGGCAGCCCTGTCTAGGGAAGCTTTTAATGTTTGATGTTTTATAGTGTTTTAATAATCTGTTGGAAGCTGCCCAGAGTTGCTGGGGAAACCCCGCCAGATGGGCAGGGTATAAATAGCAATCATCATCATCATCTTCATCAATACCTCTAAATAAGTCCCTTGCTCCAACAACAGTTGAGAGCACATTGAGGCCTTTTAAGCCCTCTCTCCAGACTACTTCCTCGGGGCGCCATCCCCATGTAGAATAACCTTAAAGGGGTGGCCTGTTAAAGACTGGCATTCCCCCTCTGCTGCATGGTCACCCTCGTGGTGCACTCCCTGCGCCACTGGACTGACGTGTAATAATAATAATAATAATAATAATAATAATATTAAACCTTGCCCATCTGGCTGGGTTTCTCCAGCCACTATGGGCAGCTTCCAACAAAAAAACTAAAATACAATAACCTATTAAACACTAAAAGCTTCCCTAAACAGGACTGCCTTCAGATGTCTTCTGAAAGTTTGGTAGTTATTTTTCTCTTTGACATCTGGTGGGAGGGCGTTCCACAGGGTGGGTGCCACTACTGAGAAAGCCCTCTGCCTGGTTCCCTGTAACTTGGCTTCACGTAGCGAGGGAACCGCCAGAAGGCCCTCGGAGGTGGACCTCAGTGTCCGGGCAGAACGATGGGGGTGGAGACGTTCCTTCAGGTATACTGGACCGAGGCTGTTTAGGGCTTTAAAGGTCAGCGCCAACACTTTGAATTGTGCTTGGAAACATACTGGGAGCCAGTGTAGGTCTTTCAAGACCGGTGTTATATGGTCTCGGCGGCCGCTCCCAGCCACCAGTCTAGCTGCCGTGTAGTGGGAGGCATCTGGTTCCTAAGGGGAAGGTGCCTGTGAGGGTCTGGGTTCTGGCCCTACAAAGCCTGGTGTTTGGGGAGGATCCCTGGGGGCTACTGGCCCCAAGCATCAGATGCAATGATCTCCCAGTCTTCAGCTCTGAGCCATGTACCTGACCTGCAGCCTCCAACTCTGTCAAGATTGCAGCTACCCCACCACAGCATGTGCCACCTGTGGCAGCTGCCCACACTGCTTAGCGGTAGGGTTCATTCTTCCAGAGGCAATGTAATCCAAAATTGGACCCAACAGAGGCTTGACTTATACTCAGTGGATTGGTTAACTGTTAATCACATTAAACATATTAGCTCGGTGTGTGTGTGTGTGTGTGGAATGTTTAGGAACCTGTATATGTCAGTATATGTCTACAGGTTAAAGCAAGTATGCATGAATTATCATTTCCTGAAACAGAAAGGGATACACGTGTAAATATTTGCCAATAACAGAGGCCACATTGACTGATATGAGGTGATCTGTTAAGTACTTGGGTCCCAAATCATTTAAGATTTTATATGTCAGCATTGACATCTTAAATTGAGCTTGATAACCAGTAGGTAGCCAGTGCAGATCCTGCAGAATAGGTATTATATGACTCTAATAATAATAATAATAATAATAATATTTATACCCCGCCCATGATGGCGAAGGTGGTTCTGTTAGATTGCGAACCAACTGAAAGAGTCTCCTGCTGCTGTTTTCTGCAGATGACATAGAGGCGGCGAAGAAAGTCCTCTTCGCCATCACTTCACCACTTGGTAGCCTCGACGTTAAGCTCTAAACCGTTTCCGGTCCGATTCAGAATGAATTTTCTGCCACTGGCGCTCTAGCCATCTCAGTGATTGTTTCATCACCCACAGCTCTGGGGAAAACTACAGGGCTCCATGCAATCGGAGAGGGTGCTTCAGAGCCAGTCAATAGCCCTGGTTAACTCTGCATTCCAGCAGGACACCAGGGAATCAGCTGAAAGGCCATCAACATGGGATAAAACATCCCCTACCAATCTTTGGAAACCATTTGGATCCATTAAATGGCAGGGCGGACCATCTGAATCGGTCTCACCTCCCAGCAGAGGGGAAGGGTCGTGGAGAAGTCCAGTTGCACCAGGAAGCAATCCAACCATGGCACTTCTTTTGTTTCACTTTTACTTAGTGTCAGATCACCCATATCCATAGAGGTAAACACCAGGTCTAAGGCATGTCCGTGACTATGAGTTGGGCCAAACTTATTCAGGGACAGCCCCATGGAGGCCATGCTTTCCACAAAGTCCTGAGCGGCCCCTTGTAAGGGCGTGTCGGCATGGATGCTAAAATCCCCTAGGAAAACCAAACTAGGTATCTCCAGGAAAACATCCACCACAATCTAAAGCAGCTCGGGCAGAGAATCTTTGGTGCAGCGGGGAGGTCGGTACACCAAAAGGAATCCTGTACTGCCCCTATTGCCCAGCTTCCAGAACATGCACTCAGAAAACTGGGTCTTCCCAATAGGATGCCTGGTGTCAGCTAATGACTTCCTTAGAAATCACTGCACCCCCCCCCCGCTTGCTGCCCATATGACCTGGGTCGCTGTGCATAATAGAAACCTGGTGGACAAGGAGCGGCGAGAACAGGCCCGTCTGCTTCATCCAACCAAGTCTCTGTTACACATGCTAGGTCAAGTCCTCCATCAACGATCAAGTCGTAGATGGCAGTGGTCTTATGAATCATTGACCTGGCATTGCACAGCAGCACCTTCAGGTCATGTGGGTCTTCATTGCTGATTCCAGTATCCTTCCAGTCAAGACCAGACCCAGAGGCAGAGATAGTCCTCAAACAACAACTCAACCTGCCTCCTCGGTAATGACATGGTCTGGTCTTAGCATAACTCCTTCTCCTGCCCGTGATCACTGAGATCTGGTGTCCCAGTGCATCCCCCCCATGGAACCTGCCCCAGCCATTCTGTTGGCTGGGGCCCACTCCCAGGCAGCCCTGACCCTCTCCCCTTCAGAACAGAATATGTTCTACAAACTATACAATAAACCAATAAAACAGTAGCAGCTAATTAAAAAAAGAAAAACGAACAAAAAATTACAGTTATACTAAAATTAAACTGATCCCAAGCTGTTTATCCCACGCCCAAAAGAACAAAACAAACACAAAAACAAAATTTAAAATACCACAGATTAAAAACTATTTTAAAACATTTAGGACTCACAGCAGGGCAATGTCCCTCCAGCCTCTCAGGAGTCTCTTATGCTGAGCAGGGTGAGTCTGCTCCCCGCCTCCTAGTCCAGGGGCAAAGGGCCTTGCAGGGAGTGGACTTCACACTCACAGCAGGGCACAGAGAAACCTGTGAACTCTTTTGTCTGCTGCATTCTGCATTAGTGGAAGTTTCTGGATTGTCTTCAAGGGTAGCCAGCCCTACATAGAGTGCATTAGAGTAAGCTAAATGCAAGGTTGCAAGAGTAGATATTACTATAGTAAGGCTATCCTAATCCAGGAGTGGCCATTGCTGATGAATCGGTCATTTGTTGCTAAGTCAGTCTTTTCAGCTTCTGAGTGCTGTCAAAATGTTAGCCTGACCTGTTTTCGTGTCATGGAAGATTAAGTGGGTTTAAAATGTACTTTCTGTTTATTCACGGCATACCTTTGTGCATTCATTTTAATTCTGGGTGTTGGTTTTCTGAAATCATATCATCATAACCTGTTCATATACTTGGTTTCGTTTCTGTGGAAATCAAAACTCAAGAGTTGTTTCGTTTTCTAACGAGCTGTGATAACATTTCCCATTTTATACAATAACTGGGGGTCTGCCCTGCACAGATCCTTTCAACCTTGGACACTGGAGGTTGAAAGAACATGGTAAGTTATTTTTCTGAAAAAAACACCAGGAGAGCCTGCTGAATGACGCCGATGGCCCTTTATGGTCCAGCCCCCTATTCTCACAGCGGCCAACCAGATACTTGTAGGGAATCCCTCGAGCAGGATCTGAGCACAAGAGTGTGCTCCCCTCCTGTGGTTTCCAGCAGCTGTGGAGGCAGTGCATAGCCATTATGACTAGTAACCATTGAAAGCCGTCTTTGTGAATTTGTCCAATCCTCTTTAAAGCCATAATAATAATAATAATAATAATAATAATAATAATAATAATAATTTATTTATACCCCGCCCATCTGGCTGGGTTTCCCAGCCACTCTGGGCGGCTTCCAACAAAACACTAAAATACAATAACCTATTAAACATTAAAAGCTTCCCTAAACAGGGCTGCCTTCAGATGTCTTCTAAAAGTTTGGTAGTTATTTTTCTCTTTGACATCTGGTGGGAGGGCATTCCACAGGGCGGGCGCCACTACCGAGAAGGCCCTCTGCCTGGTTCCTTGTAACTTGGTTTCTTGCAGTGAGGGAACCGCCAGAAGGCCCTCGGCGCTGGACCTCAGTGTCCGGGCAGAGCGATGGAGGTGGAGACGCTCCTTCAGGTATACTGGGCCGAAGCCGTTTAGGGCTTTAATGGTCAGCCCCAACACTTTGAATTGTGCTCAGAAAAGTACTGAGAGCCAGTGTAGGTCTTTCAAGACCGGTGTTATATGGTCTCAGCTGCTCCCAGTCACCAGTCTAGCTGCCACATTCTGGATTAGCTGTAGTTCATCTTCAAAGGTAGCCCCACACAGAGCACATTGCAGCAGTCCAAGCAAGAGATAACTAGAGCATGCACCACTCTGGCGAGACAGTTTGCAGGCAGGTAGGGTCTCAGCTAGCATACCAGATAGAGCTGATAAACAGCTACCCTGGACACAGAATTGAACTGTGCCTCCATGGACAGCTGTGAGTCCAGAATGACTCCCAGGCTGTGCACCTGGTCCTTCAGGGGCACAATTACCTCATTCAGGACCAGGGAGTCCTCCACACCTGCCCGCCTCTTGTCCCCCCAAAACAGTACTTCTGTCTTGTCAGGATTCAACCTCAATCTGTTAGCTGCCATCCAAGTAGGTGGACATTGCTGTCTCCTGTGGGAGCAAGTTCCAAAGTTTAACAATATGCTGTGTGAAGAAGTACTTTCTTATATCTGTTCTGAATCTTCCAACATTCAGTTTCATTGGATGGCCATGAATTCGAGTGTTCATGCCATGCCATGCCAGGCATAATTTTATAAACCTCTATCGTGTTGCCTCTTACATGCAGCTTATAGGGTTTTCTGTTTTAACACTGGCATGCTGGAGTAGTGTATCAATCCTACCAGAGCACATAACATGAAGAAAAACCAAAGCAACGAAAGTTATCCAGTTCACAGAAAAGAAAACAAAGAGGTCCAAACAGTTGTGATTATTTTAACTAGAGTGCCAAGCAACCACCTGTGTGGTTTCAAGCAAGGCAGTAAAAGAATCCCTTTTTAAAATTCAAAATCTCATCAAATTTATTACATAAATTCGTCATAACATATTAAACTTGTTACATATTGAATTCAACATGTGCTTTAACAATATTGAACATCACAAAAGTATCTGATTGTCACTGCAAATTTTAATTAAGCTTTCAGCAAAACCCATCCAGATTCTGTCTATAATAAAGTTTTGGGTGTTTGTTTTTCTCTCATTAGTACCACATTTTGGCTGCATTTATATATCTTCTCTGGGTGTGCGGACTCTGGTGTGGCTGCAGGAGGCAGATAAGAAGTTTCTGCTACCATTTTAGTTTAACTGTCATTGAACTCCTACAGTTTCCAAATTCCTTCTTGCGGCCATGGCAGAAGAGAACAGAGATGCACAAGCTTCTTAATATTTTTAATTTTAATTTGTCTAGTGTGTACTGTTCTTGCAGTAGTTACCATATAGGGGAATGATTTTTTTCGTCTCTGCAAAATCATGTTTTTGGTGAAGAGGCACAGTAACAAAGGGGAGAATTTATTTGGGGGCTTGAACTCATACCCCATCTCTGCATCGCACCGAGGGTCAGAACAGACTCCAGATTATTCCTACAGTAGCTGCATGCTCCCCTTGACCCAGATCAGAACTGTGGTGAAGAAAAAGAGTTAAAGTCTCTTCCTTCCATGTGAGGGTACTGGGGGGGCGGGGCTATGACTGCTATTTACTTTATAAAAAGATTCTAAAATATGGATTAGTAATTACATAAATAATGTCATGCCTGCTTTTGTCCCTGTTTGTAGCCTTGGGCAAATCACCTTTCTTCTCCTAACCCAGGTTTCTCCATGGCTAATACGTAGGGCTTCCAAGATGGAAGGGAAGATATGGCTGAGAATGGTTTAGGGTTAGGATGAAAAGGATTTGTAGTACCTTCTCCTTTAGGAGGCCCTAGCTATCACTGAATACATATACATACGCACATACATACATATTTACAGTTTTGAAATATAGCAGTCACAGCGAATCACTTTATACATTATTTCAGTTGCAATGTTCACTTAATGCAATGTTCACTGACTTTAGAAAAAGCAGGTATTTGCTAACAAACACCTATCATGCTGCTAACATATACTTATTTATCGTTATTTACAATACAGGCTGATGTAAAATCTTAAGGGCACATTCATCTTAGTGTTCTTTTTTAAAAAAACAAAAACAAAAAAAAGCATTAGAGATCCTTCTCATTGGGCACAGATGGCAGCAATCCAATATTTTAGAATACAGTAATGGAATAGCCAACACTTAGACATTTCATTGTTGGATTTGTAACTTTTACAGTCTAAATTGTAATCAGCAGCTGTAAGCAATATATAATTTAAACAAGGCTAATATATATATATATATATATATAAAACATTAGAAATGTGCAAAGAAGCTTATTAAACTTGAGATGGCATTGTCATTAGAAGGGAGAGGTCGATCCTTTCCCATGCTGTGGCATTTGTTGCTTCTTCTATTTCCAAAAACAGATTTCATCCCTATGCTTTCATTTTCTTTTCATGTGCCTCTAGGAGGGGAAAAAAAAATCAAACTCATATTGAGTCACAGTTCCTGGTTGAGAAGACTGTGTGTAGAGCTTTTAAACTTCATTCCATAAACAATACCAACAAATTCCAGAGGGGCAGTGTGTTGCAGCAAAACAAACACCACAAAGCGATGTCTTAAGATATCACAGGATATCCTCATTGCAAACATTTCCTTAAGCATTGCAAACTGTTAAGTAGGGTGGGGTGTAGCGGACAGAATGTTGCACACTCAAGTCATGCATACGCAGAATATAAATGTGATAAAGTCCTCCGTGCTGTAAGCTTATAGCATGACACAGATGAAGTAATGTTTGGAGAGGTAAAAAACCAAACCCAAACCCACCATTTGTAAAATATATGTAAGAGAGAGCGCTCTGGAATGAAAATCACTGTCATCCAGATGTTTCTTCATATTTTCTGCTAAATTTTATTTACTGTAATTCTTAACAATTCCCAGAATGGAAACCATTTTAGTGAGTCTGTGTTAGTTGTGTCTGATGAAATGGATTATAGTCCATTAAAGCATATGCCATAATAAATTTGTTAGTCTTTAAGGCACCACAAGACTTTGTTATAATTCTGATGGTTTTGATTATTCTGATTTTTGTATTTCCCTTCTTGGAAATACCCAATGGCATTAAAACACCAGGCTATATGTTTTTTAATAGATTGATTGACTGATATAAAATAAAATCATGATTAACAGATTACCATTATTATAATATTGGAATTATTGTGAAAACAATAAATATTGGGGGGGGGGGACAATTTTTGTCCTTGTTCAGGGCACCATATTACTAAAGTCCACCCCTGCCAGGCAGTCTCATTGTGCAACCTGGTTGACAAATTAGGTTTGCGCAACTTACTCTTGACGTTCTTGATATTGTTCAGGAATATGCCGAATAACCTCATAAACTGTTCCATTAAATTCCTGGCCTTGTGCAGCATCAGAGACAGAAACTGACCAACTTGACACCTGAAAGGAGGAAATAATGGTTTTCTCTGAGCAAGACAGACGAAACTAACATGGATGCCTAAAACAGAGCCAGTGAGATGTAGGCCTTATTTGCACAAGAGGGTCAACCAATCAATGGCTTATGGTCTCCTAGAGAGGAATTTGTACCCATTTTGTTCCTCTCCGGCCCTTATAGCACAGGACAGTGTGGTGCAGCAGCTGCTAAGCCAATGTTTGGCTTAATGCAGGCTTCCTCAGCCTCTAGATGTTTTTGGCTTACAACTCCCATGATCCCTAGCTAGCAGGACCAGTGGTCAGGGGTGATGGGAATTGTAGTCTCAAAACATCTGGAGGGCCAAGGTTGAGGAAGCCTGGCTTAATGTATTGTCTGGCAATAGATTGTAGTGAGGGAGGACAGGCCTTATTTATTTATTCAAAAAATACATATCCCGTTTTTTCACCATCTAAATCTCAAAGTGGCAAAAGGTGACAAAAATATACAACATGCCAAGCTTAAGACATAAATTTAAAATCTCAGAAATTTAAACAAGAACATGAGAAAAAAAATTATCAGAAAAGCATTTATAATGCAAATAACATCCTGAAATATGATTTTTAACTAGGCATTTGAAGCTCCACAGGGCCAATGCCTGTCTGACGTCTAGTGGGAGGGAGTTGGGTCACAGCTTCATGTTGACATGAATTGGCCTTTCGAAAGCTGGCGATTCTGTTCCCGGATCTAGACTGGCCTCTGATCTAACATCCTTTTTGAGCAGGATGAATTCTGGTCTGTGCACATTTAGGGAACCTGCAGTTTCTCAGTGTGACTTGAAGTTCATAAGATTGAGGAAGCAGAATGAAGAAGAAACAACAAAGGTCCTGTGTGTGATGTGGGCATCCGTTCATTTATTTTTTGGGCAAGGTGGGTTTTCATCTATACACATTAAGGCACTCTGTAGCATTTAGGTATTTAATTATTTCATTGGTACCCTCCCTTTCTTCCAAGTATCTTAAGGCAGCACGTATTATTTCTTCCTCCATTTTATCTTCGCAAAAAAACACACCACCCCATTGTGAAACAGGCTAGGGTGAGAGAAGGAAACTGGCCCTACGGCAGCCAGTGAGCTTTATAGCTCTGTGGGGATATGAACATGAATCTCCGGAGTCCTAGTCCAAAACTCCTACCACCACGTCAGACTGGCTTTATAGTGTAGCTCTTCAGTGCCACTAAAAGCTCAGATTTGGGAAGTGGTTATCACATTCAGGATGATGAAGTAACAATGAAAGACACAGACCGTAACAAAAGAGTCAGATTCAGAGTTGCTAAAATGAACCGCCTTCCTTCTTTATGAATATATCTATATTTCTGTTTTTGGAAGCCTTTAAACCAAGGGCTATTTCTGTTTTGTAATATTGCCGGCAAAATGGCTTTTCGTGGCTATCCATGCTGCAGAGATATAAGCACTTACCCTTGAAATTCCTGCAGCGTCAGGAAAGGCAACAAATTCATATATTCCAAAATCATCCAGCGCGTTTTCATGCCCTAAAAGTGCCGATATTTAAATAAAGAGAAAGTAATTATTATGGACAATTGTGTTCCACCTCAGGTTCAGTATGAGAGTGTGTGATTTGCAGAAGTGGGGCGCCATTTTGGCACCCTAGAGGACCACCCCATGGGCCAACTTTGGCAGGTGGTTGTAACCACTCACCTGTCGATAATCTGACATCGTAATAACTGGGAGCAGGATTAAACTTTCTGTTCCTCAGATAAAGAACAGGAGGCTAAATTCTGCTCTCTGCAGGAGTTGACTATACCTACCAGTTCATCCTCCCCAAACAGGCAAAACACCTACACACACTCTTAACAAACAAAAAAAGACAGATGCTAAAAATCAAGCAAGCCCTGCTCAAAGCAGGCAATCCTTGGCAGGCACCAAATGGGGTTTCTAAGGGCAACATGGTGCCCATGGGCTCCACATTGGGGATTCCAGATGAGTGTTTTCCTTTATGGCGAAAATTGGAGGTTCATGGTGCAATTTAGATGAGAAAAGCAGCAAGTAACCCCCAACTCCCAATTGTAGCGCTATCCCACTGCAATTTGCTCCCCCTTCCTTCCAAGATACAGTGGTACCTCGCAAGACGAATGCCTCGCAAGACGAAAAATGCGCAAGACGAAAGAGTTTTTCGTTTTTTGAGTTGCTTCGCAAGACGAATTTCCCTATGGGCTTGCTTCACAAGATGAAAAACGAAAACGTCTTGCAAGTTTGTTTCCTTTTTCTTAAAACCGTTAATACCCTATGGGAAACCGTGCTTCGCAAAATGAAAAATTCACAAGACGAAAAAACTCGCAGAACGAATTAATTTCGTCTTGCGAGGCACCACTGTACTGCTTTTAAGAAAAGACTTGGAAACCTAATCATTATCTAACTTGTCGTTTGGCTGCCCTCCTCTCTTTGATTCTTTTGAAAGCTTCTAAAGTGGTCTATTTCCATTTAACTCTTTATATCATATATTACCTGAAATAGTTTGTGCTTTTCTGTAATCTGCTTCAGGCCTGAAACATTAAACAGAAATACAATTATTTCAAATTCAGCGCAGAATCGTAGGCAGCAAAAAGATGCTGCGTTCCCCCCCCTTCTTTTAAAAGCTTCGTGTAGACAAATGATAATTAAGTTTTCTACCTGGTCTGCAGCTTCTGCTGTAGAACTGAAAAAGAGACAAAGAATAATCAACCCTTTTTGTTATGGTTTACAGAAGCTTTGAATTTATTCCGGCGTTAATTTAACATACCTTTATGAGGCTGGAATCTTTTCCATAACGCTAGAAGGAACATTGATACTATCAAAAATAAGGAAATTCCACATATTATTCCTAGTGGAGACAAATATTTTTCTCTTTGAGCCAGCTGCTCCAGTCCTGCATCAGAGAAGAACAGAAGTTGATATTTGATTTGCACTTATCATTCTGGCCAGGCCTATAATGCAAAACATTGCACATAGCAGTGCTCTGGAGCTAGAGCATCAACACTGGTTCAAATAGTGCAAATATCCAGGGGATTGCTTCTTCCATTCTAGTGTCTGCATGCCACCAGTGGAAAATAATTCTTAAATATGATTTAACTGGCCCTGAAACTTATCGTTTCTTCTTCTGACTTTACTTGAGTTGCAGAGAAGAGCAGAAAATTACTGAAGTTCTTTATTTGGCCTGGTCTCTGGGTGAATCAAGTTCAAGAGTTTGTGGGTAATGTGATGACAGTAGGAACAAATGCGTTCTGTGAACATGTACACGGGGCCATGATGGTTGCTGCCCATTGGGGTTGGCCAGTGTGGCGTTCATACGGAGCCCCCGGTCGTCTCACAGACTATTGACCCGTACACCACTAATCCACTGCCACCAACCAGGTCCTCCCCGGTAAATCACTTAGTCTCAGTCAGGTTCTTAAGTTAACAAAGAAGAGTGTAGTTTATTGCAAACACAAATAAACTTTAACTGCATTCAAAACGTTGTTACTCTTTACCTTATTTTATCCTGTCTCTATCTGTTCTACTTCCCCTCACACAAGAACCAACTGCACTAACTGTCTCTCTACAGTGGTACCTCGGGTTAAGTATTTAATTTGTTCTGGAGGTCCGTTCTTAACCTGAAACTGTTCTTAACCTGAAGTACCACTTTAGCTAATGGGGCCTCCTGCTGCTGCCGCACCGCCGGAGCACGATTTCTGTTCTCATCCTGAAGCAAAGTTCTTAACCCGAGGTACTATTTCTGGGTTAGCAGAGTCTGTAACCTGAAGCCTATGTAACCTGAAGTGTGTGTAACCCGAGGTTCCACTGTATTTCCAACTGTCTGCCAACTGTTTTCCCAACTGCCTTTCCCAACCAAAACCAACCAATCCAAACCTCGGGCTAAGCTCTTTTATAAACAGGTAGGCTCCGCCTCTGGCTTTTCTATTGGTCTACCTATTAACTCTTTCTCTCCCCCTGTACAGACATTTTAAAAAAGAATGGGCAAATGCCACATCCAGGCAGAAGGCAGAGAGGAGTTGCCAATTGGAGGTGGAGCCAGAGCCAATGACAACTAATTCTAGTCCCCTGCCCCCCCATATCCCTGAGCAGTTCTACAATGGCAGCCCTGACATTAAGGAGGAGGAACCTGAAAGGCAAGGTCACCCCCTAGCATGTAAAAAGGTAGGCAGGCTGGGAACTGGCTGAAGACAGAGAGGTTGGTGAGGCAGTGTCCCATTTGACCAAATTTGCTTAGCCTCCACTGGCGTGGAGCGAAGCTGTTCTGGGGAACACCAACAAACACCTTACATCAAGGACCACAGCTATTTTGAGATCAGTTTTGGTAAGAGTTGCATAGCCTTAACTTTCTTCATTCTACTCTTTGTTCAGTTGTGGCATTTGCACATTCAAAATGTGCAGCAGCAAATTTGCTGCCCACTTCCTGCTGCACGTTCTCTCTCTGCTGTTTTCCCTGAAGCAAAGGATTTATGGGATATTTATTTAGCTTATTTGTGCATTTGGATTTTAAATGGTTGAAGTTTTTAAATTTTAGAGGCTTAATTTATGTTTTTGCACATTGCATATTTTATTGTTGTCAGTTGCTTTGACACCTACATGGTGTAAAGTGGGGTTCAGATTTTTAAATAAGGAGTGCATTCATGGTGAAATATGAAGGGGGGGAGAGACTAGACGTCACTGCAACTGATACTGTGCAGATAAATGTGCTTAGGCATATGCCTTAATTTGCATATAATCAGGCTGCCACTGTCAGTCAGCAGTAACGAGAACCAAACTGTGGAATCAAATGTAATGACTTTTTAGATGAAATATAATTTGTAGACAGTTTCCTTTTTGGCAGTGTCAATTCACAAGATGGATACTGGATTTGCTTTCGTTCTGGGTTAAGCCAGGAATGGAAATAGGCTATTTTCTACAAACCTGTTATGCTCTGCTTTCATTATTTTAAAACATCTTTTCACCTTTCAATGTTGGAACTGTTCCTCATGGGTTGCACTTGCTGTGGCTGCATGCGGCCGCTAGAGGGCACTCACACCTCGTTCTCATTACTTCAGTTCTGGCTTCGCTTGTATGACAAGCGAAAATTCGTAGTAACATCTTAGAACTGCCCCAGAGTGTCTTGTCGAGGGCACACCTCCCTCCTTCAAATCTCCAACCTCCTAACTTCCCTTGCTTTGGCACTGGGGGCAACCACCAGCCTAGGAGAAAGCCAGCCCAGATTATCTGAGATCTGGATCCACGTTTGCCAGCTGCCTTGCAGGCTGTTGCAGTGCGATGCACCCTTCAAAATGAATGCACCCGCGACAGCTTTGTGACGCTTACCTAACAATGCAGCTGATGTTGCTTCCTTTGCTGCTTTTCATATCTAACAGCTGTTGGCACAGTTGGGGAGTGTCGTGGGTTACACAGAGAAGATGGGTTTGTTTAAGAAAAAAAATGTGTGTTTCTTCAGTCCAGTTATATATTTGAAGTTGTTAGATACTTCGGTTCATAGTTTAGCTAAACATTATACTTTCAGATAGGATTTGCTTTATGCTTCATTTATATTTTCACTGGAGCTGTTTAGCAGTTCAGACTTAAAAAGTATTATTTGTTAAGTTAGAAGAGTTGGATAAGTAGGTTAACTGATTATATTCCTTCATGCAAGGAAATCTACTTACCAGGTAGGAGACCAAGTTAACTATATATTTATTGGCATCTTCCTAGAATTTCAGCCCACTTCTTATAGGGGTTGCCATATTTCAGACATTTTCCCGATTTCCACCCGGACACTGCTGCTGACTGCAGTATTCCGGATATGTCTGGGGAAATCCGGACGTATGCCAACCCTAATTTCTTATCATGCTCACTTCACATGTATCTTCCTTAGGGACAGATGAATCTGCTCATTTCAGTTTCTAATTTGTCCAATCTTAAATTCCTAGTTTTCCACATTTCCACATCAGTTTCTGAATTTATTTCAAGAAGTCATCATGAAAATTGACCAGCATTTTAGTACGAATTTCTATTCATGTGCACAATTTTGCATGCAACCTTGCCTAATAAACACATTTTCCCAAAGCATATTTCCTCTTATATTTATATTTCTCCTAATATAATACATTTTTGTATGCATTTTCAGCAATATATCCATTTTTATGCACATTTTACCTCAATATATGCATTTTTGTTCACATGTACCCTTCCCCCCACCCCATAGAATTACAGCTCCCAGGAGACAGGTAAATAGCATTAAACCATGTTGACAACACCCACATCACCCACAATACATTGAGGCACAGAGATGAGACAAATGTTACTTCTGTGGACATAGGAATTTTCGAGTAAAAATTGAACTGTAACTCAGAGCACATGTTCAGCATCACACTGATTCATTATCTCCCTTTAGCTTTTTTGATATATGGAATGATGCCACACCCTAAAGACTGTTGACTGGCGCATGGGGGAAATCAGGGAAGAACCCTGGCACATGACATTTTTAAAAATCTTTGCAAAATCAGTGTTTTTATTGTGTGTGTGTGGGGGGGGAGTAATGTGAAATGTGTCATCAAGTTAAACATATACCAGACACACTAGATTAAGAATAAAGGGTGTGTCTTGGATGTAGGTTACTTCCACTTTTGCTTTGTTAAATATTGTTATTCCTACTAGCAATTCAACACTGACAGTTTTCAGACATTTACTGCTTATGTTTCTCTGCTTCTAGCCATATTTTTGTGTGAAGTGCTACATTTATATCCCGTATTTTCTCCAAGGAGCTGATCCTACCCCCATATTATTCTTGCAATGGTCCTGTGATGTAGGTTATGCTGAGAGTCATAGCCTGCTTGGAGGACCCAAGGGGAGGAGAGGTTGTGATGTCACAGATACTGGCTAGTCAGCGCAGTGCCCTGTTGTTTTTGCTGCATAACCTCAGAACCAGTTTTCCCTGAGCAAGACTCTGGACAGGAATCAGTATGAATGTTAACAACATGAAGAATGCATTTTTAGACTGCAGCATCTGCTCCCACCCCCTTTTCTTCTTTCTTTCTTTCTCTTTCTTTCTTTCTATCTATCTATCTAAAAAAAACCTTTTATATGTATCTGTACATACCCCAAATATATTATGTGCTATCTTATGATGTGCACAGCTTTTGTAACATGAGTCGGCCCTTTGCCAAGTGCCAGTTCATGTTATATATGTCTCTCAGAGTGTCTGTTTTTAGTTAAATATATCTAATCCCATATCTCACTATGAGCAAATAAGAGAGAGATAAGCTGTAGCCATGGCTTCGCAAAATTGCAAACGAATTTGAGCAACTACTCTTAGTAACGGTACAATGATATGCCCTAGAATAAATACAAGACTTCCATTTTTGGCACTGATAATAGGGTCGAGAAACTTTACAACAATCCGAGAGTAGCCAGCATCCAGATTGAGTGCAGCCATACTCCAGGAGAAGCTGTAGAAAATTAATGCGCAACTGCACATCTGAAACCCCCCCCCCAATTCTTCAGGGATAATGTGGAATGGAGGAACCCTCCTGTGGAGGGTCACATGAGCTCTAGATGTGAAGGCAGTGGTGGCATCCAGACAACCTGCTAATTGAGCATTCATCCTGATTCATTTGCCCAAAATTTGTGGGGAGGTTAGACGACATCAGGGACGCGGGTGGCGCTGTGGGTTAAACCCACAGAGCCTAGGACTTGACGATCAAAAGGTCGGCGGTTCGAATCCCCGTGATGGGGTGAGCTCCCATTGCTTGGCCCCTGCTCCTGCCAACCTAGCAGTTCTAAAGCACATCAAAGTGCAAGTAGGTAAATAGGCACCGCTCTGGCGGGAAGGTAAACGGTGTTTCCGTGCGCTGCTCTGGTTTGCCAGAAGCGGCTTAGTCATGCTGGCCACATGACCTGGAAGCTGTACGCCGGCTCTCTCGGCCAATAAAGCGAGATGAGCGCCGCAACCCCAGAGTCGGCCACGACTGGACCTAATGGTCAGGGGTCCCTTTACCTTTACCTAGATGACATCAGCTATTTATCGAGCGTTCATTCCAATTTGTTTACAGGGAGTTTATGCCATGTTGCCTCAAAGCAAGGGTCACCCCACACTTTCTAGTGCATTTCTCCATCGCTTTCTTTATCACAATAAACAAAGTTCCTTTTTTTTTGAGGGGGAGGGAAGTGGGTTTTGTTGCACATGAGCTACCAATCAACTTCATTTTAACCTGAATTTGCTGGTATGTGATTGAATCCCACCCCAAAATAGCAACAGTCTGGAAGTGTCCCCTTAGTTCATCTCCCTGCAGGAGAAATCTCAAGATCTCATGTTGTGTGGGCCACCTGGAAGAAGGCCCTTGCCCCTCTGGCCATTTTGCCACTCAAAATTCCTCCTACTGCTTTCACACACAGGGGAAATACATAGGGATATCCACATCTTCCTACTCTCCATAGATTTCCCTTCCATATGTAGAAGAGAAGAAAATCGGTGGGTGTGTGAATTTTGAGAGGAAAACAGCCCCGAAGGGAAAGTGTTAAGCAACATTCTCCCCTGCCTCCAGCCCACCCTTCCTCCATTGAAACTGACAGTTGCCAATGGTGGCATTAGGAAGGGGGAAGCCAGGAGGAAGACATACACAGTTACACTTTCTGTCTACTTTGGGAGCTTTAGTTCAGAGAGAAGCATTGACCTATTACTGGGGAAAAGTGGCCCTCATAGATAGTCAGTCTTCTTCTTCCACTCTTCTGGTGTAATGTGCAAAGTTAATACAGTGATCAACTGGCTCCCAGAGATCTGAATCCACCTAAGACTTCTGCAGATGACCTGGTGACTCCATGTGTTTTAAATCTTTTGCATATACAACCCACCACACGTTTCCTTGTTCAGTATTTTCTAAATGGAGCTTCAATTCCTTAGTTCAGGAAAGTTGCACTTGAGATCGGTCATAAGACTGACAGTTCTAAATACTTCTCTAAGCAGAAGCACAAGCCACCGTGGTACGGGGTATATATTCCTACGTGCTTCTATATTTATGAATAATTTATTTTAGTCATTTGAGGCCTCGCTTTGCAAGATAAGGAACCATAAACTGTTGCCTCCTTTTACAAGTCTGCTAATATTGACACCATAGAAACCAATAACACCATTAGTCACAAACTGTAAAACTCTGAAGGTCACGAGTTAGACATTACAGAACTCATTGTTAATTGTGATTTATATCCTTAGACAAAATATGCTTATTAATTTCTTTTCTGAAATTATGTACCTTCATTCTGAAGGTACATAAACTGGTTGAGGGGACGTGGCCGCCAGTTGCTGCAACTGCTCCAGAGTCCAGAGCTATAGAAGCGACTGTGCTATATTTGACAACAACTACCTGCCATGTGCATTGCTTTGGCTGGGAAGCATCCTTAACATCAAAGCATCCTTTGGTGACATCTCTGAAGTTCCTGTCTGGCTCACCATCCCCTCTGCTCCTATGGCCCTGGTGGGGTGGGGTGGATCTGAGAGCTGCCAGGTACTCAGGCAGCCGGTGTAGGAACCTCTGGTCCCAAGGCAGGAAAGTCTAGGTCTGATTGCTCCTCAGGACCATTAGCAGCAGGGAGATTCTCCAAATTTCCTTGCTTCTCATCTGAGGAGACCTTAGATTTGAGGTCTGGGGCAGGACTGAACCTTGACACCTACTTTCTGTTATAATGTGGGGAACATTTGGCCCTCCAGGTGTTACTGAGCTACAGCTCCCTCCTCTCTGGTATGTATGGCTAAGTATGGTCTCCTCAGGCGAAGTCCAAGGGGAGATGAATACTCCAGCAGATCTCCATGGTGATCCAGTGATCCTACGGAGCCATCAGGCCTGGGCATGCCTGCCTCAATTTAAAAACCCTTTTAGAAAGATCCTTAGCCCCATCCCCTGATTTGTTTCAGGGATGGATCTGGTTTGGGCAGGTACAGGATGAATAATCCTGATCTGGGGGCTACATATTGGGGCCACAGACAGATCAGGGGGTCCCTGCAAAATCCCAGTGAAATCCTCTCTAACCAGTGCAGTTAAAACTCTCTAACACAAACTAGATTGGCTATCTTGCCACAAGTTCCTGCTGGTTTCTTCTTTATTTTCATAGCACTTATAAGCAACAAATATTGGTCTGATGTGAAACAAAACCAATGATATGTAATTGTATATATGAGCTCGGTTTTTAAATAGTATGAGTTAACTAAGATATGATTGGCAATATATTCTTAAATGTGTAAATAGAAAATAGAAAATGTGCAGTTCTGCATTTTGCAGGTTTTCTTAGCTTTTCAGATCTTACCATAAACTGTAATATTGGTGCTTTTATTATCCTGTTCAACTGAGTCCTATTTTACTTCCATGAATAGGAAATATGTAATTTTACGCAACGCAAAACCTTTGATTATGTTTTTCTTTCCAGGCGTCATTTAAAAAAACTTGAATAGGTTTCACTGTAAAATTGTAACCTATTTTCCTTTCAGTGTGTTTGAAAACACAGAACTTTCATCTGTGATTATATTAAATCCCTTTGTACAATAGGCAGCTGCTGACCATATTTATCTTAAGCATAAAGGCTCAGGTCTTTGTGTTGTCAAAGCCAAACAAGCTTGTGAAATGCCCTGTAAGGCAACATCTGAATAACTTGAGTTTACATTAATGTAATGGCTATGTGAAAAAGATATATATTTAATAACAGGGCAGCATGTAAGAGTTATCCTCCTTCTAACAAATATTTTTTTCTATATAAAAAATGGGGGGCAGGGAAGGAGACGGAACTTGTGCAATTTCACACAATGCATTTTAAACATTTATTAACTAATTAACAAAGAAAAAATATTTCTGTAACTATACAGATCAGCTATAATCTGATAGGAAAAAAATTACCTTAGCAGTTTTGTTGTTTAAAGCACCATATGGGTCAACTTTGGAGTAATCCCCTTGGGGTCAATGGGACTCTCTCCCTCCCAGGTAATCGTGCATAGTATTGTAGCCTTGTTGATTCTTATTTATTTATCCGCTTATATCCCACTAGAAAAGCAGCTTACATGGATCTCATTTGGTCTCTCTCTGAGATACTAGTAAGTTCCACATCCTCCAAACATCAATAAGGTTCATTGAGTGCTCCTAGTGCAAGAATGGGGAACTTCCAGCTCTCCATACATTGTTGGACTACAGGTCACATCAGCCTTAGCTAGCATGGCCTTTGAACAGGGATCCTGGGAGCTGGAGTCCAACAACACCTGGAGAGCCACAAATCCTCCACTCCTATCCTAGACCATTCACTGTGTCAAATAGTACAAAAGAAGAGGTTGCTTGATTTATCAATGCTGCCTATATTTAGGCTTCTGGAGTATGAATGGGAAACTCTTAAGTCTCCTCGTGATCTGGATAGGCGTATACGAATAACTGCATTAAGCTACTGTGATGTTCAAGGGCCGGCATGTAGTTACACTGCAGCAGTCATGGGCAGGTAGAGTAACAGCAATGTTGGCTCTACTGTTTCCTCGTCAACTTTGGCTCAAGTGTTTCATTCACAGTTGAATTACCTAACATACCACTTACCTCTATGCCAGGAACAGAATGTGTATTAAAGGCCAACAACTCTAGTTTGGATAAGGAGTGGAGAAAAGAGCAAAATTTCAGAGATCACCCTTGAGTTCTTCCTATATAGGTTCCCTTTCATGTCATTCTTCAGTAAGTAAATATAGTTATATTGATTGATCCTACAACATAAATTAGTCAGTGTTGTTTTGTGTGCTAAAGATGCCGAACCTTTCATAAAGGGCACCTCTATGCTATAAACTTTGGTCTCATTTGTACCTATTGAATTGCAATGCTCTCCTCTACGGAAATCACAAAATTTCACTTCTCAGGACCCCTTTGGTAATAGGGAACTATGATTAAACAAGTTTGGTGAGGCTTTCCCTTCTGTCTCTAAGATATTGGCTGGCTGAGTTTTCTGACAGTGGCTTGGAAGTTTTGTACAAACTTGTAGGTTGACATGTGAGCATTCATTCTTACCTTTTGGCATCATAATCACAAATATGTGCGTTTCTTTCCACTTCCCAGTCTTGTTGTTGAGAGCTCTGCACCTGTATTCTTCTGTTTTCTGCATCACCTTCTCAGATACAACTTCCAGGGACCTTCCGTACTTAATGAGGCGCGTGGAGTTGTCAGCCCTCTGGGTCCATGAATAAAAAATATTTGGTGGATTGGAATCTGCTGAGCAGTAAAGCTGGACTGCTTCCCCTTTGTTAAACGTAAAATAATCCCCTAACTTCTGGCCGTTGTCAGAATTTATGGTAAGTCCATAGGGCCCATCTGTGTGAATATAACAATTAAAGAGAGAGAATATAAACTCAACAGAGAAACATGACAAATGACTGCTGTTATGTCAGATCTTCCAACTGCAATATTTCTCTTTCACATGCTGTTATTTCTAGCTGTATCTTAAATCCATATAAAGAAGATCTTTGTATTCATTGCATTTTAAACTTTTTTCCCATTCTGAGTCCTCCTTTGTATGAACCGCTAAACTGTGATTTAGTTTTATGATGATGAGCCACAGTGAGACACTGGCTTTCAACCACCCCTTCTCTCCTCGGTGGAGGCTGTGAGGAAGAGAGCAGACATTTCTGATTAACCATAGTTTAGCTTTACCGCCTAACCCTAAACTGTTAAACTATGGTTTGTTGAAACAATACAGCTTCTTAAGCCATAAATTGAAACTGTACTGTTTCAAATTAAGATGGAAAATGCGCCTCCCCACAAATGTAGCTATTAACAGGAAAAAAGACCTACGAAAAGCTACTTCTATTGGCGTACTTAATGTCATATCTAGGTTGGACTGTATTCCACCCAGACAATAACATAGCTCTCATAAGGGGTTGCTTCCAAGCCAAATCCAAAAAACGAGGGCATTGTTTTTTTCTCTAAAAAGTATTGACTTACCATAAGCATATGTACAAATCAGGACTACTGTCACATTCAAATTGCAAAACTCTTTCTTTCAATCATCCTGACTGCTCTGGTTTCAGCCCCCAGGGTGCCAGGGAGATGTGACCTGAATTCCATCTACCAAGGAAACTTCACTGCCCATTAAACAAGCATGTTTCGCTACAACACTATAGCAAAGCTGGGATAAATGGCAATTTCTTCATTTTACACAATACAACAGTGGATCTAAAACCACGAAAACTTGTATGAACCTTGCACAGGGTGAAACAAAGGGTGAAACTCCTCTATTTACATATCAAGGTAAATTACATAAGATGTCTATTTACAGGGGGAGGAGAGAGATAAATTAGTTCTGGAATAACTCTAGGGTAAATAGAGTTTATAGTGCGTGCATCTGGGTTTTTATTTACTGAACAATTGCGCTGTAGACCCAGGAGATGCACCCTAGCCAATCAACCAAGGATTCCTTACTTCTTCATATGACTCTCTCTTCCAGAGGCACCAGCTTGTGAAGGCGATTGCGGAGGGTGGGGAAACGTTGTGTGTGTGACGTCAGGACATTGGGAGGAGCTGGGGTCGGAGCCAAATGCAGCAGTTGCACAGTTTCAATGACTGCTCCTCTGCCTCCTCTTGGTGCCACCACCAGTGGGAGGTTGCTTCGACCCTCATTCCCCTCCACGGCAGGAGGAGGAGGAGAAGCCGGCCACTGGAGCAGCAACATTGGGGGCAGCCTCCCCCCAAAATATAGGGGCCCCCCAAAAGGGCTTAGCCCCCTGGAGCTGGCATGCCTGCTGTCTTCAAAGGGCAAACATGAGCTGATGAGGCCATATGTATCAAAGTAACCATATTGTCAGGGACTGTGGCTGAACTGAAAACAACCTGAGATTGGTTTGGAGCTTATGACCGGGTGCACTTAAGCTTCGGAGCCTTCTTTGGGCACAGGAGGAAATGAGGATATGCAAAAGGGGCTCCTGAAATTGGCAGGATGTCTGCAGCTTCTGGATTTGCTGAGTTTGGTATAAATACAAGCAACCCAACATCCTTTCCTGGTCCAACCTGCTCAATCTCAGGTATCAGATAGGAACAAGAGGGCATTTGTTCTCCAGTCACCCTGGATCTTCAGGGAGGAATGAAGCCAGCACATGTATGTGCTTGCACACAGGTGTACAGACAGCTAGGTAAAAGGTAAAGGACCCCTGGATGGTTAAGTCCAGTCAAAGGCAACTATGGGGTTGCGGCGCTCATCTCGCTTCAGGCCAAGAGAGCCGGCGTTTGTCCACAGACAGCTTTCCGGGTCATGTGGCCAGCATGACTAAACCACTTCCGGTACAATAGAACACTGTGATGGAAACCAGAGCGCACAGAAACACCGTTTACCTTCCCACCACAGTGATACCTATTTATCTACTTGTACTGGTGTGCTTTCCAACTGCTAGGTTGGCAGGAGCAGGGACAGAGCAATAGGAGCTCACCCTGTCATGGGGATTCGGAAGATCAGCAAGCCCAAGAGGCTCAGTGGTTTAGACTACAGCGCCATCTGCATGAGCTAGAGAAAGGGTTAGTCACCACCAGGAAAAGGGAGAGTGTGGTAGAACAGGGTGCTACCATGGGGTCACCATCTTACAGCAAACGTACTGCTATCTGTGTAAGGGGGAAAGTTGCTCCTCCTTCCTGCCTCATCTTGTGCAGTGTAGAAAGAGATAACTTTTGCAAGATCTGCTATTTTGTGGGCAGTTCCAGAACTCAAAGAAAGTAAAGCCCAGGTTGCCTGCTGAACTAAAACAAATGCCTCATCACACTTGCTGCACAATTTAATCTACACATGCATTGTTTCTGCTTTTTCTTTATAAAATGGTTTTGCACGGTTACCAACATGGAGCCAATGGCTAGCAAGGGAAAAGGTCTTCCTGTAATAGCACAGAGGCCACCCTTACCTGAAGTGATCTCATCTACCAAATTCTCCTTTCAAGTCATATAATTCAATATGAACTTTATCATTAGCACAGTAAAAAAACAACCCGTTTGCCAGCTACCAGTTCTCCCAATAAGAAGCCAGTCCTGGCTCCAGGGTCCACATATACCATATGCCATTGCTGCCAGGAGAATTGCAGTAATAATAAAGGTCACTCACAGTAAATACTTGCCATCTGCTCAGAAACAAGATGGATAACAGTTTCGTGGTGACAGGAGCCAATTGGTCATGTTCCCACTGAGACGTAAATCGTTGCTAAGAAGTGGTGATTTATTATTTTACAAGTCATTTAGTAAATAGCATTTACGGAGTCAAAAGGAAAGGTTCCCTCTTTGGAGAACGGCATCGGAAAAGCGGTAGCCCTGCCACAGAAGAATGATTCTGAAAATGTCCTTTAAAAGCTAGAAGTATTTCATCTAAAAATAAAATAAAATGTTTTTAGAAGATTAAATAAAAATAAAAATCAGTACTACTCCTGGTCTGTTTGGTTTGTCTGCTAATTGCAAAACAAATGTAAAGGTAAAGGGACCTCTAACCATTACGTCCAGTCTTGGCCGACTCTGGGGTTGCGGTGCTCATCTCGCTTTATTGGCCAAGAGAGCCGGCGTACAGCTTCCGGGTCATGTGGCCAACATGACTAAGCCGCTTCTAGCGAACCAGAGCAGTGCACAGAAACGCTGTTTACCTTCCCACCGGAGTGGTACCTATTTATCTACTTGCACTTTGACGTGCTTTTGAACTGTTAGGTTGGCAGAAGCAGGGACCGAGCAACGGGAGCTCACCCCTTCGCAGGGATTCGAACCGCTGACCTTCTGATTGGCAAGCCCTAGGCTCTGTGGTTTAACCCACAGCGCCACCTGCAAAACAAATGTACTAAAAGCCAATTGCACTTTCGTACGGAAATCGCTTAGGGCAAAACTAGGAAGGACAGATTGGCCTTCGTGACCAAATACTGCATAACCAAAGCTAAATAGAAAGTTCACGTTGGTGCTCAACACTGTTACAAAATACCCATTATGGAAAGCCTCAAATTAGCACCAATGGTTGTAATAGTAATGGACACTGCAGTGTGAAGCATGGTATCAAGTTTTATACCACTTTGAAAGTTCTAGCTCCGCCCTCCACAAATCCTGGGAACTGCAGATTGAGCTACAATTCCCAGAATCCTTAACAAACTATGGTTCCCAGGATTCTCAGGGGGAAGAAGTCGTAAATGGCATGGATGTGGCTAGGATGAAAAGAAGAATTCAGTCAATCCAAAGCCCATCATATATATGTGATGCTTATGACTCATTCAGAGATGCGACAGGAGGAGGAGCCATGGAGTCTGGCAAAAGCTAGTTGGTGCTGACCTTTAAAGCCCTAAACGGCTTCAGTACAGTATACCTGAAGGAGCGTCTCTACCCCCATTACTCAGCCCAGACACTGAGGTCCTCCTCTGAGGGTCTTCTGCTGGTTCCCTCACTGTGAGAAGCGAGTTACAGAGAACCAGGCAAAGAGCCTTCTCAGTAGTGGCACCCGTCCTGTGGAATGCCTTTCCTTCAAATGTCAAGGAGATAAAGTATTACACAACTTTTAGAAGACATCTGAAGGCAGCCCTGTATTGGGTAGTTTTAAATGCTTGATGTGTTTAGTATGTTTCCAGATATGCTGTAAGCTGCCCAGAGTGGCTGGGGAAACCCAGCCAGATGGGCAAGGTATAAATAATAAAATTTATTATTATTCCTATTATTAGTTGACCTGTGGTATTAGGAAGCCCATGGCGATGGCCAGGTAAACTTAGGGCCAGGCAGGATGAGTGAGGAGGTGCTGCCAGGATTTCACATACTAATTTCATAATATCCAGTAATATCTGAGGGTGGTCCCGAGAAGAACACTATTAATATCTTCCAAAGTTTTATGACTAGAAGTACTTGATCTGGATCCATTTAAACATTCAGATTTGTTTAGGTCTACCTACAAAATGGCTTTCTGAAGGCCTGTTCGCCTTGTTGCTGAATATGAACAAAAGGGTCCGTTTACTGGTGTTTTAAATGATCCATGGTTATAGCCTGCTGTTATAGGTTGTCTGTGGTGATGGTACCTTCACCAAAACAGTTCTTCATATCTGTCAAACTAATGAATGGTGTCCAAAGGAAAACATCAGCTGCTAGCTCCTTACCCTATGTAAGGAGGGTAAGGAGGAGCTCCTTACCCTCCTTACCCTATGTTTACAAGAAGAATTTTGGAGGATTTCTCGAACTACCTGTGGTGAGAGCACAGGTGCATTGAGTAATTTTTCAGTTATTATTTCCAAAATTGTTATATTTAAATTCATTTCTAATCGTATTTGCAGATTAGGCAATCCCACTATGTGTAATGGCCACCATTTTACATCAACATGACTGTTAATTCTTCACAGCAACTTGATTTTTATGGGCAGTGAGTGAGTTTATTATATTTATGGTTATACTTCTGCTTAGAATGTTTATCAATCAGGTATTAGTGTGTATTTTAATTTTATATGTAGTTGTATTTTAATTTTATATGTAGTTGCATCACACCATTTAGGCATATTAGCTAAGAGACAAAATTCATTGTGACAAATTGTTGGGATGCTTTATTGAACCACCAAAGGAGACCAGTATGGTTGAACTGTATTTGGTCTTTGGTACAGATTATTGTTTCTTTACTTTTGTATTAAAGTGGTTTAGATCTCCTCAAATGAGCAGTAATTGTTCACATAGTTCTCACTTCTGTCCCTGCCCATTTTGTTGCTAGTGTTTGGTTTTGGGCTTTATACACCTTAGTTTTGGTTCCTGTAAATGGCATTTCCATATTTTGGCTCATAAGGCAATTCTTCTCTTGGAAGTATACCCACCATGTTTTCTCAACTTCCATCATTTCATCTCTAAACCCCATATTTACTTAATGTCACCAGTTTTTGACATGCTTCCAACACCTTCCGAGTCAACAAAGCTTCTTTCAAGAGTGGATCAAGTAAACCGGTTTGCGTACAGCTTGGTTAAACAAAGTTATCCTTTATCTTGTCGGTCAAATCATTCCAGTTTCCAAAATACTGCATATAATTAACACATATAACTAATCTAGCATGGAACAGCCATAATTTTGATCTAGTTTCTAGTTGTATCCATTCAGATGGGTGACATTTTGTTGGGAGCTGCCCAGTATGGCTGGAGCAACCCAGTCAGATGGATGGCTTATTATTATTATTATTATTATTATTATCTGCATGGACAAAGAGACAGGTGAAACATTGGTTTTCTAACCATTCTGTACTTCAATTCCCTTTAGACTTACCTGGAACAGGCCTTCTGTCATAATGAGAAGGTGCCATCATGAGAGCTCGATGGAAGTTTACTATGGTCCAAAAGGCAGACTAGGGTTTGCATTCAAATGGGAGGAATATTGTATTAGTTTCCCCGATTATACATGCTAGTGCTTCTGTCCTGTTTTCTAACATTCCTTTCACACTACAGTACCTGTTGTGCTATGGAAATGTAACTTTTTGACCGCTATACAAGCATATTGTGTTAAATTTCATTCACACCTGTGGGTACAGTGTGACTCAACAGTGAACGCTGTTGGACAACGTTGCTACTCCCCTACTTTTTCTGCACATGTGTGATTCTGTTCCTCAGTGATTCACTCATGAACATGGTTGGAAAGAACTGTATGCTGCTATACTGCCCCAAATATTGACACTTTACTCCTATAATTTTCTGGGTTAGTGGAGGAAACAGAATAAACTTCTATGTGAATGCAGCCCAGGGCTGCAGACAACCATGGTTCAAACCGTCACTCAGTCACAAAGGTTATGGGCTGCGGATAGCCACTCTCTCTTAGCCTAGCCTACCTCACAGGGCTGATGTGAGGTTAAAAGGGGAGGGTGAGTGTCATGTATATGACCTTCAGCTGCTTGGAGAATACTGCATGTGGGATATAAATGTGCCAGCTAGACTGGTGACTGGCAGCGGCCGCCGAGACCACATAACACCGGTCTTGAAAGACCTACATTGGCTCCCAGTACGTTTCCGAGCACAATTCAAAGTGTTGGTGCTGACCTTTAAAGCCCTAAATGGCCTCGGTCCAGTATATCTGAAGGAGCGTCTCCACCCCCATCGTTCTACCCGGACACTGAGGTCCAGCGCCGAGGGCCTTCTGGCGGTTCCCTCACTGTGAGAAGACAAGTTACAGGGAACCAGGCAGAGGGCCTTATCGGTAGTGGCGCCCTCCCTGTGGAACGCCCTCCCACCAGATGTCAAAGAGAACAACAACTACCAGACTTTTAGAAGACTTTTTAGAAGACTTTTAGAAGGCAGCCCTGATTAGGGAAGCTTTTAATGTTTGATGTATTATGGTATTTTAATGTTTTGGGCGGGGTATAAATAAATAAAATATTATTATTATTATAAACAAATAATCTAATGGCAAAGAGCTACTATTTGTCCACTATCACTCTTAATTCCCCCCCCACATCATTCTCTCAATTCAGCTACCATATGCAACATATGGTCTCCGTTATATGCTACTCACAATATATAGTTGGCACGATCACATCACTCTCCATTGCACTGACTGGGTTTTCTGCTAAACAGCTGTAATTCCCAATGGCTTCTTTGACGACAGGGACAATCCGAAGCGTGCTGTTGTTTGCTGACAAGGAATAGATAGTGCCAGCTTCAATGGGATTTCCATTTTTCAACCACTGATAAGCGACCCGTGTGCCTTCCTCCACAGTGCAGTTCAAAGTAATGTTCCCACTGTTCTCCACGACTCCAGCAAAGGGTTCAATGTATATGACTGGCTTTGTGACAGGAACTGCAATATAAAAGATCTTTGAAGTTAGGATCCATGTATTTTAACCAAGGAGTGGGTAACCTTTGGCCCTCTAGATGTTGCTAGAACCCCCTTCCCAGAGTCCCCTGGCAGCATGGCCAATGGGTTTGCAATTTATTTGCGGAATAATTTAGGAACTGGGGGGAAACTGCCTGACTTCCCTCCACCCATGTGGCGGCACTGGTGGGGGGAGCACACTGCACCGGGTACCATTTGGGGAAAGGGTGCCATCGCAGCTGCCCTCCGAAAGTGCACCGCACCATCCCAGGATGTGCGCCACATGCCATGCAACCTCGGGATGTGCGCCAGCCATGCCCCCGCCTGTTCTCTGCTCCGGGGGGCTGCAGCGTGTTGCTCCGCCACTGTGGGGGGGGGATACCACATGAGGGGAGTCCTGGGGCCAGGTGGGCTAATCCCAAACCTGCCACTAACAAGCACCACAGGTGTGCTCCCTGCTCCCTGCATACATTGTGGAAATTTGTGCAGCCCCACCTCCCACTGCAGCAGGTGGCAGAAATGCTTCCCAGCGATCCATGCATTCACACAATGTGGGAAAGCGCTCTCCCTGGGTATAAATGTATGCAAGTACAGCTCCTCTGTGTGTGTGTGTGTGTGTGTGTGTGTGTGTGTGTGTGGACTTTAGCCCTATCAGAGTCCCCTTCCTTGTATGGGAGAGCTTTGCCCATATCCATTAGTAGCTGGGCAGAGCCATTTCACTCTGTCTGAACACACTTTTCCCGATGGCAAAGCATTTCTGCCATTTGCACCAGTAAATGTGGCCACCATGCACAACAGCAAGGAGTGGGCGAATCTATCTTTTTTGGTTTCTCTCATTTTTTCAATCTATGTTCAGTATTCCACATCAGTGAGCAGTGCTTCAAAATCCACATGAAAATTCACCAGCATTTTGCTGCAAATTTCTCCTAATCTATGTTTCTTCGTGTGTGATTTTGTCTAATATACTTTTTGTGTGTGTGAAGTGTAATTTCCCTGCGATTCAAGGTACCCATGTCCAAGCCCTTTTTGTTCTGGTGCTTTCCCTGTGAAAACCTGCTCTTTGAAGCTCAGTCGGAGCAAACATCAATCTGTGGTAAACCCAAATTGACATTTGCTCCAATTCAGCTTTAAAGAGCAGGAGGAGGAAAACAACAACAACAACAACAACAACAACAACAACTGCACACTCAGACATGAAGCATTAAAACGTGGCCTTTTGCCAGGAAAGAGCAGTGCAAAAAGTAAGGGTGGAGAAGCCCAAAGTCTGCCATATAAAGTAAAATAGTGGGAATGAGCTAGTTAAGTGTCTGAGGTGGTAGAATGAATGGTACGATTTCATACACCTGGGGTGTGTGTGTGTGTGTGTGTGTGTGTGTGTAATATTGCTGAATGCTGTCCTGTGAATTCCTGCCCCCCCGCCAAATACAACATTAATTGCAGAAGATTAGAACCTTTTCCACTGATGTACAGAGTTCCCCATTTCTCCTTTCAGGAATTCTTCCCCTTGTGGGTAACATTTAAAACAGCACTTTCATATTTACTTGTCCAACTTGTCACAGTCTGTTCAGCAAGATAAAGCTTTCGGCCATCTTATTCTGCTTACCTGTAACAGAACAAGGCCTCATCCAGGTATGTGCCTTAAAGCTCTGTGTCTGAGCGCTTTGTTGTTGTCGTCCTGGGTGCTTTCCCTTCAAAAACCAGCTCTCTACTGCTGAATCAGAGCAAACACCAATCCACGGAAAACCTGAATTGCCATTTGTTCCGAGTCAAAGAGTGGGATTTCGGGGGAAAGTGGCAGTGAGGGAGGAAGTGCTTAGACACAGAGTAGTCCTGTATCTAGAAAGTATGGAAAGGTTAAGTGTGGATGAGCCCTTAGCCAGGATCCAATTTATGGAATCCTGGTGTGATTCAAAACACCTCTGCTGGAATTAAGACCAAATAGCAGGCTTACCATAGTTGCAGTTGCATTTGGGGAATCTGGGCTCAACAAAACATGCTGTAGAAGATAAGGATCTCCTGCACAATCTCGGTTGTTGGTGGGGCATGCTCTGTCGCTGCCCGTATGCGTACCTCCCTCCCTGCCACCAGCTTGCTATGCTGGTACTAGAAGGGCCCACAGAAAAGAGTTAAATAGCCCCCTTCCCCAGAGCACAGTGTGCTGCCAATTGTACCCTCAATGGCTGCTATTAATACATTTTTAAACCCTCATAGGAGATGGCCACAGAACCTCTATGCAGCATTCTGGTTGAACCTTTAGATTCCAACATTTTATATTACTTACCATCCACGGTAACTTGAACCTTTGCACTTGCAGGTATCGTTCGGTTTCCATCGATATTGATTTTGATAATATAATTGCCTTCATCGCTGAAGTTCAGAGATCTTATCTGCAAGGATGCATTTGGAGGCTTAAGTGCAATTTTGTGCCTATATTCCAAGTCTGGAACTACTGAGTGATTTACCAAGCAGCCAATCAGAAATATGGGGGTTGTTGGTGGCTTCTCAAACAGCCATATTATCTGGATATTGGAAACTGTAATGTTGAAATTGTAGTCAACTGGGAGAGTGAGGGACTGCCCTTTAATACCACGGATGGTATGTGATGGGACTGTCAACTTCAAGGCAGAACAAATACCTGCAGGGGGAAAGAAATTTTGAAAATGAGAAAAGATTATAATTTACAATGCAAATAGGCCACAAACAATGGTTGCGTGTCGGGGACCCCCAAGACACCCCTGAATAAAAACACATCATTTTTGTTTTTGTTTTTGGCATAATTTTGGCCACAACTTTATTGAATTACAGTATGTGAGTGGTTACTTAGGCATTGGTTAATGACTATCTTGGAAGTAGGAACAGAACTAATAACCACACCCGTGCGGAAGTCAGTAAGGGTAAGCAATTTTGGGGAGAGAATAAAGCTGGGTGCCAGGCTCTCACCTTTCCCCAAATGCTCCCAGGGGCTCTTGCGTGGCCCTAGCCCTTTGTCAGGGATACGGACAAAAGCATGGCGAGCCCCTGAATTCCTTTAACGGAATACCCTTGCAGCAGCAGCATTGGAAGGGCAGGCACAGCCAACCACATCCCCTCCACCAACTAAAAATTAACCAGTGCCTAAATCCAACCTTACAAGTTGTGACAATTTGCTGCGCAGTAGGCAAAACCCAAATGGCACCAGCCAATCAGCCAAATGGTAAAATTCCTACCAGGCCCCTGCTCCAAAGCAGACAACCCCATGACAGGCATAGCAAGGTCAGTGCAAACAAACCCTAAATAAAGGGAGGGTGGGCGGGTGATCCGATGTGCGCAGCGAAAAGAGGAAGCTCAACACTGCACACAGGGACCTATATAGCACCCCTGTCAATCAAATAAAATTGCAACAATAAATTTCCCCCAGCAACATTGGAGGTGCCCCATCAAATTCGTGGCCATCCAGCAACAGGGAATGTCATGGTTGCTCCCACCGCAACACGTGCTCTCCATGAAGGAGAACCTGCTTTGCTTTATGCGCCACTGCGGCAAGAGGCAGCCCATCTCAAAAGCTTTCTGGGAGTAAAATTAGTATGTCAAATTTTAAATAACTTTGAAATCTTCTTGATGTCAGCATTTCTTACTTCAACTCTTCACCCCATGTTTAAACACAGCAGTTTATTTTATCATTTACTACCTAATAAGCCTGCTATAGCCAGAATACATGGAAATACAATGAGAAGGAACCATGGCCTGTAGCAACCATTTATATGATCATCCTGACACTTAAGACTTATTCACTCATTGCTCATATTTCAGCCTGGTTCATGGGTAGGCTGCTACCACGATCCCTTGGAGCAAGACCAGCAGTTCTCTTTAAGATTTACAGGCATCTGTGTGTCGCTACTTCCACACTGGAAATTTACTCTGGAATAACCATGCTTTGCTCATTCACTTTTTTTTTACAGTGCATCGATGTGATGTTTTTGCCTTTTGGTTTCTGTTCCCACCCATCCCGATTCAAAAAAGATTCCTTAAAAAAAAAATCCTTAATAGGCAATAAGGGCTAATAATTACTTTTAAGCGCAAACTCTGTATTCTACTTATCTGATTTGCATTTTTTGCTGTTGTAATTTTACTGTATTATGGAAATTTTTTAATTTAATTTTTTAAAAAAAAAATCCTGTGTAATTTCTCCAGGTATATATGGTCTATGGCATGGCTCTTCCTGCATAAAGTCATTTCCTTCCATACGGTCTGTCATACACTCTATTATTTTAACTCTTCCCTTTCTGAGTAGCATTGTCTCTATATCCATTTATTTTCTCTCCGCGCCCCCTTCAACTGCAGAAGGTAGGGAAATGTGGCCAGGGGACGGGGGCAGGGAATACTATTTAATCTTATCCCCACTAAAAGTGATCCTGATGAATAATGCCCCTGTGTGTCACACGGGAGCTGGGGAAAGGGGACCTGCCCATTTAAATGGAAGCTTAGTTGCTATTCCAAGCCAGCTGAAAGCAGGACAATGGCTGGGTGCTTCTATCAAGTCCATGTATGAAAGTACCCTGTGTACGCCTGCCTCTTGGGAAGTCGATACAGGACTGCAGAATATGGGCCAATAATATATACAACCATAACGTACGTTTCTATGTAGCTTCTCTTGCTTGTGAAACCTGCCCTGTTTACAGACATGGAAAACGTCCAAGCAAAAAAACAGCTGAAAAGGAACCCTTTTGTTTTTGCTGTCAGAAAGGGTGGAGTTGCCTCCAGGGGATGTAAATTTGTTCTGTATGAATATGACCTGATGATTTATTCAGGTATAATCACTATGGGAGAACTTCTGCAAAGCCAGAAGGAAGCAGGAATTAAGGAAGTTGCTGATATACAACAAATCCTCCTTGTTTGGTCTGTTTATTTGCTATGGGAACAGTGTTGGGATTTAAAATTTGGTCCAAGTATCACCTCAGAGGCAACCTTGTGAGCTGCGCTGGGAAGGAAGGTAAACTGTCTCAAAATAATAAGAAAAATACAAGTACAAATATTTAATTAGTGCCTGGCACGATCGTGTTTTAACTAGATACCGCCGATAACTAAGCCCATTTGCAGCACTGCATGAACTAAGAAAGAGTTGAGCTGTCTTAGTTCCGTGTATTTCTGTGGACTTTTCTCTGGTAATTGATTTCAGAGGTTCCAGCTCAGTTCTTATAACGGACACAAGGCTGTAATCCTGAGCTAAACACACTCACTAGCAAATAACATTGAACTCAAGTGGAATTGCTTCTGAGGAAAGCCGCTGAAAATTGCTAGCTAAGAAAGATTGATTGCCTGCCATTGTTCAAAGACCCCTAGTCCCCTCTCAGAACTACAATTCCCAGAGTTCCCTGGGACTGTTAGAACACTCTGAGAATTTTAACCATCTCAGCACTAGATCTCCCAGAATTCTTTGGGAGAAGCTACGGCTGTCAAAGTTGTATAAGAGCACTTAAAATGTATGGTGTGAAGGTGGCCTGAGTCTGCACATTTCTGGGGTGCAATAGCACCAGCTTCTCTCTCCACCGTTTTTTTTTAAAAAATCATAAGTTTAATACAGCTGCAGTTGCTCTACTAAAGCTTCATTTGTTTCCACAAACCACAGGAACACCAGAATCCTGAACAGGAAATATAAAATAGTGAAATTAATTCAGCTCATTGTCAAAGGCACCCTAGTACTATAGAGTGACAAAAGCGGGACCAAAAATCCCAAACACCATTTGTAGTATGAAATGTTACAGGATTTCAGCAAGGAGCTACAGACCATGCACAGATTGCCACAGACGCTGTGTGAACCGTGACTGTCCAGATCATTTTGAAGGCTCAAATAGACTTGAATGAGGGAGTGTGTTTGACCACCCCATACCATCAATAGCACAAATTCATCCTGAGTGCACATTTGAAAAATCATCTAGAGAAGTCCAGGGTGAAACTGATCAAAGCCAGAGAGGTCAGATTTCAAAATCATGGAAGGGAGGTTAACTTTAAATCTGTCTCCAGCCCCCAAAAGTCAAGAGTTGGCAGATCTGTTAAACACAACCGTGTTTCACTCTTGAAAGGCTACCGTTTCATCCTTAGTGTATTATTCCTTCCAGACAAAGGAGGATTTCTGTGACCAGGTGTTATTTTACAGTCGTTCCCTCTGCACAAGGAACGTAGTCCTGTGCATCTTCTGTATAGCTGGTGTAAAACAGGAGTGGAGACAACAGGCAATAAGCTTTCTAAGCAAACCACTCCCTTCCTTGGCTCAGGTTATCTCTTCAAGGCAGTTTATGTGTATTGGATATAAACAGGCTAGGCTTCTCCAAAGTGACCTCCAACTAGAGCGTAGGCTGCATTTTGCTTCTATATCCGGCTTTAAGTATTAGTAAGCACAACACCACCCTTGTTGACTGGAAACATCCTGCAGCCTTTTCTGTTTAAATAAAAACTGTGACATCATATTTTGAGTTTAATGCATAAACTTAAGATCTCCGTGGGAAGATTTTCTTTCCTTTTTCAAAAATAAGTACAGGTCGCATTCTGATCCTAAAAGCTTAATTCTCTAGTGCGGTGCTTTTTTTCCCTTAAAAAAATGTTTTAGGGGTACTTTCATTTTGACTCAAGAAAATCACCATTTTATAGTTCAAATCGGGAAAAGTAAATACAGTAAATGGACAAAAGTACAAAGATTTACAAAATGTTTAGGGGTATGCGTACCCCTGCCTTCCCCCCAGAAAAAAAGCCCTGTCTTATGAGCATATAGTTCCAAGCCAAGTAAAGCAGAATGCTTTAGCATTAGAATGGTAGTGTTTTACAGTACAGTCCTACACGCAACTGCTCAGAAGCCGCACTAAGTTCAGTCTTGCTTCCATTTTCCACAGGACACAATTTAACAGCAGCAGTAAATCAGCTCTTCATTAATAGAGCCAGGAATTCAAACGCTCTGTACCAGTCTCTGTATAAGAAAATACCTGGTAAGCAACAGTGTTGCTCCATAGCATATCTAGGGGATGAGCCTGCCTAAATCACACCTTTAAGATCCACCTCCCCCCCTCCCGAAAGGAAATTTGGTGACTTTTTAGCCACCCCTGATTTAGCAGCTCTGCTTTTTAGTGATGGGCAGCTGCATCTTCCTGTATTCTATCTGTAGTTTTCTGCACACATTTCAAAATTCTGGTTTTAACCCATAAAGCCCCTGAAATAATTGAAACAATCTCCTATTCCCATCTGACCCTGAGCCCCTCTCCTCTTTATCATCTGTGCACTGGTTTAAAGGATCTTATACTGAACCTTGGTGGTAGTAAAAACCCCAGTCGTTTGTAATTTAATTCAGGATAAAGTAAAGAACCTGTGCATGGCTGAAAATGGATGGGTGGTGGGACAATTTTGCACAAGGTGGGTTCAGCTAGGGTGAGGTGTTTGCTGACAGTTGAGCTAAGAGGGCAGAAACCTTGATCAATCAGAATTATGTCCTCTTCTTTTTCTCCTAACTCCAGTGAAGACTGATGTTTCTTATTCTGATACGCTCCATAAAAAGGCGGCCACTTTTCATATTTTTCTACAATTTTCCCCCACCAGTTTTTTTGTGTGTGGCAGCAACCATTTCCCCATCTGCAATGCCTGGAATAATGTTTGGTCTGGGGCATTATGGAGGATGCAAAATGGTGGGCAGGCTGGTGTTGCTTCTTGGGCGGCAGCAACAAAACGAAACTTGGGAAGGGGGACTTGTTGTGCCATGGGCCATTGTCACAGCAAATGGTAAGCCTGAGGAACTGTTGGAGATCCCCGCCCCCCTACAAAAAATTGTGAGATGGTTTCACTCCAGTTTCTCTGTCCACAAAGTAGAGAATTCTCATTGTCATTTGTGCACAGCTCTCGTTATTTGGAAGAAGTTTATAAAAGTTTATAAAACTGAGAATTTTGGTGGCATGGTAAGCTTCCTCTCCTCCTGCTCCCTGTTCTACATCTAGTACAACACATATTGGACGTGAAATCAAGTAAATTATTACAAATCATAGTAAGATAAAATGTGCTAAATGTGTCATCTTTTGAAACCAAAACATCACAAATGGGATCAAATTTGCAGATATTAATGGACTACATCAGACCTCACATGAGAAATGAAAGTAAAAAGCCAATTTAATCACAATGTATAAAAGTACATAAAATAGCCATAAAATTTATTTCATTCACAAGCACTGCAACTTTTTAACAGTTCATTAATAATGATAATAAATGTTTCTCCTAGGGAAACATATACATCTTGCTGAATGCCCATCTTACTAATTTTTGTGTGTGGTGTTTTATGAAAAACCATTCATTTTTAATGCTAAGTATACTTTTCTTTATACAAAAACCATAATGTCTTAGGCAGAAGGATCTATTGATAATACTGGGCCATTACATATGGAAAACTGAAAAGGAAACAACCTTATTTGCATGACGTATTTTTCAAAAAGGCAGTGAGAATAATTGATACCTCAAATTTTCCTGCTGCTTTTCTAAGGCTCTACGAAAGATTCCGGATTACAGAACAGCCCTATATATGCACACTCAGAAGTAAGATCCACTGCATTCAGTGGGGCTTACTCCCAGGTAAGTGGGTGTAGGATTGCAGCCTTCCAGAGTGAAAACACCAAGATTGTCCCAACACTACCCACTGCAGTTAGTACCTACCTACCTACCTACCTACCCTTCTATCTATTTCCAGTTTTTCTGTACAAATCATATACGTTTGTAGGATTAAAAAAAAATCCACATGGTTTGAAAACTGACAGTTCCTGGTTGTTTCATAATGGTAAAGTTACTAAAGCTAAAAACATTCAAAAGTATGGAACTGAAACAAAACCTTACACCTGGATTAAATACATATTAGAATAATAAGAAGAAGAAATTTGAGATCTTACCTAAAAGCAGAACACAGATTTTGCATTGCAAGTCACAAAATGTGGTGCTAAAGGGCTCCATGAAAGCATCCTGTCTCATGCAAGCAGCCCTTTCTTCCTGGTGTGCATGTGAAGCCAGAGTTTGGTCCAGCAGCCGTGGGCCTTATTTGCTAGGGAAATCAGCAGCAAGTTTATCCGCCCCTACCCTGGCTTGCCTTAGGTGATTTGAATATGTGTATACAAAAGGCAGAGGGAGTGGGAACACCTGTTGGATTAGTGTTCGACATCTTCATTGCCTGTGACCCTAAGTTCCCCGCTCCGGTTATATTCACAGCAAACACAGAGCATGATAAATGGGGCATACAGAATGAATCACTCAACACTGATAAAAAATAAATGAGCCCAGAGCGGCACGCAGGTTACATTCACCTTCCTACAGCTGACAGCTAAACAGCTACCCGGAGGAATAACGTTTTGACTTGTGCATGCTCGTAAGTGTTAGAAATGGAAGTGTTTTGCCAGTTAGCTAGCTTATTCTGTTCAGAAATGGTCAGACATAATTGTTCCCCACGATATTATATAATAAACCTGCATGAAATCAGTTCTTAGTCCCAAAGGGGCTGTGTGTGTGCGTGTGCAAAAAGTATTCCTTTTAAACACATACTATGGTTCATCTCTGTGCCAGCTCTGGGACATCATATTCGCTATAATATTAGATAATAAATGTTTTAGATTGGTTGTTAGCCCAAAGGGGGACCATGGAAGATTAATGTTAAAATATATGTGCCTCTTTCTATATTCTTATGGTTATCCTTGCACAAAGGATTCTTGCCAGGCCCTACAACTTCTACCCGGACAGTCTACTCAACATGCAAGATCTCCTTTGGGACCGTCAAGCCTAAAGTCAAGGGATATCTGCTCTGAACAAAGTACGTACTATATCAGGAATAAAAGAAGAAATGTCCTTTTGGCCGGCGGGAGGCGCCGTTGCTTTGCACGGCAAGCCCAGCACCTTTGCGCTTCGCTGTGCCCGTCTCCCTCGCCCTCCGCCGCAACCTCAGAATTACAAGTTTGCGTGTTTGCTTTGGTCTCTCACGAGGCGGAAGTGACAGCTGTCAACCCACCAAAAATGGAGTGATTTGGGATTTAACGGTAGCTGTGATTGAGTCAGCCATCCCCCACCAAAGCGCAGCAGCAGCAAATGAGTTCACCATTTTTCTAACGCAATTTTATGCGATTTTATCTAAGAAAAGCAAGACTTTGACGTGAAACTGCATTCTGGATTAGGGTTGGGAGGAATCAGAGTGAGTAATTTAAACAGATTTGCTGCAGTCTGAAGTTTGGGTTTTATGTACAGGGAATTTGTTACTCCAAGGCAACCCAACCTCAGCTCCATCTCTGACCCGAAATATTAAACATGATAAATATTAAACATTTCAGGGCCCCCATCCAAATAGGAGGATAGTGGAGTTTGTTGCCAGAAGCAAGGCATTTTAATACGTTTAAACGAGAAAACAAACAAGCCCTGCTGCCCAGCTGCATCTACTAAAATCCCGATTGTTTTCTAGGGTCACCATTCATTTAACGTCGGGGGACGGAGACAGCCAGGAAGAAACCAGGAAGTTCCGTCTCCATGTATCAGATTGCCCCTCTAACTGTTTCTATCTCTATGCAGCTTCCTCCCTCCTGGAACGTCTACTCTTCGAGGTGAGCGGAGAGACGTCCCGCTGAGCGTGATGGGAGTTGTAGTGTATCTTACGTTTTCAGGTCCAGAGTGTGGGAAGGAGCGTGTCCTTCCTGGACTACCGATCCCATAATGCAACAGGAAAGCGAAAGAGCGTATCACGTGATGTACAAAATGGCTTCCCTGTGTCGGAGGGAGCGGAGCGCGATGGGTGACAGGGGCTTGTGAAGCGGCCGGCGCTGCGTTGCCATGCAGAAGATCAAGTCTCTGATGACCCGACAGGTACCGCCGGGAGGGCAAGCGGGTCGGGGAGCGGAGGTTTTGCACGGGCGGCGAGGAAGGTGCGGCAAAGAGCGGAGCCGGCGGTGCCAAGGGCGGGTGGTGGGAGGGTCCCCGCGTCGTGGGAGGGTGGTCTTTGCGGTTGTAGGACAAGGCCAGAATCCCCGCAACTGAAAGGAAGGCTTTGGACGCAGGCGGCATTCGGGTGATAGGAATAAGCGGCAGGGTGGCCATGTGAATGTGTCGCATAAAGAAAGACACGGGAAACCATTAAAATACACGCGCCACAATTTCTGTGCGTGTTTTCTCCTCTGCAGGGAATCCTGTTGTCTTTTTAATTGGACTTGCCCATAAGGTGGTAGCCTCATTGGATTGTTGTGATGAATTTTCCTAGGGAAATTTCAGTGTGGGGGAGGGCAGGAATTCACAAGCATACAAGTGTCGAGTTTTCTTAGGGCTTCCGAGAGGGCAGGGGATCTTATCCAGTAAGGATGAACAGGGATGGGAACTTGCCATGCATTGGCGTTGTATCCATTGCTAGTCACATCCAGAGTAGATTGAAGACCATGATGACTAAGGCCCTTCAGTTTCAAGTGGGTCTATGTCTGCTTTGAGTAAAAAATAGCTAGGTACTCTCCATTGCTTTCTTTTTGGTGAGAAGGATTTCTGAATGAATGGGACACATTGTGGGAAGGAGTTGGTGAATGAAGGAGATAGGCATGGGCTTTCCTGAAAGAAAAGGGGAGCTACCGCCTTCTGGGCTGTCCACATTTTTTCCTTAATGCATGCTTCCCAAATCCTTAGGCTTAGGGACTGACCTGGTCTTCAGATACATTTTCTGTTATTCATGTGGACCGTGGGTTGGTCAGTTTGAGGTTTTCTCCCATCCATTGAATTCTGTGGGTGATGTAATGGTATTGGTGTTTGGGAGCCATATGTACTTGTTAATTTCTTTTTCTGTGCTTGATGACAGAAGGAGCCATATGTTATCTGTGCAAGTAAAGCTGCCTTTAGGACCTACCAAGCTGGTGAACTCATACAATGAGGTTGTAGGTTTTCTGGGGAAGTGTAGCACAGAATGGGGAAACACAGATGATAGTAATCTTTGTAAAACAGATGCTATTGTTTTTATGGTAATTTGTTTCATATGAGGTAGGTTTTTCTATAAAAGCACAATAAGCATCAGAGGAAATCTCTTCTCTGGAGTGTGTGTGGACTGGGCTACATTGATCAACTTGCAAAATGTACTGCTCTGAAGGGATTGCCACTGCCCAATGATTTGTTCCCGGAAAGATCCCAGTTGAAAAAGAATAGAGCTATGCTTGCTTGGAGAAGCATGAGAGAAACATGTGGAATATCTCTGTGTGTCCACTCCTGATTTTGCTATTAAAGGGATGGCATAGTATGTCCTCAGTACTTCAATGGATTAGGCTGCTCTCATTTTGCTTCTCAAAGTATATTGCTTTTCATATATATTTTAAATATATATATTAAATTTAAATACTATGGAGTTAGACAATAGAATTTATTTCAGTAAATGTTGTTTCTTTGTTCCTTGGGATCGGCCATTAGTATATCTGTTTTGTTAATGATTTGCTTTACACAGGCATCCCAAAACAATTTGCAATATAATAAAAACATATATAAAACAGTTAAACTGTGGAATATATAAAACAATTAAATTTACAGTTTAAAGCAATTATAGCACATAAGATCTTTTCAGATTCAATACAGATACCAGCTGGCATCAAGAAGGTTCCATGATTTAGAAGGTTTGTTGAAAAAGGAGCATATTTAGCAGGTGCTCAGTATGAGAATATAGATAATATAATGTATATAGAGAATATAATATTGAGAATAGGCAATAGAGAATATAATGGGATTTACAAAGGGTAGGTGTTGCCACACTAAAGGACATAGTGCAGAATGGACCCCCTAACAGAATGGTATCTGCAGAACACAGTGATTGGTATGTAGTGGGTGGGACAATTTTTTAGGTATTCAGGACTTAAACTGTATAGGGCCTTGTGCACCAGTACCATCACTTTGAATCTCGCCCAGTAACTTATTGGCAGCCAGTGCCATGTAGAAAGCATTTTGTCTTTTTTACACTTGTTATACCATTAGCTGCCTGATTAGGACAACAGAGCCCACTGTGTTTTCAAATAACTTTCAGATTCAATATTGTTAAAGGTATGACCTGGTACCATACATAGTCACTCTTTTCAGGAAATTGCAGAATCATGGAATTGTACAGTTAGAAGGGACTCCAAGAGCCCTTTAGTCCGACGACTGCAATGCAGGGCAGGAATCACAAATTGCAGTGGTTGAGGTACAACTGTTCACAACTGGGATCTGAAGCCGGGGATGGGTGGTAAGGTGGCTTTCAGCCGCAGGGGAGGAGCAATACGGATGGGTTGTGGCAACCTTCTTCTGCCCCGAAAATGGACTAGTGGGACTGATAGAATGAAAATGGGGAGCTCCAGATTGGAAGCAGAGGGGAAAACAAATCAGACGCTCGTTTGACCCAGAGCTGCTGGAAGCAGGGAATGCCGGAGCACTGAACTCAGGTGAATCATAGAACTGTAGATGAGAAAGGGACCTCAAGGGTCATCAAGCCCAACCCCCGTAGTGCAGGAATCAAGTTATTTTCCTGCACAGTGCCAGTAAATCAACCTTCATAAGCCTAGTGCCCACTGGTTGTTTGACCACCAGTCCCAGCTAGAATGGCTGTGCTGGCAGGGGCTGATGTGAGTTGTAGTCCAAAATGTTCAGAGGGCATCAGGTTGGCAATGGCTGCAATAAATGGCTGACACACACATTCTCCTGCAAACTTATTTGTGGGTAATAATAATAATAATAATAATAATAATATATTTTTATTTATACCCCGCCCTCCCTGGCCAGAGCCGGTCTCAGGGTGGCTAACACCAGTAAAATTACAGTAAAAACCTAATAGGGGGGAAAAAACCGATTTAAAATACAGATTAAAATGCAATTTAAAATGCAGCCTCATTTTAAAAGTAGCCCATGAATCAAAACCATAAGGGGAGGGAAACATAAGGGTCAGAATGAGTCCAAACCAAAGCATTTCTGAAGTATTTCTGTGGAGGTTGCGGACTGTATTACATAAGCTGTCTTTTCCTCCCTTAAGGGTCTGAAAAGTCCTCAGGAGAGTATTCATGATCTGAGCCCCCTGGAGAACTTCAGAATTCCAAGCAAGGTATGGTATATATATATAGTAGGTACTGTGAGCTATCATAGTTTCTGTCATTTTTTGTGCTCTTGTACTTGTGAATCGCTCCTTATTCAAACTGCAAAGTTAACTTATCACATTAATTGTTTGCAGTGGTGGCCTGTGGGCAGAATCTAGCCTGTGGAAGGCTGCTAGCAGGCCCTGGTGTGCTTTGTGAGTCTTGGTTGTGTTTCCCACCATTTTGAAGTAAGGCCCTGCTATTGCCTGTTGCATTCTTTCTGATCGGTTTCATGCCAACTGAGCTCAGCAAGAGCTAAACTGGGGTGGAAAAGAGGAAGCAACAGGGAGAATCGTGTGGTTTCTGGGCAACCATTCAAAGTCTCTCTTCTCGCTTCTGGGCTAGCAGGAAGTATTAGAAGATGTTTGGGTAGTTGCCCCTTATCCCTTCTTCCCCCTTGCCTATTTTCCATTGTCTACACTATGGGGTATATCTCTGGTGGGTTGTGTAAGCCAGAGAAAAAAGTTTCCCTATTAACTTAAAGGATGCATTTTTTAGTCACTGGTAGCCTCTTTGAACTGTACGTGCTTTATTTCTTATAATATTTCAGCAAAAGGCACCTCTTTCAATTTAAGAGATGGGGTTTTGCTGTTGTCATTGTTTTGTGGTTCTCTTGGGCTTTGTGTCATTGTGTTGATGAGCAGTGAGCTTTCTTTAAAAAGAGATGTCCTTTAAACCGAGGACAGCGTATTCTCAGTTCTTTTTTGTGTGTGCTCTGCTCTGCCTCAGAGCTTGCAACAAACCACACCATACACTTGATGAATGAATAAACCTTCTGTGGCTGTTCATTCAAAGGAGGAAGCTAGATTGGGCAGGAATAGGACAGGAGGGGATGTTTCTTTTCAAATGTATCTCTCCCTGCCGCACAATACTGAGATCATTAGTGTATAGTCTTCTTCCATCCCCCACATTGAGAGATTATGGGATGGATAGGATTTTCTTTGTTTTGGCATCCAATTGGGTGACACTCTGTCTTTTAAGCATCAGGGGAAGATTGCGTTATTTGCTCAGACCTTTTGGAGCTCCAGTTTTTAGATCTTGATCTTTTGATTCTGTATTATGCAGAGGCTGCTTAGTGCTCCTAGTCTCTGAATCTTTGATATTTATTTTTATTCTTATGTGAGTTGCTTAGAAGGTCCATGGATTATTGTGTGCGATACAAGTCTGTGCAGTCAATACAAATAGATCCCAGATTCTAGTTTTGATTTTTTTCGTGGGAGGAACAGAGGTTTCTCCTTTGCTTTATTCAATTGCTGTTTATTCAAGGGTGTGTGTGTGTGTGCAGTTTTACTTCTCAAATACCGTATTTTTTGCTCTATAAGACTCACCTTTTCCCTCCTAAAAAGTAAGGGGAAATGTGTGTGCGTCGAATGCATGCTGTACAGCTACCCCAGAAGCCAGAACAGCAAGATGGATTGCTGCTTTCACTGCGCAGCGATCCCTCTTGCTGTTCTGGCTTCTGAGATTCAGAATATTTTTTTTTCTTGTTTTCCTCCTCCAAAAACTAGGTACGTCTTATGGTCTGGTATGTCTTATAGAGCGAAAAATACGGTAATTTTTTATTTGGTTTTACAAAATTAAAGTTATAATAATACCACAACACATCCACAATTAAAAGATTCCTCTGAATCGTTGGACTTCCCACCTTCTCCTGCATGGTTTCTGTTGTTAAACGTTTTCTACTGCATCTTTTTTTCAATAATCCCTATTTTTTTTATGACTCCTTTATGACCCTATCTCTTGTTACATGACAAGTATTATTGGAATCCTGTTAGTGTTTTCAACTGCTTACAGTGGTCTCCAAGATAAATGACAACATTTTCCCATTCTTTATTAAAGTTTTGATCTTCCTGGTTCCTGAGCTTTCCGGTCAGTTTTGCCATTTCATCATAGTCCAACAATTTAATTTGCCATTCTTCTCTGGTAGGGACTTTATCTTCTTTCCATTTTTGGGCTGTGTGTGCAGTTTTCTAGCCAGTCATGCCCCCTTCCAGAATACTCCACTGTTTTTCCATCTCCCAACAGGCACTCTGCATTCTGTGGTCACTTAGCACGATCAGTTCCCCTCCACCTTCAACGTTTTTGTTTGTTTGTTTCTGTGAAAAGGATTCTTCCAAGCATGTTGATACGTCCTTTTTGATTCTCAATGGGTCTGTTTTGGCTACAGCCCTGTTGGCACTCACCACCCATGTTGGCACTTAGAAGAATATGCAGTTTCTTCTGCTGTACCGTTGTGTGAGAGAATCTTCATGCCTGCCTGTGCAGAAATGAATACCTGAGTGAGCAAAGAGGGACACAGTTCAGTGGAAGGGTACATGGTGTGCCATGCATATTCAAGGTCTCATGTTCACTCTCCAGCAAAAGGTAGCTCTGTCTGAAATCTTGGGAAGCTGCTGTGAATTTTAATGAGCAGTAATGCGGTAGATGAACCACTGCCCTGACTGGGTATAATTTCTAAGTAGTCTGCGACTCCTTTAAAAAGGACATTCTGATACTCATTCCACTCTTTCCTGAAACCAACAAACATTTACCAGATTATGCAGAATTTTGCTGGATTGCAACAACTTGGCTTTTGCTGTCACCAGTTTCGATGTAGTATAAGTCTCATATGTAGACTGTACATTTGTTTCAGATATTTTTACCTGCTTCTCGTTGTTTTTTTTTTTTTTTTTAAAGGCTCCCAAAGCATTGTGCAACAATCGGGAATAAGAAAAGGCCTTGCCCTCAGGTTTAGTAGCTAAAATACATGATGTGAAAGGCAAAAGGATTGGGAGGGAGGAGGAAAAAACTAAACTCAGCCACTGCTTCTAATTACAGTGTTCTTATTAGTGTTCTTTCCTGCAGGGAGGGCCAAAGCATACTCCCTGCAGCTAGTCCTTCTCTTGCTGATGGATGGAGCTAGGTTGGTCTCCCCATTTTTCACATTGTTTTCCTGTTTTTTTCCTTTATGTCTTTTGGCGTACAGACGCTATAGAGCCTGAGATGACCACACATTAAAATGTCATCATGATATCATGATCAAAAATGAGCTAAATCCTCTTTGGATTGTAGTAATTTGGGGCAGTGTATAAAGACCACAATTGTATTAATGGCTTCAGCCAGAAAAGAGAGAACCTTAACAGAAAATAAGAGGACTTTCCAAGAAAGCTTGAGCAAGAGTTTTTACTGTCTTTAATCTTCAAGGAATGGGAAGGACCTCCAGATGCTGCTAAAACTACAACTCCCATCATGTCTGATCTTTTTGAAAAGAAGGGCCATAGCAAAGTAATAGAGTATCTGCTTTGTAGATTCAATCTCCAGCATCTTCAGGTAGAACTGGGAGAGATATCCCTGCCTGAAATCCCGGAGAGCTTCTGCCAGTCAGTGTAGACAGTACTGAGCCAGATGGCCCAACGGTTTGACTCCTAGGTTCTGTGCCCCATTGGCCAGAGTCCACCAGCAGAAGGCAACGCCTCTCCAGCTCCTTGAATGTACACACAAATAGGTTCCCCCTGCATTGCTGGGCCACTGTGTCCTTAACTTGTGATGGTGGCTGATTAGAATAGGGAGCATAATGTTTGTTACCATCCATTTGCACAAGAATGCTGCTTAGGCTTTATCACACATTTGTTGTAGCAACTCATTAATGTTCAAAGGACAGCTGGAGGCAGGTTGAGGAAGTAGCCTGGCGAAGCCACCTGAACCCTTTGTTTTGTTGTTCCCTCATGCTAGTTAGGAATGTGGTTTGGGTAGTTGGGCTATGTTTGTTGTGTGGCCTTTAGTTAAAGAGGATGAGGCATGCTGAATTAAAAAAGAAACTCTTGAGGCTGTCCAGATTTAAAATCAACTTCCTTCCTTCCTTCCTTCCTTCCTTCCTTCCTTCCTTCCTTCCTTCCTTCCTCAGTGTTTCATACCTTTAATTTCAAAATTCTGCCTTGCTCATCATTGGGTGATCTATTTTCCCCATCTACTTTTTTTGTATGTGTGGTAGTGGTTTATCTATCACTTTTTATGTGATAGGATTGGACATCCTTTGTGGGGTTGTTGTTTTTTAATGCACAGGACTGGATTGACAGGAAAATGTGTTAACTTAATCACCTGTTGGTTCTTGCTTTGGAGGACTTTAGTTTTTTTTAATTCAGAAAACCACAAGTCTTCTGGCCATACCAACAACGTCCTCCTGGGCAGAATGTGCAGACATCACTAATCCACCCAGATGGTATCACCACTTCAAGCAAGTGTTCTTGTCTGTAAATCACAGTTTCCCAGCAGTTGGATTGCTAATTGTAGTTGATGGGAGGAAAGCCTCAGCTATTCTTGCTTCAGCAAACATGACACCTGTTAATTCTTTTCTTTTCATGGGTTTCAGGAGTGTTGTGGTGGTTGTTTTTGTACCAGTCAAATAGTATCCATGGCAGGTTCACCGAGTCCACACTGTCTGTTGGACAATACTGACATCTTAGGATCTGTGAAGTCCATAGGCTTTCTGTGCAGAGAAAGCTGTTTTGAAAGGAGAATTATCAGCAAGTTGCCTGCAGAGTTTTGGAATTTGATCTCATATGATACCTCTCTTTGAATGGGCTTAAAAGACACACCCACATTTATACTGTCGGTTTTAATTGTGCGTTTTTTGAGTACACTGGTTTTAATAGGACCATGTGATGCTGGGAATTCCTTTTCGTAGCTTGCACTGGTTTTAGTTATATTCTGCACTTGAAATTGTTATGGTATGGTGTTGTTCTTTATGGGGTTTAAAAATCGTATTGTGATGAAAAACTCCTTTGTAAAACTCATGTTTGAGTTTTAAACAAAAAATCAGTAAAAACTGTTGCCACCAGCTTCCGACATCTTTGCTTACTGCTAACTCTTTTACCAAAAACAGGTACAGTGGTGCCTCGCAAGACGAAATTAATTCGTTCCGCGAGTTTTTTCGTCTAGCGAATTTTTCGTCTTGCGAAGCACGAAATCCCATAGGAATGCATTGAAATTCAATTAATGCGTTCCTATGGTCAAAAGTCCAAACAAAGCCAAATTTGGTACAACAAGAGTTTATTAAGTGCTCTTTAAAGTCACACATACTGTAAAGAGCATTTCAAAAATTGAAGGAACAATAAATTAAGTTTCTAAACATGACAGAAAAACATTTAAAAATCAACAAAGTGTACAGTACATTTTCTAAGACTCTGGGGGACAACTCGAAGAAGGTTCCTCTTTCACTCTTTGCTTCTTGCTGAAGAACCCCGTCCTCAACTGTTCCCCCAGCCACCCACCACACAGAAATTCAAATCCAGAATTTTTTTTAAAAAACAGCAGAGTGGCCCAATGGTCACAGAAAATCATAAAAATGCAGGAAAAAACCACACAAGCTTCCAGATTCTTGCAAACCCCTCCTCAGCTGTTCCCCCAGCCACCCACCACACAGAAATTCAAATCCAGATTTTTTTTTTAAAAAAAAAAAGCAGAGTGGCCCAATGGTCACAGAAAATCATAAAAATGCAGGAAAAAAACACACAAGCTTCCAGATTCTTGCAAACCCCTCCCCAACACCAAGTCCTTGAATTCCAAACACCCCAACCCAAAATCCAAACCCCCCCCAAAAAGTTTAAAAGAAGTTTTGGAAAAGCTTCAAAAATCACCAAAGTCTTCAAAAAAGGCTACCACACCGCGTTCTATGAGTTGCTCCTCGAAGTCAAGTCACAACTGTATTAACGGTGTTAAGAAAAAGGAAACAAACTTGCAAGACGTTTTCGTTTTTCGTCTTGCGAAGCAAGCCCATAGGGAAATTTGTCTTGCGAAGCAGCTCAAAAAACGGAAAACCCTTTTGTCTAGCAAGTTTTTTGTCTTGCGAGGCATTCGTCTTGCGGAGCACCACTGTATGGGCAAACTTTTGCCCCTCCAGATGTTGCTGACCTGCAGCTTCCATCAGCTCCAGCAAGCATGGCCAATAATTAGAGGTAGTGGGAATTGTAGTTCAGGAAAATCTGGAGACCTCTCTGTGTACCCAAGGAAGCTGGTGGTCAGAATCCCTGAGGATTGTTAATTAAATGCTTGCAGAGTTCGTTTAGATCAGAGGCAGCCCTGTAAATCATAATGACTGTTTTGTTTACCTGCTCACCCATGAGGGTGTTAATATGTTGAGACATGAAAAAGCTAGTAATTAACACAGCAAAAAAAGTGAGTCACTTTTATGTAGGCTGGGGACTGCGGAGGTAATTCAGTAGGATGGAAATCCACAATGGTGCTTTGAGGCTGAGCAGGAACACGGGTGGTGCTGTGGGTTAAACCACAGAGCCTAGGACTTGCCGATCAGAAGGTCTGCGGTTCGAATCCCCGCGATGGGGTGAGTTCCCGTTGCTCAGTCCCTGCTCCTGCCAACCTAGCAGTTTGAAAGCATGTCAAAGTGCAAGTAGATAAATAGGTACCGCTCCGGCGGGAAGGTAAATGGCGTTTCCGTGCACTGCTCTGGTTCGCCAGAAGCGGCTTAGTCATGCTGGCCACCTGACCCGGAAGCTGTACGCCGGCTTCCTCGGCCAATAAAGTGAGATGAGCGCCGCAACCCCAGAGTCGGTCACGACTGGACCAAATGGTCAGGGGTCCCTTTACCTTTAGGAACGCAGCAGAAGGCATATCTGTGCCATTGTTGATGGATCAGTCTTCTAGGATAATTTCATACCTTCCTTACTGAAAGGCTTGGTTTATGCTTGGGACTGTGTAGACTCCCCATTATTTTACCTATCCATCTTCAGAGCAGAGATGGGGAACAGGGATGCAGGGATCTTGTGCCCAACCTGGGGCTCAAACCCACAACCCTAAGTAAGAGTCACAACTCCTATAATTTATGACTTTTAGCCATGCCGACTGCAGCTGATGGGAACTGGAGAGCAAGAACACTGTTCTCCCAGCCCTGATGTAGAGAAAGGTCAGGTGCATCCAGCAGTGTTCACAGCAGTTTGTGCAACTGTGTGCATTCTCACAATTCTGAAGTTGCACACCATTCCACTACCCCAAGATCTCTATCGCAAAGGCAAAACGACTCTAAGGGACTTATAAATGAAGAGGATCTCTGTTACGGTACATGTGGATACAGAAGGGGCTTCTGAGAATGGGACGAGGTAGCCCTGATGGTTCTTGAAGTGACACACAATTTTGGGGTTGCCTGTCCCTGAAAACATTGCCAAGCTCCAATAGGTTGAGGGCATTGACTAACAGGGTCACTCGGTTGGACCTGGTGAATTATTCTGGTGTGATCCAGTGTACCATTTTTTTAAAAAATTGTGCCTGTGTTGACTTTCTAATCCCTAGGTTTATTAGGAAGCCCACAAGAATACCACACTTATTGTTTGGGTCATAATGCTGTTACCTCAGAAGGCAGATATTTTCCGCTCTCCCCAGCTCTCTCTCTCTTAGGAAGAAAAACAACTTATTGTCATTGCACGTTTTATTGTTCATGTCTCCCTTTGAAGGCATTAAATATTTTTTGTTAACATGTTTTAACATGTTTATATTAAATCTAGATTTCTTTTTAAACCAAAGGGGGGAAAATACTTTTAAAACACATAAAATCTAAATCTAATTAATAGTAAAAAACAAAAAACAAAATCCACCATAAAACAAATTTCTATCCACCTCTGTCACTGGTGGATACATTTCATTAGCCACTATGCTAAATAGATATGTGTTAGATTCTGAAGAACCCCTGGGTGATAATTGGTTGGTTTTAGAAGGTGGCATTTTTGGTATCCTTTTGCCAGAATCAAGTGGATTTATTCATGGGCCATTGTTAAATTTGGGGGCACTTGTAGGATCTGTGGTCCATGGATTTTCACTCCACCAGATTTTTGAAAAATATATTAGGAGTTGATACCGTGGAGCTATGTAGAAGCTTCCGTTCTGCGAAGTTGAACATCACCTTTGCTTTGTGTTAAGAAACCAAAATATTAGCATTGCTTTTTGAAATTGCAATTTCATAGATCGTCCACAAGATGGCACATTAATATAACTAATTGAGACAGCCAAAGTCTGAACCTGCACTCAGAATGTTTCAAAGGAGAATGTGTGTTTAATTCCTAAACTTTAGATGATGCATAAAAAATAGATTCACATACCAGTTGGCAATTATATGAATTTGCTCTCCTGTTTTTATGTCTAGCGATGTGTAGTTGAATCAAAAGCACTTCTAAATCTTAACTCCTCCGCAATCAAGTTAAGCCCCCATTTCTTTGCAAATTCACCACTTGAATAGTTATAGTTCATTTAATTGTCCTCCTGGGCAATTTGCTGCTCACTGTTTTCAGGGAGGGCGGACCGTCCTGCTTGGCCCCATTTTTCTATTTTCCTCTGCCCCTCATGCTTCTTATCTTTCCCTCCTTCTGCTAAGACCAGCCTCTCAGTCTTGACTCTGGGAGGCAGCATGAGAAAAGAGAGGTGCCTTCATGTTTTCTGACCAAGGATCAGGGAGAGGAGAAAATGAGATGTGTCAACATCCTTCCATTCAACAAAGAACATGTCTGGTTTCCTGGGTCTTTAGAAATAACTTCTGAGCTGTTTTGGCACAAGGAAAGTTTTCTTGTTCCTGGGATTTAGAAATGTAGTTTCCCCTGTTTAATCTTATTGAGGTATCTCCTGCAGATAGTACCCCAAGACTCTCTATGGTATAAGAGAACATGTTGTTAGGCCAATACCGTGAACTCTGTTCTTTGCGCTAACATCAACGCACAAGGCTGCAAAACAGGCAGTTGCATCTGCAGTTGGTCTGCAGTTAAGACTTCAGTCTCAGGTGGGAAGTGAAAGGATTCAAACAGGAAAGAGAAAGAGAAATTGTATAAGCACAGTCTCCAACAACAGGAAAGTTACATTGGCATTGGACCTTTGTGGCCCAATTTATTATGATGGATAGATGGGTGTATAAGCATTTTCGTTTAAAAAATAGCAATGCCTTTGCACCCACTTGTTAACAGTAGGGAGAGAGATTATTTTGGGTATGGAGGTGTTTTGTTTTGCTGCTTTGGACAGAGCTGCATTTTCCATACCACCCGATGCCAGTGTTCGTTTTAGTGGGAGCAGACCATTTGTGAGTTTGTACACTGCTTTTTTCCTTCTTTCCCTCCCGTTGTGAATCCCCTGCTTTACAAAATCCCCTGCTTTAGAAAAAGTAGCAGCATGTAAACATTGTTCAAGTCCTCTTTTATTGTTCCTTTTAGCTTCTCTTTTCTGTTCAGTTAAGGATCCAATGGACTCTGTAATTCGCTCTTTATATTTTTGATTTCCTATATAGGAGTCTTGTAATATATAGAATGGTCACGCCTTTCCATTTTGGTGCAAATGTTCAGGTTTTAGTGGCCCAGTTCGTGTTTAACTTCCATGTGTAATTTAGTGTGAATGCGCAAATGGGCATATTCTCAGAGAGGAGATTGCGTCTGCCTTTTTCCTCTGGTTCCGCTGCCACCATGCTATTTTTTGAGGCCGTTAATAGGACAAACCTTAACTGCAGCTTAGGTTCAGATATAAGGCTAAGTGAAACCATGACTTGGCTTACTGTATCATCACAGTAGCAAGAGAAAAATCAGACACAATCTTGATGCATGCCGGGACAAAATAAATAAATCTTAATTTCACATCTACTCTCATGGGATCTGAACTGGTGGTGACTGACCAGGAATGAGACCTTGGGGTTATAGTGGATAGCTTGATGCAGATGTTGACTCAGTGTTCAGCAGCTGCAAAAAAGGAGGCAAATTCCATGCTAGGGATGGAAATTCCATTAGAAAAGGAACTGAAAATAAAACTGCCAATATAATGCCATTATAGGGTGTGTCTGCATTTGGAATACTGTGTACTGGCCACCTCACTTCAAAAAGAATATGGTGAAGTTGGAAAAAGTTCAGAATAGGGCAACCAAAATGACCAAGGAGATGGAGCCTCTCTCCCCTGTGGTTTGCTTAGTGTTACATGTGAACTGATCGTTGTGCGATTGCTGCTTTCTGTCTATTTCTTGATTGGTTTCTCTTTGGTTAAGCTGTTAATTAGTCATGCACGGTGAGCTCAAGTTGAGAAATTAATGGAATAGCTTTTAGAGCAGTCAAATTAATGTTTTATGCAATCGTACTGTGATGATTAGACTAGAGAAAATCTTATTTTTTATTTCAGGCAGAGGTCTATTAAATATTCAGGTACTGTTAATTAAATCTGAGATGTTGTAGAACTATTATTCTGTTTTCAAGTAACATGTTGGATGTGTTCTGCAGCTGTGTGAAATTGAAAAGTGACAAATTAAATATCTCTGTGTCTCATAAAATATATTAAAACTATCCTCTAGCAACTTTACTGTTGCTCGGTGTAGAGGCTGCCGTACTAATGAGATATATAATTGTATGTGTAGGTGCACGGCCACATAATGATAGTGTTGGGAGCTGTCGAAATCGGCCCTCCATTTTCTGCTGGAAGATTAGCAGAATATCCCACTGTTTCATTTTGCCTTAATAGAGCAGGTCTGTTTTTCTTAGGACAACAGAGAGCAGCAAATGTAGGGCCCCGCTTTCCCCCCTTTTCTATTCATCATCATCATCATCAAACCTTTATTGGCATCACATACAAACATTCAGAATAAATAGGCCAGTGCGATCTCGTCGCCATTTCAACAGTACAGTCATTTGCCAAAGGGAAGAAGAGGCGAGCAATCTATTTCATCTCTGTGGGTCTCCAGCAAGGGCAGGATCCTGTAGCATACTTCGGTGACAAAAAAAATCAAATAGAGGAACTTAGCTACTGTCTTGGTGAGCTCCTGGTCTTTCCCCTGTAATAAGAAGCGTATAACCTCTGTCTCTGGTTTCCATGTTGGAATACATAGAAGGTCTAGAAATTGTTGGCGGAGATCATCATACATTTTACATTTAAGGGCCGTGTGAGCTAGAGTTTCCACCAGATGGGCATCGCATGGGCAGATCCTGTCTCCTTCTGCCATACCCGCAAACCTACCCCAAAGGAGGTTAGAAGGATTAGAATTGAACCTAGCCAGTGAAAAAGCCCTTCTTTCTTGCGGGTTAAACAAAAATTGTAAATAATTGAGGTTAAATTCCTGCGCCCAAGAGAGTCAAAAATAAAGAGGGGAACATGTTTTTCCCGCAGCTGAGATTAGTTCCTGGCGATCTATGTCCCACAGCCTAGTTTTTAACCATGGCCTTGGCGATTGGGAAAGCTGCGGCGCCCAGGAGATCCTCTGAAAGCCCGAGTTGCCGTATCTTTGTGCAAAACGGTTGTAGCCCTGGGGAAGGGAAGGAGTCTGACAGAACTTTGCTAAGTAAAGTATCTTTACTTATTGTCAGGGGCTCAGGAGCAGAGGCACAGGAAAGGGAGGAAATAGAGAGCGAGGGGGAGGAGTCCGAAGGAAATGTTAGCGATGACAGCGGTCCGAGGTCTCTGAGTCTTTCCAGCGAATCGGAAGATTCACAGAAAGGGGCTCCCTTGGTCAGAGCAAGGGGGTGCCGAGGGGACACCCCAGGAAGAAGGGGCCAGAGGGGACTCAGAGAGCAGCAGTTGGAAATCAGGACCAGCGTCCACACCAGAGTGCAGTAGGGGGGGAGGAGTCCCAGGCATCGGGATCAGGCGGCGCACTGCCAGTGGGAGGACATGAGTCAGGATTGGCCACGCCTCCATCGGGGAGCGAGGAAACGGTCGAGAGGAAGGTTGAAGGCTGGGCGCGCGCGCCAAGTTCAAATGTACAGGAGGGCGGCGCAGTTGGCAGCCCGGATAGGGAGCCAGGTCCCAAAGCCCGCCGAAAAGAGGGGGAGGAGTCAGGGGGTCAGCGTCAGAAGAATCCAGGAAGGAAGGGACCCCGGGGGGTAGCAGGACCCAGAGGAGAAAGGAGAGACGTAAGAGGTGGAGTAAGGCTAGAATCTTAAACTGGTGTACAGGGGCGGAGACTCAGATGGAGCTTCGCCGATCTAACCCCTAGACGTAGAGCTGGGGCGCTCCGGCTTGAAAATGGAAACTGTACTTCAATAAAGACTTTTGTACATTACTGCCGGCTAGCGTTGGTCCTCTGTGAGCTGGGACCTGGAGCCAGCTCTGACAGTAAGCTCCATCTCCTAAAGTTTTGCACCAAAAACCTCGTAACGTGAGTGGACGCAGCGAGGGAAGAAGATTGGTGCTTCGCGAGCTCACAAAAGTCAGGCAAGATGACTACAGAACAGCAACTAGCAGCCCTGCAAAATGCAGTGACACAACTCAACGCGGAGGTACTCGCATCCAGGAAAAGGGAAGAGGAAGCGGCTGCCGCCTGCAGGGATCTCCAAGCCAGGTTGGAAGTGCTTGCTAAGCAGGGGCAACCGGGACCCAAATCAGAGGGATTGGGCTGGGGAAAGAGGAGGCAGCCTGGTATCTCATTTCGATGGGAATTTGCAGCAGTACCCTAACTTCCGAGCAGACGTGCTGTTTGCGCTGGAACTGCTGGATAAAGACTTTAGAGATGAGCAAGAGAAGGTGGGGTTTATCTTGTCCCATTTGCATGGGGAAGCTAAAGCGTGGCTGCGCAATCTGTGGAGAGATAAGGATCCGGCGCTCCAAAATGCGGATGCATTCATTAAAGCGATGGATTCGTGTTTTTATCAAATATAGACATTGATATCGCCAGAAAAAGACATACATGGGCTCAAACAAGGCAGAGCCAGTGTAAGGCAGTACCATTCCCGCTTTTTGCATTAGTCCATGCGCTGGGATGGGAGAAGGATTCTGCCCCAGCCAGAGACCTTTTTGGGAAGGCTTGAATGCAAATGTGAAAGATGAGATTGCAAGGGGGGAGAGACCAAAGAGCACTCAGGAGGTTGTCCGGCGGGCGCTGCAAATTGGGGTGCGTCTGGAAGAACGTCCATGGAACAGAGAAGAAGGACGTTGGGGACGTACGCCAGTGAGGCACCTCCCCTCTTTCCCAAGGATGCAGCGCGTGTGCAATCCCCACCTCCGCAAGGAGGGAGAGCAACCGATGGAGATTGGAGCGCCAGGGCTCAGTCAGCAACCAGAGCCTTAACACCGGGAGCAGTCAAGCGAAGCCTCCTAGAGGGAACAGGAAGTGCTACATCTGCGACAGTGCTCAGCACATGGCGAAAGAGTGTCCCCAGAGGCTCCACAAGCACACTGCAGCCTCAGCAACAGTAACAGAAGCAACTCAGCAGAGAGAACCACAGCAGGGAAACGACAGAGTCTGGTTGGAGGAAGAGGCACTGGGGCCCAACCAGACAAGTCAATGAAGCCGTCCCCAGAGATTTTGCAGCCCACAGACCCCCTCCCGCCCAAACCAGTGGTGCAGCTCACAGCATCGCTCCAACTACCCAATGGACTCACTATGGAAGTGCCGATTACCATTGACTCTGGTAGTAACGCAGACTTCATAGGACTGGATTTCCTTCAAGAGCACAACATAGCACTCCTGCCAGCCACGCTGCCTCTGAAAGTTGTCACGGTGGATGGCAGGGAATTGCTGGGGGGGGTCTGTGGTGCAGCAAACGCCTCCGATGGTGATGCAAATTGGGAATCACCGAGAAGTCATCAGCTTCAATGTCACCCAACTGTCGGACACGCCTATAGTATTAGGCATGAGTTGGCTGCACAGGCACAGCCCAGCATTGGCGTGGTACCAGCGACAACTGACCTTCGGCTCCTCATACTGTGCGGAACATTGCATTCTGCCTAGCCCGGAAGGGGAAGAGGATGACCCGCAGCTACAATTAGGCACGCTGCAAGCAGTGCCACTCAAATACGCAGCGTTTTTGGAGGTTTTCTGCGAGAAGGAAGCGGACAAGCTACCTCCCCACAGGTCTTATGACTGCAAGATTGACCTCCTGCCAGGGCGGCGCTGCCAACCGGGAAACTGTATTCCATGTCTGAAGACGAGCTGCAGGAACTCAGGGAGTTCATAGACCTCAACTTGAAGCGCGGTTTCATCCAGGAGTCGAAGGCAGTGGGGGCAGTCCTGTATTCTTTGTGAAGAAGAAGGACACGCCCCAAAAAGGCTTGTGGTGGACTATAGAATTTTGAACTCGAAAACCAAGCCCACAGCCTTTCCCATGCCCAAGATAGATGACCTGCTCGCAACGGTGAGGAAAGGACGCGTTTTCACAAAGTTGGATCTGCGAGGGCGTACAACCTGATTCGCATACGGGAGGGCGACGAATGGAAGACTGCCATGTTCACGCCCCTGGGCACCTATGAATACAGAGTTATGCCCTTTGGATTACAAAATGGCTCCCACTGTTTTCAAGCCTTCATGCATCACGTATTGGCGGGTCTCCTCTACAAGAAATGCGTCTGCTTTCTGGACGACATCCTGATATTTTCAGAATCAGAGGAGACCCACGAGGGAGACGTCAAGGAAGTTCTGCAGAGACTGCAGGAGCACAGGCTGTACGCCAAGCTGGAGAAGTGCCAGTTCGACATGAAGGAGGTAGATTTCCTGGGCTACAAGTTGTCGGACAAGGGGCTCGCCATGGACAGCGCCAAGGTTCGCTCAGTGTTGGACTGGAAGAGCCCGCGCAATCGGAAGGAGGTCCAGCGGTTTGTCGGTTTCGCCAACTTTTACCGCAAGTTCATCAAGGGGTTCGCGATGCAGACGGCGGCCATTACCGACACGCTCAGCTCCAAGAAGAAGAAGTTCATCTGGACGGAGCAAGCGGAGCAGTCCTTTCAGAAACTCAAGCGTCTCTTCTCGTCCGAAGAGCAGCTACTGCATGTGAATCCCAGCAGACCGATGAGGGTTGAAACGGACGCCTCAGACAGAGCCGTGGGAGCAGTACTGTTGCAGCAAGACCCGCATGGGGACTGGAGACCGTGTGCCTTCTACTCCAGGAAGCTCAGCAAGTCAGAGCAGAACTACACCATCTGGGACAGGGAGTTGCTGGCCATTCATGCAGCATTCAAGGCGTGGCGGCACTTCCTCATTGGAGCCAAACACACAGTGCAGGTCCGCACGGACCATAAAAACCTGGAGTACTGGCGCACGGCAAGGTTCCTGAACCAGAGGCACATACGATGGGCGGAGTTCTTTGCGGATTTCGACTTCAGGATAGAGTACATCCCAGGCGACAACAACATCATGGCGGATGCACTGTCCAGAAAGCCGCAATACCTCGAGGAGGCGGCACCAGCAGCGGCCAAGCACATCTTCGCACCGAAGCGTGGGCGTGCGCTTCAGCAACCGTGGACCTGGATGCTGTACGTCGAGCACTGCAGGAGGACCCCTTCGCGCAAGCAAAGATGGCAGAGGTGCAAAGGGGCACGGCGGAGGACGACGAGTTCCAGATACGCGACGGATTGCTCATCCGCAGAGGGGCCCTCTACGTACCGGGAGACGACCTCCGCGCGAAAGTACTGCAGCAGTTGCACGACGCACCCACCGCCGGGCACTTTGGCAAAGAGAAGACGGTAGAATTAGTAGCCAGAGATTTTGGTGGCCCAAGATGCGGGGGAAGTCGCGGATTACGTCTCGAGGTGCGACACCTGCCAAAGGGCCAAGTCAGTGCACAAACCGCCGGCGGGACTGCTCGAACCGCTGCAGACACCGCTCGAACCGTGGGAGAGGGTGGCCCTGGACTTTGTCACGGATCTACCCAGCTCGAGGGGCAAGACGGCAGTGCTAGTGGTGGTGGACATGTTCACCAAAATGGCCCACTTCATTCCGTGCGCGAAGGTGGCCACGGCGGAACAGACCGCCAAACTGTTCATAGACCACGTGTTCAGGGTTCACGGTCTGCCACGGTCTATCCTGTCCGACCGGGGCGACAGTTCATCTCGAACTTCTGGCAGAAGCTGATGGGTTTCCTGAACGTCAAGATCAACCTAGCGTCGGCGAGACACCCGCAGACGAACGGACAAGCGGAGCGAGTCAACGCCATCATGCAGCAGTACCTGCGATGCTACGCAAATCAGCAGCCGGCAACATGGGTGGACTACCTGCCGCTCGCTGAGTTCGCCTACAACAACACGAAGCACGTGTCCACGGGGGTGACACCGTTCTTCGCCAACAACGGGAGGCATCCCAGAACCTTCCCGGGATTAGCGAGAGCGGGGAGGGGAGCCACAGGCAGCGGAAGCCTTAGCATCAGAGTTGCAGGAGGTTCACGAACAGCTTCGGAGGCAGTTAGAACTAGCAAAGCACGCATACAAACTGCAGGCTGACAAGCACAGAAGGGTTGGGGAAGACATACAGGTGGGAGACTGGGTTTGGTTAGCAGCCCAGGCAGTGCCGGCCAGATCGTTAGCGAAGAAGAAGCTAGGGCATAAGCAGCTAGGACCCTACCAAGTCGAGGCACAGGTCAATCCAGTGGCCTTCCGGTTGACACTGCCGGAGGGATCCAGAATGCACCCAGTTTTCCATAGATCAGTGCTCACGCCCTACAAAGCACCTCATAGATTTCAGGAGCCAGGAACGGCACCAGACCCGTTCAGGGAAACGCCCACAAGGGGGGGGGTCGCCAAGGCGGGAACCCGTCAACGAAGTCACAGAGATTTTAGACTCCAGATGGGGGGAAGAGGGAGTAGAATATCTTCTCGCCAGAGAAGGTACCCCGGCCAGCGCCAACAGTTGGGTGCCAGATTATGCTCTGGAGGAATCTTGGCTTAAGGACGAGTTTCATGCCCTTTTCCCACACAGGCCCATGCCAGCCGAGTATTTCGACGACTGGCTTTTCACACCCACATTTTCAGCTAGCACATTCCAGGGGTTCACCTCGGACGAGGAACCGGCACTAGAAACACGTTCCCCGGAGGGATCACCCTCGGGGTCTGCCTCAGACCGTTCCTATTGGTGGGACAATCAACCAGAGGAGCAGTGGCGCAGGAAGTGGTTGGGGGGTCCTTGGCAGGCAACGTCCCCGGAGGAGACCGGGGAGAGACGGACATGGACGTGTTGGGGAGGACCTTGGGTTCGAGCACGGCGGCAAAGAGATGGAAGCAGAGGAAATTGAGGTCGGCGAGAGCACGGAGGACGAGCCGGACTTATCCGGCTGGATGCACGCCACGGGGGACGAACTGTATCCGGCACTCACCCCCACAACGACGGAGCACCCAGTACCCACACCTGAAGGAGGGGAGGGGGAAGGGGGGCTTCGAGGGGGATGGATGTCAGGGGTTCAGGAGCAGAGGCACAGGAAAGGGAGGAAATAGAGAGCGAGGGGAGGAGTCCGAAGGAAATGTTAGCGATGACAGCGGTCCGAGGTCTCTGAGTCTTTCCAGCGAATCGGAAGATTCACAGAAAGGGGCTCCCTTGGTCAGAGCAAGGGGGTGCCGAGGGGACACCCCAGGAAGAAGGGGCCAGAGGGGACTCAGAGAGCAGCAGTTGGAAATCAGGACCAGCGTCCACACCAGAGTGCAGTAGGGGGGAGGAGTCCCAGGCATCGGGATCAGGCGGCGCACTGCCAGTGGGAGGACATGAGTCAGGATTGGCCACGCCTCCATCGGGGAGCGAGGAAACGGTCGAGAGGAAGGTTGAAGGCTGGGCGCGCGCGCAAAGTTCAAATGTACAGGAGGGCGGCGCAGTTGGCAGCCCGGATAGGGAGCCAGGTCCCAAAGCCCGCCGAAAAGAGGGGAGGAGTCAGGGGGTCAGCGTCAGAAGAATCCAGGAAGGAAGGGACCCCGGGGGGTAGCAGGACCCAGAGGAGAAAGGAGAGACGTAAGAGGTGGAGTAAGGCTAGAATCTTAAACTGGTGTACAGAGGGCGGAGACTCAGATGGAGCTTCGCCGATCTAACCCCTAGACGTAGAGCTGGGGCGCTCCGGCTTGAAAATGGAAACTGTACTTCAATAAAGACTTTTGTACATTACTGCCGGCTAGCGTTGGTCCTCTGTGAGCTGGGACCTGGAGCCAGCTCTGACACTTATCTTTACAAATGTTTAGCCAGCGTAAAAGAAAACTCGTCCAGGCAACTGTCTCTAGCTTATGTTGGCCTCCCTCTAAACACAGGGCTGCGTAAGGTACGCAGCGTGGGACAGCGAAAATCTTTTTTTCCTTTGCTATTAGAAGGGGGGCAAGATTGGTTTGGGACAACCTGTGGCTTAGGTGGTCGATGGTGCCACCTCAAGTTTCACTTGTTTGGTCTGGCAACCATTTAGAGAGTGTGTGAGAGACATTTGTCCCGTGCCCTGGTGAAGTGGGGACACGTTGCTTCTGGGTCTGCCTCTGAGGAACCTCAACTGTCAGTGCTTGAACTTTGGAAGGCCTGAAGGGAAACCCGGTTTCCTCCATTGGCAGTGACAGATTTGCTCACAAACTAAGCAAGCTACATTTTAGGGCCTCAGATTGTGAGGCACCTCTTAATGCAGAACAGTTAACTTTCAGGTTTTGCATAATTGGTTAAAAATGATAGAATGATACGTGCTGTGTGTGTGTGTGTGTGTGTAATGCTATGAGGCCTAAACTTGATATGCTTTAGGGTTGTGACATGTCTTAATCTGGTCGTAATTTGCCAGTAGGTGTAGTGAAGGTTTACAGAATAACATTCTGCATTGTGAGAGAAAGGTAGTGACATTTCGCCAAGACAAAGTGTCGAAAAGTGTTTCTTTATTCAAAACATAAGAAAATACAGTTCCTATTTGCTGCATACCTAATCCTCTGTCCTAGTTTGTATTGTGAATATCCTTTGGAAGGCTAAATTGCGTTGGCGGTACATCACTGTCCAATGTATAACACTTTATTTGAACCTATTGTGTGTTTAAGGAGGAACTTAGAGAGCTCCGGGAACAACCAACTGATCCTCAAGCTCAGCAAGAATTAATTAACAGCATTGAAGAAGTCTATTTTTCCAGTGATTCCTTTGACATTGTTAAGTATGAGTTGGAGGTAAGAGAATTATTTAGATTAGAATGACAAAGATTTCTGATGTACACACACATGCTGGGCTTCATAGTACCGAATCTGCTTTTGTTTTTTGTTTTAACGTTCAAAATAAATTTATCTGTCCTTTTGTTGTTTTGGTAGAACGCCTCCAAAGCCCACTAACACCCATGGTGGTGATTCTGGGTGTGTGTTGTCCCAGTGCTCATTGGGCTTTTTAAATAATTCTCCAATTGTGTGATGTTTATATCAGGGGATTTAACTGGATTTTATTTATGCTTTACCTGCAGAAGCTGCCTCCTGTTCTTAGTCTTCAAGAACTGGAAGAATACAGAGACAAACTAAAGCAACAGCAAGCTGCTGTGAGTCGGAACTGCTTTCTCTCCCCTCCTCTCCAATCCCTTCAATGAGATCTACATAAACTTCTCTTTTTTTTGTTGGAACTGAAAAAATAGATATGGCTTTAACACAACCTCTGAAAACAATGCCACATATTTCGGTGCAGACCTGCAAATTTAAATTGAGGCAAGGGCCACTGTCTACCACTTTTCTATCCGAGTTTAGCTGCTGTCTGGTCCTTAGCTTGTGCTCCAATCCTTTCTCTCTTTCCTCCTTCTTCAGATACTCTTATGTGTCCCTCCTTGCTTCAAGGGCAGCCTCTAGTGGCCTTGTGCTTTGGGAATTTCGTGGGGGAGAGCTATCGGTCTATATCATAGCATGGGGCCGCCTTCTTCAACCTGGTGTCTTCCAGAGGTTCTTCAACTCCAACTCCCATAATTCCAGACCATTGGCCATGTTGAACGGGAGTTTGGAAGTTGAAGAATATATGGTGCACACCAGGTTGAGAAATGTTGGCGTAGGCCTGGCATGCAGAAGGTTCCATAGTCAATCCCTAGCATGCCCAGTTGAAAGAGAGCTCAGATAACTGTTGCCTGTGGTATAAGGGCTAGTAATCTTGCTTGATATAAGACAGCTTTGTGTGTTTTTATGTTGAAGCAAAATCTAAAAATCAGGGTAGGAGAAGGCAGACTCTGATTGTGTTGCACTTTGTTTCTATGGGGTTGGATCCAGACTTCTCAATGGTAGTGGTCCACGTATGGGACACTCCTGTTGGAGAAATGGTGGCAGGGTAATGTGACTTTTGCTGATTTCCCATCCCACTTTCCATGCCCCCTAAAAATCTGTTCTGGAAAGACGGGGGTCCCTTCATCTGGCACGCGGGGGCAACAGGAGAAAGGAGGAATCAGGAATTTGCCTCCACGCCACCTTTCCTCCATTGCGAACCTCCTTTGGCTCTCCCTTCCACAAAGGGCAGCAATCCTATCGTTCACAGAAGGGCAATCTCTGGATCCAACTTCTGGTGTAGTATGAACAATTGTTTTTCACATGGTTCCTTAACTGGTCGGGGTGGGGAACCTTTTGGATGTTGCTAAACTACACATCCCATCAGCCCCAGCAAGCATGACCAATGATGTGGGATGATGAGGTTTGTAGTTCATCAACATCTGGAGGGTCAATCCGAACTAGCCAGTTCGGATTAGCTAGTTATTCTGCATCTCTTACAGGTTTGCGCTTGGCTTGCTTGGGTGGACTAGTTTATGTTATTTAAGGCATCCATTGAATTGTGCAAGCATGGGACACACACAGACACACACACACACACACACACACACACACAGGGGAAGAGAGATTCCAGTTCTCTTGAGGATGCATATTATAATCTGGATGGTATGGGCAAATTTGCAGATGTTAATGCTTTTTAAGGCAAAGAATCCAGTGTCGTGACTTGTGTGTCTCTTCTAGTACCACAGATGATGGCTTAACTACGCTTATTTTGTTCCTTGCTGGCTGAGTACCAGGTGCACTCACATTGCATTTACTGGAACTCAGAAGTAGTGGAAAGAGGAAAAAAAACATACAGTGCATTAAAAGAAAAGTAATAAATTAACATTGGTACACAAATAGTCATTGCTGCATTCCGTAAATTGCTTTTAGGATGGCATCTCTGCCACAAATGTGGATTTATTTAAATCTCTTTTATAGATGAATCATATATGATTATGCATTAATGACAAGGTAAAATGACTATATTAAGCTTCATTGTTGTATGTCTCTCAATTTTTATTCAAGAGTATCTTTCAATTTGAAATGGGGTGGGAGGTTAATTTAGATTCCGCTACTGGTTTGCAACGAGAGCCTGTAAGTTCTCATGTATTTGCTTCATATATGGCCATCATTTTTGGAGTGTTTATCATTTTTTACATGCGAATATTTTAATGTAGATATAATCTAATGTTGTGGAGGACTTACTGAAATTTTTTGAAGAGGTTCTAAGTGCTTTCTGTCAACCTGTTCTTTTAATATAGTACCCTGCTTATATCTGCTGCTTCGTAATTTGAATGTTTTCTTTAAGGTATCTAAAAAAGTTGCAGACTTGATACTTGAAAAACAACCTTCATATGTCAAGGTAAATTAATGAAATCCACTGTGTGCTTGTTTATTATTTTTAAGTAAGTGAGGAGAGTGCTACTGCTCTCAGGACCTGGCTGTGGTCTTCCTGTAGGCATATGGCTGCCACTATGAGACCAGGATGCTGCCCTGTGCTGGGCTATTGGCCTGATCCAGCAGCCCTATTTTCTTATTTTCCTGTCTCATGAACTTAATATATTATTTATGGTTTCTGAAAAAGCAAATGCTGAATTTTGTCATTTAGAGATTTCCAGTGTGACCAAAAAAATAAAAATAAAAATGGATCCCAAACTGTGCAGTTTGAAATGTGATTTTATTTTCAGAATGGCAAGTCTATAAATTGTAGAGCTTAACTCCACGGAGGTCATAATCTTTCAAAGCTTCAATGTGAGCCAAATGCTTTATGTGTCTGCAGAATTGTACTGTGAGTCATCTTGGTGCATACATGGACCTAAACCAAGACATTATACCAATACACAGCTCTTTACTTACTATGATGTTCAATTTTTATTTTAACTTTTTTTTTTTAAAAAAAGAATGGACTGAATGTAAATTAAGAGTACATTTTGTAGGAGGGCGTCTCCTTTTAAGCCAATTGCTTTGTATCCTTGGAGAAATAAATTGCTGCTTTTGTCTTTCTGCAGGAGCTTGAACGAGTTACATCCTTACAGACTAGCCTCCAATTAGCTGCTGTTATTTGCACAAATGGAAGACGGTATAGTGCACCCTTTTACTGATGCTTGATTTGCTTTACAAAATGAAAAAAGGATCATTTTAAAGTAGTTTTCTAGCTGCCTTTACTTTTGCTGCTACTTTCCTTTAGCTATATATTTCAGGTTTAAACAAAAATAGGCAATTTAAAACTTCACCTCTTGCGAATGTCTTTATTGGCTACATTTATTAGCTACAAGCTAGTAAACATTTTTGCAGGCTAGTAACTTCTGTGTGCTTACTTACAAGGCTGACATTGTGCCAGATCAAAGTTAATCGCCCTTAACCCTGTTTTGGTGTGATGTCTGAATCAAGAGTTTGCCTCAGTTTGGATCCACTCCAATCTGGGTTCAGACCTAGGTATTGAACGGAAACAGCCTTTGTTACCCTGATGGGTGATATACCAGAGAATGCATGGGAGGGAATGTTAGTGTTCTCCTGGACATCTCAGTAGCTTTTGATACCACTGTATGCTTCTGGGGTGGGTTTAGGGGGGCACTGTTTTATGGCGACTCTTCCTTCATAAATAGTTATTCTCAAAGGACAGTGGTAGGTGACGTTTCCTCCACATGTGGCCATTGGACTGCCTTTGGAGACTTTTTGAAAATAGTGTTTAAAGCTGGTTCAGAACATGGTTGCCATCACCCTGATGGGACGGAGACATTCAGATTCTGTAACACACTTACTGGACCAGCTGCAGGTGCCTATCAGAACCCAATTTTAAGGTTTTGATTTGGGCTCAAGCTATTTTGTTGACCATTAGCACCATACTAGTTGCCCACACATTGTGATCAAAAACAGATACTCTCCTCATATGTCCACCTCCTAGATCAGTGAGATTAGTGGCCACAAGGCAGGGGATCTTTTGTGGTAGCTCTGTTGCTTCAGATCTCTCAGCCAATTGATCTGTTCTGGTTTCCCATGCTTCAAGCCTTTCAGAAAGCCCTAAAGCAGGCTTCCTCAAACTTGGCCCTCCAGACGTTTTTGGCCTACAACTCCCATGATCCCTAGCTAGCAGGACAAGTGGTCAGGGATGATGGGAATTTTAGTCTCAAAACATCTGGAGGGCCGAGTTTGAGGAAACCTGCCCTAAAGACATACCTTTTCTGAGTAGCTGATTCATTATTGAGGTTTTACAGTCTGTATTGTGGTTTGTCATTGGTATGAAAAGTGTGTTAATTGGCTGGCTGAGGGTTTTTATTGGGTATTCTTTGTGTGGGGAGTGATTTGATGATATGTTGCAAGCCTCCTTGGATGGGCAGTGAGTGGAAAGGTGGCCTGGAATTAGTATAAATAAAGCAATATTTTGCAAATATTGTTTGAAGGGTGTGTGAAGAGATTCCTTTGCCTTTGGAGCAGATGTGTGCGTGCATATGTGTGTGTTTTATAATTTCTCTGCATTGTTTATTAGTACTGGTCTTTGCTTTAGAACACAGACTTAGCATAGCATTGCTCATTTTTATACACAAGCCTTATTGTATTCCATGAGAGTTACTCTTTCATTATGAAAAAATATATATTATTTGACTTCTGCAGACATCTGAGCACAGCAAAAGAGGGTTTTACTCAAGCCAGCTTGGGCCTCCTTGCCAATCAACGAAAACGCCAGTTGCTGATGGGGCTGCTAAAATCTCTGAGAACGATAAAAACCCTGGTATGAGCAGAGTTTCATGTTTTTAACTATAGAAATCATTTCTCTAGTGTTCTGTGCAGTGACCTCTTCCTCCTTTTAATTTCCAGCAACAAACTGATGTCCGCTTAAGTGAAATGTTGGAGGTAAGAATATAACCGGACTATAATTTAATTGTAATTGAAGGGAACATCTTTTTGTTCACATGCATTCTAACTGTATTAGGGGCTGCCATCTTGGCCCATCTGTGGGCTATAACTCCCTTTGAAGAGCGAGGCCAGGCCTTGGCTGCTCTTGTATGCTCCTGTGTTGCATCAGCTGTGTTAATTGTTATGCCTACTTTTAAGAAGAACCAATCACAGATTAGGCTTACGTGGGAGAGAGGTGAAATTGTTACTATTTTATAAATGTTTGGCAGCCTCCTGGGTTGTGGACTTACCCCTCCTGTGTCTGAAGGTCAATAGTTTGTGCTTTGGTAACCACCCACAGCAAGCCATAGAACTGTATAGTTGGAAGGGACCCCGAGGGTCATCTAGTCCAACCCCTGTAGTGCAGGATAGAATCACAGAATCATAATGGGAAGGGACCTTGAGGGTCATCTAGTCCAACCCCTGCAGTGCAGGATAGAATCACAGAATCATAATGGGAAGGGACCTTGAGGGTCATCTGGTCCAACCCCCTGCAGTGCAGGGACCTTTTTGTCCGAAATGGGGCTTGAACCCATGACCTTCGAGATTAAGAGCCTCATGCTCTACCAAATGAGCTATCCTGTTGGCTTGCAAAGACTGGAAACATCAAGCACAGCTATCTTGAGCAGATCAGAGAGCCTTCTCTCAGGAAATGCAGTGATTGCAGGTTTTTTTCTTTAATAAACTCAATGTCAGTGTTGTTGAGTTCTTATTCTACGTCTTATTTCCCACAGGAGGAGGATTACCCTGGGGCTATCCAGCTCTGCCTGGAATGCCAGAAAGCAGCTAGCACTTTCAAACACTACAGTTGCATCAGGTAACGCAACAGGCGTCTTCCAGAGTTGATTTTTGTCCTTCAGGCACACAGGGACAATGACGGAGCGTGCGATTCTTTAGGGAACGCCTCACAAATTATAATTTACTGGGCCCCAGCACTGGAGATTAATTTTCCATCTTGAAAAAACAAGTTTTGGTGTATGTGTGTGTGGTGTTTGTTTTTAAAAGGCCTGTAAAGTGCAATTAACTTTCTGTATAATTTCCTGACTTGCTGCACATAGTGGCTGCTCATAATGAAAGCGCCACATGGCTGAACGGTTTTGCAAGGTAGCACTTTCTTTTTAACATGAACTGATTGCCACTGAAGGCTAAAAAGTGGTACTGTATATTGTGTTCATTTTGGTATCTGTGTACAGCTGCAATCCCAAACGCATATAATCTGAATGCAGTTGGATTTGCATCTGAGGCTGCATACACACTGTAAATTTAAAACACATTTAAAGCAATGGATTCAGTGCAGGATCCAGATTTAGTACTGATCTGGGCCCACAGATTGTGTGTGTGTGTGTCTGTGTGTGTGTGTCTGTGTCTGTGCATATGTGTGTACCAGCCCTAGAATCTAACAAATTACACTATCTCTTTCCAAGTCTTAGTACTTTTTGGTTTCTAAGAATCCCCGGGCTTTCCAGTAGAAAGTTGCTCATCTGTTGGCTGTGCATATGGCCACCTCTTAATCTATCATAATTAAATTTTGCATGATGATTCCTAAGATAAGGGAGCAGGGAAGTGCTGGGAGGTGGCAGTGCTTAGAAGTGCTGTTTCCCAGCTTCCTAGGTGTTCTGATTGCTGGTGCTGGATAGAATGTTTTTGGAGCCACCACAAAACGTTAGGGCTCAGCGTTGGTATGAGAGAGCTGCAAATGTTCATCCAAGTGACAAGAGGTGGGCATAGTCTGGGCAACAATTGTGCGGCTGTGCCAAATGCTTCTTGCATATTTACAAATAAAAATTCTTAGCCGATTGCCTTGGCACACCATTAATCTTTTGTACCTCTGTGTACATGTGTCTGTGTGTTTAACAATGGTTATTCAATGGTATTCAATTAATGCACAGCAGCCTTATTAATCTTGCAGACATTCAAATGCGTAAAACTATACATCATTGATGGGTTTGCTAGTGACATTTGTATATTGATGCTGCTTAATTATTGAACAGGTGTTCAGTTTCATTGCATTGTACTTCAGGTTAGCAGGAGAAATGAAAAATATTGGCAGAGTCAAAAGTACAAGTCAGTCCACTGAGAAAAGCCCCAGTTTAGCTAATTAAGTGGAGAAGAGAGGCCAGAATCCTGCCCCTTCCAGTTGCTTGTCTGGCCCAACTGCCAATCAGGCTATAGGACTCCTTTTGCAGTGTCTGGTTGCTGATGGAAAGGGGGGGAAAGGCCCTTAAGCTCTGGCCTTCTCTCATCCATCTATATTTTATATTTATTTCTTATGGAGCAATCTAAACTTCTCCCTCCCAGTCTACTGGGGCTTTACAGAGCTACAGCACTTCCACACAGGTGGGGTGAAGGAAGCAGATCACAGTGCTGTGATCAGGCCTGAATTGGGCTTGATGCCATCACAGAACCCAATGAATCTTGGGCCACCTCAGTCCCACCCCATGAAAGCCCTGTTTGGGAGATTTCTGCTGGAAGAGTATCACGTTGACAGCACTTTCGGCCATCCATTAGACAGGAGAAGGGGGAGCTCCACGCTAGCAGAGTGATGCTGCTGTTATTTTGCAGGTAGTAGCAGATGGATGCCTCTGCCCGGCCCAATCCTGCTCTGCTGGCTACATTTTTCAATAGATTTTCTATTGCAAAAATGAGAAAAGCAGAATATAAGAATAAATAAAAAAAATGAAATCAGTTAAGTTAAACAATATTATTATAAATATGTTGTCTCGGTCATGTCTCTCAAAGTGTGTTGTGATTTATTTATTCTTTAAGTAAATACTGAAATTAGATATATCAATAATTCTTGATTGTACTTTTTGCTGCTTTTTCCGTGCTGGCATGATGTTGCTCCCTTTTGTTTCATGCCAGATTAAGGCAGGCAAGGATACAAACAGGGCCCTCTTAATATGCCTTAATTAATTGGCTGAATAAAATGAATGCCATGAATTAACGTGTTGGCACAGTTAATTGCGTCTTTGAAAAATCAAATTGTTATGCCCACAGATTGTTATATTTCATTTTGTCACGTGTTATGGATTTGAGCTGTGCGCCGTGGAATTCTGTCAATTTGCTCTTGATATGAACAAAGCGAATTTGAGGTATATCACTCCCCTTCGCTATAATACACGATGCACCAAAGAAACAATTTGTGTGGAAAATAATCAGCTCTAGATGGAATGAATTATTCTCACAGGGTCTATATGTGAAAAGCCCGGTGTGGGAAAGAGTGGCAAGAACAAAAGGAGGCTTGTAAAATAAGCCTTCTCTTCTTTTGTTCCTCCTCCTGACTATATTTTCCCCACTATCAGAGATGGATCAAGTATTTTTTTAAAAAAATAATTTTTGGATTGTATATATTTTGTATCTGAAATGGATACTGCATTCTGGTTGTACTATGCCAGAAGCAGAGGAAATGAATGTGTCTCCCGTGGCTTTCACTATGCCTGCACCCAGCAAATACTCAGATATGTGTCCTGCAGTCCTCGTGTGATGGCGAAGGGTACCTTTCCCTTAGTGGGGTGGGGGGTGCGCCAGCCATAGTCACTGGCAGCATGCAACAACACTGATAGACTATTTCTGGCATGGTTTGTATCCTGTATGAATTCAAGGCCCAACCCAGCCTTTCAGGAAGTTACAGGGCCGTAAAGGTAAAGGGACCCCTGACCATTAGGTCCAGTCGCAGACGACTCTGGGGTTGCGGCTCTCATCTCGCTTTACTGGCTGAGGGAGCCGGCGTACAGCTTCCGGGTCATGTGGCCAGCAGGACTAAGCCACTTCTGGCGAACCAGAGCAGCGCACGGAAATGCCGTTTTCCTTCCCGCCAGAGCGGTACCTATTTATCTACTTGCACTTTGACATGCTTTCGAACTGCTAGGTTGGCAGGAGCAGGGACCGAGCAACGGGAGCTCACCCCATCGCAGGGATTCGAACCGTCGACCTTCTGATCGGCAAGTCCTAGGCTCTGTGGTTTAACCCACAGTGCCACCTGCGTCCTTTTCAGGGCCATAGTAGGGAAGAAAACCTACGTCTCAGAGCTCCATCTGCTTACCTTTCAAAGGCGCCTCTCCTCCCTCTGGTGCGCCAACATTGCTTGAAGGTTTTTGCATTCCAGTACCATTCCTCCCTGGAGCATGAGAACGAAGACCTCCTCTAACAGTAGTGCCGCGCCATAGGCAGAAGAAGTGCCTTTGTAAGGTAAAGCATATAAGACCACGGAAGACCATCTAGCAGCAAAGTCTCATCAGAGGGAAAAGAGGTGTATGATTTTGCCAGGGGCTGGTACCAGACATGGTGCTGTGACACGTTAAGTGTGTCGGCTGCAGCGTGTAGATGTGTCATGCGAATGCTCTCCATGCTCCTCCTTGAGCTGGAAAGGGATTAGTTTAACCTCTGGTTTGCTAGTAAAACTGAATCACTGTGTCATGAAATGATGCAAGTCTAAAAAGTGTGTCACCAACATGAAATGTTTGGAAAGCTCTGAGCTCGAGGATAAGGCTCTCTTCTACCCTCCAGTGTTGGAGGCATCATACGTCTGAATATCAGTTGCTGGCAATCACGAGTGAAGAGAGTGCTGTTGAACTCAGGTATCATAGGTGCCTGGTTAATTGGCTGCTGTGAGAATTGGATGCTTGCCTAGAGGGGCCTTTGGCCTCATCCAGCAAGGTTCTTCTTACTGTGCAGTATTGATATATGTAGCACATTATGGTGCTGCTTTAAGACGTTTCTTTGGGGGTGGGTTGTCTTGTAAAATATTGAATGACCATCCAGGATTTCTCATTGTACCTTTTCTCATTAATTCATGCATGTAACAAATTAACCGAAAAGTGCAATGTACAGAGCACAAGTATTAAAATTCAGCATAAAATTCAGCATGCACGCTTTGAAAAGACATCCATACTTTGGTTGCTTTTGCTGTTTAAACCACCTATAAAATACACAGTGCTCATTAACCGCGAGGCATCATTTCAGTGCATGTGGCTTAGTTGTACTGCAAAATTAAGCTATTTTGCAATGCCTTCCTTAGCGCATCATTGTGATCATGAAGCTTAAAGTGGGGGGGGGGGGAGAGAAATAACTGGGTTTTATAATAATACTGTAATTATTTCCTTTCCCTGATTTAGTTTTGTCATGCAATGCAAGTCTAGATGTGAGGAAAATTGCAATCTGGAAAATCCATCAGCTTTTGGTAGATTTCTGTTCAGGGTCTGAGCAAATGTCAAAATTTTGTCACAGAATGAAAGATTCTAAGATTCAGAGATGATTCTTGGGGGTTGCATGGGACATACAGTTAGTAGGCTTTTTCATTTGAAACCGTTTCATGTGTTTTATAATTGCAATAGCTTTATTTGTTTCTAAAGCTGCATGTTTTATTATTGTAAGTAGTTCTGGGACCATAAGGTGAAGGGTGGGTAAGAAATCTTATATAAAAATAAATAAGCTGCTCACTTGAGCACGGACGCTTCTGTGTCTAATGGCCTACAGAGATGATTTGAGGATAATAGATCTCTTTTAGAGATGTGGTTTTGGCGGGTGGCGGGGTGTGTGTCTCTTCAGTCATCTTACAGCATTGCTGGCAGAAACTCTATTCTATAAAAGATCTGCCCAATTGCACTGATGTACCACAACATTCATCACAGCCCGAAACACTTGTATAACTTGTTGGCTTAGTTCTAAATGATCTAATGTTGGACTTCATTGTTTCGCAGTGAATTGAATTCAAAACTACAGGACACTTTGGAGCAAATTGAGGTGAGAATGCAGTCTATTGATTTTTTTGACAGAGTGAATACCTAAGGGGCACTTTATCTGTTCAGATGATTATATTGCATTTTGCTTTCTTATGATACATGAATGTCTCCATATAAATCATATCTTTTCAATCCGTATAGCTATTTCATTTTACTGAATATTCATGACTTGACATTTTAGGAGCAGTTAGATGTCGCGCTTTCCAAAATCTGCAAGAACTTTGACATCAGCCACTATACCAAGGTGCAGCAGGCTTACAGACTACTTGGGAAAACGCAGGTGAGCATTCCCTGTTTGCTGTTACGTCTTGCTTATGAAGCAGGCTAGCTTGTCTTAACCATGTGAGCTATCTGCTTTGGTGGCGAAAAATGCTTATAATGTAGAAACAACCAAAATGGTCAAATACATTCTCTACAAACTCAGTACTATCTAACAGATTATAGGCAGGTTGCTTCTGTCAATAGACACTAGTGATGGAATACATACAGACCCTGGGAATAAATAAAATAAAAACACGACTGAAAGAAAATCAGTTCTTAGTAAATGATTACTCCCTTAGTGCGCTCATCCCTGGTTTGTTCAGCAGTTGAACCACCCAGGATGGATGCCTTGCACATGCACATATCTTGCTGTTAATTGTAGCTAGCATTGCATCCAGTGTTCCCTAGTTGGAAATATAAATGTTTATGGCCCATGCTCACTAGTTCTCTGGCTGGCAGACAGAATATATCTGGGCAAGAATGCTCAGGGTGTCTTGTGTTGGCAACCAAGCCTGGCTGGCTTTTGCTCAGTGGCAGGTTTGCCAATCACCTACTGCACATTTATTCTTTTCCTTCACTCCATTTCTTGGGTCTGCTTTCCTTAAAGGACCTCTCCATTTGTTGAACCCTGTTTTGGGGGGAAATATGATAATTGTGTGTTTGACTAGACCACAAGAGGATTTACTGTTCTCTAGTGTCACATTTGCAATAATCTTTTATAGTCCATTCATTTCCTTATCTACGGCTCATCTGATTTCCAGCTGCATTATTAAGCCTTGGGTGTTTTCTTTTGTAAGGCTTATAGGCCCATGCCTCTCACATACAAACAGCCCACTAAAGGGTACTTTTCAAAATTACACCCGCTCTGCCGCTTCCAGGTCCAGCGTTACTCCTTCTCTTTACATTTTGTTTCAGCGGAGGCTGTGTGTTATTTATTTATTTATTATTTCGTTGGTTCTTGGGCTAAGAGGAAGAGAAGATTTATATCTCCGCTGATCAATAATAAGAGCAATTAAAATTTGCAATAAGCAAAAACAAACTCACAACTAAAATTTTGCCCTGCAAAACAAACAGACTGCAAAGCAGAAACAGGTTATAGCTCGGGTTAAAACCACACTAAGTCACAATAACCCAAAACACTATTAAAATCCTGGCGGAATATAAAAGATATTCACTGATTCCAAAAAGGTGGCAGGCCAGCCTCTCTGCAGAGGCTGTTTCATAGTCTGGTGGTGCCACCACAATAAAGGCCCTCCTCCTCTCCTTTGTAGCCTCACTTTGCTCGGTGGGGGACACCCATGCCAGGACCTCTGTTAATAAGAATTAGGCAGACGTGGCGGGGGGGGGAGGTGATCTTTCTTTTAATCAGGTCCCAAACCATTTAAAACTAGCAGTTTAAATGGATCTTGGGAGATTACTGGGGGCCAGTGCAGCTGGTAAAGCGTTGCTCAGTCCTGGTTAATAGTCTTGTGGCTCTGTTTCAAACCAACCACAGTTTCTGAGCCATTTTTAAAGGCAATCCTACATACAATACGATGTATGTAGCGTATACAATGCGATAGCCTAAAAGTTACTAGAGTATGGGCAAATGTGTCTAAGTTATCTCCAACCAAGTATGGTCATTGCTGGCTTATCACCTGAAGCTGAAAAAGTCACTAAGTGCCACGGAAGCTACTTGACTGTCTGAAGGCTGTTGCCTAGAATTACAGTCTGTGACTTAAGGAACAGGAACATGGAACTGGCTTTCCATTATGCATTAATGACTCTCCCCATCCTTTCTCTTCAGACAGCCATGGACCAACTGCACATGCACTTTACTCAAGCCATTCACAACACTGTATTCCAAGTTGTTCTCGGTTACGTAGAGCTGTGTGCGGGAAACACAGATACCAAGTTTCAGAAGCTTCAGTACAAGGACCTGTGCATGGTACGTAGTCGTATAAAGGCTTGGGACATTTTGTGTTTGCATGTATAGGCCACATTTGAAGAAAAAAAATGGCAAGGAATTTCTAGCAACTGATACTCAGAAGCATATTGTATCTCACCATGAAGGTAGAACATAGTCATCAGGATTAGTAGCCAATGGGAGCGTTTTAAATGCTTCGTTGTAGTGGGGGATTTGGTGGGGGTGGGGATCATGGCTGGAAGGGAAGAGTTAACCCTTCCTTTCCTGTGCACTGACCCACCCTGGAAATGGCCCTACTGGACAGCAATTAGTTGGGGGAAAAGTCAATGGGAGCTTTTAAGCTTTTAAGAAAACCTAATGGATGAGTGAGGGAGGGACCCCCTGGGGGCAGTGGGTGGGGAGATTTTATCAAATACTTTTTTTCTCTAGACTTGGGTAGCTCTGCTGCATGAATGCATCTCATCCATTAAAAACTGTGTGAGAAGAATATTGTGGTGTGAATTCACTCTTAGCAGCCTTTCCGTGAAAAGAATGGTTTATATACCAAATCAGCATCCTAGCTTATTTGGACACTTCAAAATAATTCTTTCTTTCACTGAAGTGTTTAAAACGTTGCAGCTCCTTAATTTATTTAGCTTTATTGGCAGGACAGGAAGAACACTTCAAGTTTTTGAGTGCCAAAAACCATGGCGTTTTTAAATCAATGGTGTATTTAAAGCCCTGTTAATTGTTATGTACAATCTCTTGGCAAATTGGAAGTGTTCTTGAATGCGTTTAGGCTCTTCTGCCTCTTAACCAATACAAAATTAACTAATACTTTAAACTAAATTATTGGCATGTGCACTTGCCCATTTCGTTTGTTACTGAAAGTGAACAGTTTTTTGTTTTATTTGCAGTCCATGTGGCATTCCACAGCTTGAAAGGGGAAAAGTGTGTGTGTGTGTTTAAAAAAATCTAGGGGATGGGGTGGTTTCCCTCATTCTGTATTATTCTTTTCATTGTGTGTGACATCTTCTACTACTACTACTACTACTAATAATAATAATATAATAATAGTAATAATAATAATAATTTATTTATACCCTGCCCATCTGAGTCTCCCCAGCCACTCTGGGCGGCTCCCAATCAAATGTTAAAAACAGTACAGCATTTAAAAACAGTACAGCATATATGCCATATTGTACAGATGTTGTATGTGTGTATTTGTCATATTCCTTCTGCATACAAATTTTGCATTTGACAAAACTTAGAATGAAGAAAAACATCACAGATGTTGCTTGTATGTTCCTTAGCACATTACATCAGACAGTTACATTCCTTGCCTTGCTGACCTCTGCAAAGCCCTGTGGGAGGTCATGCTCAGTTACTACCGAACCATGGAGTGGCATGAAAAATATGATCATGGTGAACCTCCTTCGTCTTCTGGTAGGAACTGGTTATGCTATCTGAATGTATTATCTGAATAAAATATGTATTTTGAGTTAGTTTCAGAATGTGAAAAATGTAGTCGGGGCTGTATGAACAATAGGATAAAAGCTCTTCCAATATCCATCAGGGAAACAGTAAGATTTGGAATAAGGAACCTGTATAAAATGCTATTTATGATTTATTTCTTTTGTAAATGAAAATTGTTAGGCACAGTTGATCTCTCTCTCTCTCAACCTACTATTTCAGGAGCTTGAGGGATTTTGCAGTTGTTACTTAATCAAGCATTATAATAGTGAATATCTAGCCTGTGTGAACGCTCTGAAACTGAAATCCTAAACAAACGTTTTAGCGAGTAATCCTCCTGGAGAAAATGAGAATTACATCTGAACAGTGCTATTTTTCTAGAAAAAGAGGTGCCGGAACTCACCACAAACACCTTCCTTGTTCTCTTAGAATGGCAATGGTTTCTACCTGAGAGGTGCCGGAACTGAGTTCCAGTGAGTTCCGGCTGAAAATAAGCCCTGCTTCTGAGTAAGCACACAAAAGGATTGTGCGGCACACCTTATTAGAGCATTATTCTTATTATTACTACTTTTTATGCCTTTGCTATGGAGGAACCATGTGCTGGGGGTGGTGGGACATTGTGGGTGTGGTGCATGTTGAGTGGGCCTGCTATCATCGCCTCACTGCCCAGATCAGCCAGTCTTGGTTAATGCTCTTCATTTTAGGTCAGTGTGGCGGCATTGTCTCTGCCACATTATGGGATTTGGGGTGTGGGCTTGCTATTATTGTCGTGGAGTGTGAAGTGAGCCTAAAGGATGTGAAATTTTGTCTCACATTAAAATAAAGCGCGCGCGTGCACGCGCGCGCGCGCGCACACACACACACACACACACACAGCGAATCCCCCTTCCTTGTCAGCTTACATGTAAAACACATACATTATTTTCCAGATGGAAGCAATGTCATGGGTGCTGAGGAGACCAATTTTGACCGCAGCTACGTGAAAAAGAAATTGGAACATGGACTTTCGCGAATATGGCAGGTTCGTTTTAAATTGGCAAAATGCTTTCCACCCCCAGCAAATGCTCATTTTTGAAAAACATTAATTGGACTTTTAGGAAATAATGTAAACCCCCCCCCCCCATTATCTCTGGTTGTTCATAGTATCAGAGAAAAATAGGTTCGTTTCTGTCGCATGCTTTCATGTTCTTAAAATTGAGTTTAAAGAGCATGAAATGATGAAAACGTCAATTTCTCTTGAATGGACAGTACATAGAACATTCTTTGGGAAAGAATGTTTCTCTTGTTGATTCTTTTGTTGCACTCCATTTCCCACTGCCTCCCTCTGGTTTTCTGTTTCCCCCACCCCAAACAGTACCTCTCCAAACCTTAGGATTCCCCAAGCCTCATGACACCTCCCCTCTTGTTCATGGATGTTTTGCCTTATAAAATGTAGTGGTAGCAATGTGATTGCAAAACCACTTAGATGCAGACTATGTTATATATGGAGGCTGCAAGTTCTTCACAAATTAGAGGTAACTTTGAATAAACAACTTTAACCCACTCCTCAAGTGTTGGTTATTTGATTTGTTTAGATCCAGGACTGAGTATCCCTCGAAAGGTTTCAGCCATTTATCATAGGTAGCAAATACATCAAATGCTATGATGGCATCTGCTTCATCATAGAGTTGGAAGAGAGCTCAAGGGCCATCTTAACCATGCTATATCCCCAGTAGGTGGGTGTCCAACCTTCTAAGGCAATCTGCTCCACTGTTGAACAGTGCATAGTGTCAAGAAGTTGTACCAAACATTTAATCTAAATCCCTTTTCTTACCCTTTGAACCTGTGGGATTTGGGCCTATGCTCTGGAGCAGCAGAAACAAATTTGCTCTGTCATCTATGTGACAACTCTTCAGATCCTTGAAGATGGCTATCATATTGCCTCTTAACCATATCTTCCGTAGGCTAAACATACCCAGTTTCAATACGTTTGCTTTTCTGCAGGATGTCCAGCTGAAAGTGAAGACCTATTTGCTTGGCACAGACATGTCTAACTTCAAATACGATGACTTCATCTTTGTCCTGGATATTGTCAGCAGGTATTTTCAGGGGCCATTTGTTCTGATAAAGAGACAAAGTGGAAGTTGACACAATAAAGCTTTTTGTGTGTGCGTTGAATTCTAAGAATGTTTTTCAAATATTGTTTGGTTGCGGCAGCAGCATAAGTCATAGCATGGCTGTTTCTTCACTTCTGTGCTATTTAAAATTGCTTCACTGATTAACTGGACTGGTTTTTCCAACATCTGAGTCATTCTTGGTGTACTTTAAACCAGCCTAGTCCAAAAACCTCTGGCGGGCGCTAGGTTAGGAAATGCTGAAATAAACTTATGTACATTGCTTTACTTTGAGGAAACTGCATCGGCTTTATGTTCCAAATATTCTGATTTAAATCAGACCACTATGTTTTAGGAGAATCAAATGCCTTAATGTGCATCGGCACAATCTTAGTGTCTACTAGCATTAGTTCTCATCTGCACCAGACCAGTAGGAGTCTTAACTGCATGCCTTTCTTTGAGGATCCTTCACCATTTTATGTTTAATCTGCTGAGAAAATTGTGAAAGTTCCTTTACAGAAATAAAGCTTCCAGAGTTGAAGGAATGAGGGTTGGGGAAGTACGGTGATAAAACAGGCTGAAGTGTTAGCTGTTGTTAGTAATTAGAATGCTGAACTAACTGAATCACAGAATTTATTCTCCAGAGAACAGTAGCTGAAATTGTATGCCTTGCTTAATTTAAGGTTGCCTTGAAATGTTAATTTTGATAAGTAATACGAATGCCCTCCAAAGTGTGTATCATTCACCCTGATAAGTGCTTCCATTTTTCCTCCTTGGGAGTAAGAGTGATGATGAATAATCCAATCCATGTTTGGAGTGCAGAACTCCAGCGTTCTAGATATTTTCAATTGCTTGTGTAGAAATCTCCCTTGCCTTTGGTTTTCTGCTTTATACAGACAGATGGCCCACAGTATGAAAAGAGGATGCAGGCCGTTCTATGTGGGCTTCTCTTTCAACAGTGCCTACCTGAAGCCCAACCTGTAGTTGAAATGAATAATCTAATTCTTGACTTGAATGTATAATCAGAAAATCCTCTTCTGTAGGCTGATGCAGGTTGGTGAAGAGTTTTGTGGCAGCAAGTCGGAGGTTTTGCAAGAATCCATTAGAAAACAAAGTGTGAATTATTTCAAGAACTATCACAGGTAAGAGCTACAATAGTAGGCTAGTTGTTGTAGGAGGTCGACATCCCTTTCAGGTTTTCAAGTCGTTAAGTGCAGACCATAAATGCAAAACATTTTTATGTTTGCAAAATAATGCTCTGTATGAAATGTTTAAATTTTATCAGTGTTTTTTCTCAAAACTTTATTTTACAAGGTGCATAGTACAGTAAGCCTGCAACTGAAGTGGGGGTTTGCATTCCATAAGGTAAAGGTAAAAGGTAAAGGGACCCCATCGCGCCTAAAGCCAAGATCATGTATAGTCAAAATGCATTGGGCTCATTGGCAGGTCGGATTGCCAAAGTCATTTTTCTCAGAACTCCACCATCTATTGATCTATCTATTTATCTATCTATTTGCCACACACATAAAGTTGAATGCAAACAAGTTAAATGTGTGCAAGTTACGGGCTTGCTGTAGTTTACTTCAATGCATTGGTGTTATGGGGACATATTTTTAGTAACATTTCCCATAAATTCCTGTCGCGTGCCTGGTTCCCAGCTACTGTTTTCACTACATAGTAGCAAGGCTAGATTTGCCACAGGGACAGAGGAAGATGCCTTATACCAGGGCAGGCTGTTTGACCACCTGTGCACCTGTGTTGTCTAATCCAGCTGGCAGGAGCACCTCAGGGTCTCAGGTGGAGGTCTTCCATGTCGCCTGCTCTTTGATTCTTTTAACTCAGGCATGGGGAACCTTTGGCCCTCCAGATGTTGCTGAATGGAAACAATTCCCATCAGCCCAAGCCACCATGGCCAGTGGCCAGGAATGATGAGAATGGTACTTCAGCAACTCCAGAGGGCCACAGGTTTCCTACACCTACAACTGGACTCAACTGGGGACTTTCTTCATTTGATCTGCGATTTGAGCTATTGTCTATTGCAGGGAGAGCTAGCACTGTGCCCTCCAGGTGTCCGTGGACTCCTAGCTCACATAATCTCTTGACTGTTGCCCATGTCGGCTGGGGCTGATGGGAACTGAAGTCCAACAACATCTGGAGGGCACCACATTGTGTACCGTGGTCTACTTTAAACATGTCACAGCTTAAATCTCTAAATGCTTGCTTCAGAGAATATTGCCTTGTATTTTCAAACACATAACAGAAAATATAGGGAGAATATTGTGACTGTTGAACATACAGGGTTTGGCAATTGCTGCCAAAAGGTAATTTTAAAATATTTATCATTGTTTTTGCATAGCCTATTGAGGAAGAAACTTGATCCATTTCAGTGCTTTTACCTACTGGGTAATAATTTGGACTGATGGTGATTGTTGCGTACTGATGTTGAATGGGTGCTGTAGAGATTTGATTGGCGAATGTTGTCTACAAAGCCCTTTGAAGACGTAGCAATTTCCATTGGACTGTAAAAATATTGTATGTGTATTAGAGCCTGAATCACCTAAAGCTTTCAGGAGTTTTAGGCTTTTGACTTCAAGTGGATATGGCTCTTACTCCTCATTGTGTGCTTTAATTAAGAAGCGTTAGATATTTTTGTAGATGCATTAGTTCATAAGAGCTACCCAGCTGGTAGCTCTTTAAAGAGCATTGTCTTCCATGTGTTCATCTTGATATATGTAGACAGGTGGGCTATAGATAGAGTGATTCTATCAAAAAGCTGTAATATAGAGTTGCCATTAAGAACATTAATTTATATAACCTATGACATAGACTGAATAAAAATAGTAAACCAGTGAATAATATATGCAAGGAGTTCATAGGCATTGCTCTGCCTAGACCAACAGATTGACTTCTGGAAAGACAGAGAGTGAGAAGCAGAAGAGCTGAAAAGCTCATAATGCTCTGATTCAAAACACAGAATTAGAATAGGAACAAACTTCCTGGGATTCAGAGTGATGAAGATTATTAGAGCTGTTATCTTGTTGGCCACCCAAACAAAGCCTCTTCTAGATACCTGTTGAATTGCACTTGTTGACTGATGAACAGCTTCTATAGTTCTTGATAAAAAGACATGTGTTATGTCATACCCTTTGAAAATTAAGTTCCCCTTCCCCACCCTTTTTAGCCAAATGAGAAGGATATCAATTAGCTCAGAGCACATTTCTCCTTGCAATATGCCAACAGTGGTGAACATATTAGCAAAGCTTATGCTGTTTTATTTAAGCAGTGTTTTTTATCGATTGTCTGGAAAGCACTGCCAATTAATTTTTCTTTTTAAGACTCAAGACTTTTGGTTTTTAAAGCTTTGATCTTGTCTGAGAATATTTCATTGCCGCCAATTCCCGCCCCCCCCCATTTTTCTTGAATTCTTGGCATGACTGTTTCGATCTGAGGAAAAAGAACTTCTGGAAACTGAACAAAATGTGCATTTGTGCTTTTGCATCATACAAAGGAAATATAGAGAACTGTGGCTTTTAATCTGGTTTTGTAAGAGACTGGCTAGGTTTGCATGCTTTCTGGGTGACAACGTGCCTGAGTGGAACACGGGACTCCTGCATTCCCCTCCCCTCCTTCTGTACAGGTGGAAGGAAGACTTCTACCAAGTTTATTTTTGTTTTCAAAGAATCTCATGTTTAGCATTGTGACACATGAACTGTGGATTGTGCTTTTACAGTAAGTAATAGCTAGTTGCTAAGTGAGCCAGCTTCTAATAATAATAATAATAATAATAATAATAATAAATTTTTATTTATATCCCACCCTCCCCAGCCAAAGCCGGGCTCAGAGCGGCTAACAACAGTAAAATAATACAGCATTCAAAAATTAATTCATTATAAAATAATGAGTTATAGAGCTGACTTGTTTAACGATTTCTTGTTGTAAAACCACAATTCCCAATTTGTGCATAATTCTATGATGAGATTTTTTGAAAACAAAACTAAACTTGACAGGTTTAACATTGCAGGTGAAAATGACCAGTGAATACATATATCCACCTGTCAAGTTTTAATCAACTGCAGTGTGCATGTAACCTCTTGGCAGGACGATACCTTTCTAAGTGGCAAGGAGATCTTGATTGCTGCCTGCTTCCAAGATTTCATCACTTATCAGGAAGATACAGATAACCAACTTGCCAAGTGACTAGGTGTCAGTATTGACCCCAAAGCTTGAGAACAGGGGCAGCAAACTGAGGACCGCGGGCCGGATCAGGCCCAGTTGCCTTCAGGATCTAGTCTGTGGACTGTCCATGGATTGGCATGGGGAATCTGTTCATTCGCGCTGCGCCATTTCCCCCCATGTGCCATTCCATCCCCCCTCCATACTGCGGCGGTGCTTCTTCCTGGCCTGCCTAGAGGAGGAAGGGGGCTGGGCTGAGCTGGCTGAGTGTTACGCTGAGGTCTGTCTGTTTTTGCTATTTACAGTGGTGCCTCGCAAGACGAAAAGAATCCGTTCTGGGAGTCTCTTCGTCTAGCGGTTTTTTCGTCTTGCGAAGCAAGCCCATTGACGGATTAGCGGATTAGCGCTATTAGCGGCTTTTAGCGGCTTTTAGCGGCTTTTAGCGGCTTTTAGCAGCTTATCAGCTTATCGGATAAGCAGATAAGCGGCTTAGCGACTTAGAAAAAGAGGGGAAAAGGGAAAAAAAACCCCAGGAACTCGCAAGACATTTTCGTCTTGCGAAGCAAACCCATAGCAGATTCGTTTTGCGAGGCACCTCCAAAACGGAAAACTCTTTCGTCTAGCGAGTTTTCCGTCTTGCGAGGCATTCGTCTTGCGGGGCACCACTGTATTTTGCGTTTTTGTTTTTGCGGCTCTTTTTGTTTTGTTTTCGTGACTGTGTGGAAACCAGTTGAGATACTGATTGATTGATTGATTGATTGTGTGACTGCAGTACATTGTTTATTGCTTTCATTTTATGGATCAATGGTCTCATTTGATAATAAAATTCATGTTAAATTGCTATTTTAGGGTTGTTTTTTTAAAGTCTGGTACGGATTAGTCCGTTTTGCATTACTTTCTATGGGAAAGCTTGCCTTGGTTTTGGAATGCTTTTGGTTTTGGAACAGGCTTCCGGAACGGATTAAGTTTGAGAACCAAGGTACCACTGTACTAAATTTTCCCGGTTCTAACCATTGGTACACAATTTGCATATTTTTATTGCAGAGGATCTACTACTCTGTTTGTCACCACCCAGGGAGGGCTTGTTTAGGTATTTCCTTTTTTTGTTGTTGCTTAAGCTTCATGGAAACATGGATAGGAAACAGTTTATCTCACCCCTCAGTCCTTTCCTTCTCATTTGGCTCCTATGTGGCTGCAAGAGATCCATTTTGGAGAACCATGTAGTAGAGACGTGATTAGCTCATCAACGGAGGATCATTAAAGAATAGCAGAATTTGATTTAATGGAACTGCAGCTAGGTTGTTAATTTCTCAATATAGTTGATTTGTTACACCCTTTGCCTTTGCTGACACTAAACTTTGTTTTAGAACCCGCCTCGAAGAACTGCGAATGTTCTTGGAGAACGAGACGTGGGAGCTTTGTCCTGTGAAATCAAGCTTCAGCATATTACAGCTTCATGTAAGTCCTAGCCATGTTAAAAAGCAGGAATGGGACGAATACTTAACATAAATGGTTAAGGCTACTTTGGCCAAGACTATTGAAGGATTTGCTGCTATCTTGACTTTCGCTGTACATTTGCTGTGACTGTGTTGTGCTAGGGAAACAAAACACAGCGTGGTGATACCTTAAAGCACCGTATGCATTTTGTATTCAGAATAGGAAGGACCAAATTTTAAAAGAAGTTCTTGGATGTGCAAGGTGTTTTTCACTTGCCAATAAGCTCTTTTGCACCTTGTGCTGTAAATCCAAATGCGATGGTTTGCTTTCGCTACAGATTTTATGCATTGTCTTGCACAAATGGAAGCATGACAGCTGTTGTGGAGCCTGCCTGTTAACAGCAGTGTGTGAACTTAGGGCAAGGTATATATGTGGGAGTGGTCTTTTTGTTAACTGGATTCAGCCCTTCTGCTGCCTTTGGACATCATTCCAAGCAATTGTTTTGTTTGATAAGAACAAGCTGCAGTGAACCTTGCACGTATTCCTCCTTTAGTGTGACTGTCAGGACTGGAAGTTATCACTTCTGATGGAAGCTTAGCACACTTCAGCATGTTATATAAACTTAAACTATGTGTAATGTTAGCTATGGTTTTTTTAAACAAGCAAGCTTCATAGCCAGTGTTTTGAATTTGGCTTGTTTAAGATGAACCACAGTTAAAGTGAACCATAGTTTGTCAAGTCTGGATGATGGGACAAGCTGTGATCAAACTGGAAGCAAAAGCTTCCAAACTTGCAGTTGCAGGGGAGCAATATAGGGAACATGAAGGTAACAGTGGCTCGTTCTTGTTATGCTAAACAATGGTTTTGCATGATGTCCAAATAGAGTCTTGAATCAGCATTTGTGCATCCCATTCTATTTCCAGCATTTAAGATAGTGATAAAACCAGATGCTGTGATAGAAAGAAAACTTGTTAAAATTCACTATTAGCAGCCATTTATATTGATTGATTTTTAAGCAGCTGTAAATGCAGAGGCATTGTAATTCTCATAATTTGCTTTTTAAAAAGTCTGCCGTAACGTAATTCGTCACGATGCTTCACTAATGAACTTAATATGTGTTTTGAAAGTCTTTCATTTCCAAGCTGCAGGGGGTGTTTTGCCTGAAGTAATTGGGCAAGTGTGTTAGAATTAGACAAGCATCAAATTAATGGTTACATTTGCAGTCTTTAAAAATAAAATGAAATGAAAGAAGGAAAGCCATGTTAGCTGAAAGGCAAACACCACAGTGCTTGTCAAGAAACCGCTCCTTTATTATGTGGATCAATATTTAAACTGCATGACAGAGCCTATATATCACCTGTTTTGTGTTAATAGGAATTTAAGTTCATGGCACAGTCCCGTTCCCCTTCTGTGTCGCCAAGCAAGCAGCCTGCTTCAGAAATAGAAAGAACCATAACTCTGTTTGAGCAGTACTGTAATGGAGGGAATCCCTTTGAAATCCAAGCCAACAACAGAGATGACGAGACTGAGGATGTGCTGGCTTCCAATGGGGTAAGGGAACGCTCTGATGAGCTCTTAGTATTATGTGAGACATGGTATTTCTAACCAGTTAATTTACAAAATGGAGGTTGCAAAGTAATAATCCTTCAAACAGGGAATTCCCTGTCAACATGCCTGGTGTTACTGTCGAAATCTTGATTCAGGACAGCTCAGTTGATAGAGCACGAGAATCTCAAATGTAAGGATTGTGAGTTCGAGCCCCACATTGGGCAAAAAGATTCCTGCATATCAGAGGGTCGGACTGGGTGACCCTTGTGGTCCCTTCCAACTTTACAAGTTTATGGTTCCATGTTGGGAATCATAGCATCCTGGTTACTTAACACAAATGCTCCTAGACGCACCTGCCCACCTGTAAGAACCCAGTTAGAACCTTGGTCTATGAGGGAGATTGGGGTGACAAAATAGCAGAGCAGTGGCCTCTCAGGACTATTGGGGGGGTGCTATCTTCCAGGACAGACTGGATTCACTCTGTAATGCAAACTCCAGGTCGGGAGTGGGTCATTACTAAATCTGTTGAAACTTGCATTCAGTTGATTAGATAATTTACTTGTGCTTTGGTTGACCTAGACGCTCTGTATAAAATTAAAAACACATTTCTCCTCCTCTGTGGTACACAGGATTTGTATACCTGTTCACCGGTGAACACTTCGTGCCCCCGATGAAGTGAGCTCTGATTCATGAAAGCTTATGTCACAGTGACTTTGTTAGGCTTTAGGGCTGCATAAGACTCTCTGTTGTTATTGCTGCTACAGACTAAAAAACTGGCCTGTCTGGAATCCTGCCTGGTTTACATATGCATCTTGTCTAAAGCAGCCGATAGCTGAAGGGCAAATGAGCCTCTGCCACACAAATCCCATGTTGTTGTTTAGTCGTGTCCGACTCTTCGTGACCCCATGGACCAGAGCACGCCAGGCACTCCTGTCTTCCACTGCCTCCCGCAGTTTGGTCAAACTCATGCTGGTAGCTTCGAGAACACTGTCCAACCATCTCGTCTGTCGTCCCCTTCTCCTTGTGCCCACAATCTTTCCCAACATCAGGGTCTTTTCCAGGGAGTCTTCTCTTCTCATGAGGTGGCCGAAGTATTGGAGCCTCAGCTTCAGCAAATCCCATAGTGGTGGTTTAATTTTTTTCTTGTACAGTTCCTAATGAAATTAATGTTCAGATTCATGGTCACTGTCAAGGATTGGCCTTTCTGTTGCTACAATGCGAGTCGCGTTGTGTTTTCCTATAAGTAACTGATTGGTCCTCCTATCATCACGGAACTGACACATTCTCAGATCGCTAGGGGGCGCAATGATCACATATACCAGCAACCGGCTATGACTTTCTGTAAGTTGTAGTATATATTTTCTGCAACCTTGTTTTGGATTGCCCATGGTAATACTGAGTTCTATTTATTATGGAGGCTGACATATGTAGTTCTGCAAGGCTTGCTGTTTCACCTTGTTTTGGTTAGTACTTGCTGTGGTGCATCCCCACTCTCCAGGATCTGGATAATTAGTGAATTATCAGGCTGTCATGAAAATGAATTTGTACAGGGCTCTTTCTTTCTTTCTGTTTTGTGTTCTCTGTGACACTTGGGATACAGAACATTCTGTGAGGAAGGAACTAGAACGCTGAAGAAAAGGAGTTATATGCATGTTTCCTCAAATTTGGTTGGGCAGTTGTTAGATCTGCAGACATTAAAAAATGAGTTTTATTAATCTGACATGTGGCTTTAATTTCTTGGGCAGCACTTAGCAAATATTTTAAATTATGGTGGTTTGCAATTTATTATCATTTTGCAGCCTCTTATATTCGGATCAAATGTTTAGTTGCATTGTTTCTCTTACTTAACTGAAAGCTGCTGTTGGTAGTGGTTCAGTGTTCAGCATTTTTCTTTCAAACAATTTATCACAATTATTCTTGTTTTGCTTAGATTTCTCGTCTGTCCCACCCTGTGGCTCATTCAATGCAGTGGGCCCGCCACTTACGTGAGGGGTCAGTTCCAGGGGCCCACCTGTAAAGTCAAAATCGCGCAAAGTCAGGAACCCCTACCCCCATGAGGCAGAAGGCTGCTTACCGGGGTCTAGGGAGGTCGTGAGAGGGACCCATGATATTCCATGGGTTTTCCCGTGACCTTCCCAGACTGCGGTAAGTGAGGAGGCACCTTTCTTACCGGCCTCTAGGACGCTCTCAGAGCCCTCACACCCCCTCCCTAGAGTCCGGTAAGGAAGGCACCGCCAGGCTTGCGGGGCTTAGGGAAGATGGCGGGAGGGCTCTGGAATGCAGTCAGAGCCCTCCTCTATTCCCAAAGCCTGTAAGAAGAACCCACTGGGACCCAGTATGTGTGTGGGGTGGGTGTGTGGGGAGCAGAGAACAGTAGGTTTTCCCAGCTCTCCATTTAGTTATTTAATCCCCCACAATTGTAAGGTTACAATTGTGTAAATAAAATGAGTGCAAGTTTCAGGCTGTCTGTCTGTCTATCTATCTATCTAGAACTGAATCTGACTAGTCCAGATATTATTTGCTGTGTAAAAAACCTATAGTACTGTAGTTGTCTTATTTGAAGAAGAAGTTGTTTTTGTCTGGTGAGCAAGGTATCTGCCATTCACTAGGGGAAGAATGACAGGAACAGTATCTTAACTTCAGACAACATTGCTCCGTGTACGGAATTAAAGTCTAAGGACCACTGAGGCGTTTTATGTGCCTTCTGAGTTACTGCACAGGAGCTGAAAGCGCTTATGGTTTATTTTGATAGTATGAATCGGATGAGCAGGAAAAGAGTGCCTATCAAGAGTATGACAGCGATAGCGACGTTCCTGAAGAACTGAAGAGAGACTATGTTGATGAACAGACTGGAGATGCCCCGGTAAAAAGGTACCTTGAACACACATTTCATAACTTATTTTTTCTGACATGCTTAAGCATAAACATATATACTGTCAACTCATCCTTAGTGGGACTTCAAAAGGGCCCCCCCCCCGCATATCTTAAGGTAACTCTTTCTACATCCATTTGTCTAGCGAGGCACACTCCCTACCTGCTGCCCCCACCATGCTTGTACGTGCCAGACATGTGCCACGAAAGCCCCTGCGTAGTGCAGAGCATTATGGGTCCATGTTCTAGGATGCCGCCTGTTTAAAAGCAAGGATGCGTCATCTGCGACGCTCGTGTTGTTTTTGGACTCCAGCTCCCATCAGCCTCAGCCGGCCTGGCCAGTTGTCAGGGATGATGGGAGTTGGAGTCCAGCAGCATCTGGGATAGCCACAGGATAGCCATCCTTGGTTTAAAGAGAGAATTGCCTAAGCCTGTTAGTTGTTAACCATGTACCTGTGTAAACTGAGCATGCACGTTAAAGGACAGGAAGCAAGCAAGCTTCTACAGCTGCTCTTGGCAGTGATGGGCAAGTGATGGTTAAGCAAAACTTGTCTGCTATTACTGGTCTTCTCACTAGGCAACCCTTGATAGTCAACTGAGGAACTCCGGAACACCGTTTGGAAAACCACCATTTGACGTTCATGCTTTTTATCAGCCACCTTGGACGTTTTTAAACTGTTACAGGAAAAAGCTCCACATCTGGTTGTGACCTGCATTAGTTCTGAAGGTGGTGGTGGTACCCAAAGCAGAGCATCTGACTATGTCTAGAGAGCAGCCAGGTTCATATAGGAGCAGGCAGTCCTTCTCCCAGCAATGGCCACCAGCTTGGATGGGTTTAAAAAAATAATTCATGGAGGATAAAAGGTTGTCAAAGGCTCCTAAATCTGATATCTTTGTGTTCTACCGCCACTGTCGGAGGGAGTATGCGTCTGAATTTCAATTGCTTGGAAACTGCAGGAGGCGAGAGCACTGTTGTACTCAGGTCCAGCTTGCTGGTTTTCCATAGGCATCTGGGTTGGCCACTGTGAAAGCAGGATGCTGAACAGGTGGGCCACTCACCTGATCCAGTAGGGCTCTTCTGATGTTCTTAGATTAGAGAAGGTGGAAATCTAAAATGGATGGAAGCTGCACAACTCCGTTTAGCATCTTACAAGGCAGATTAGTAACAACGTGGAGGCAAATGAATGCTACTTTGGGAATGAGAAAATAGATCTTTGCAAATGGAGCGTTACAGCTTTTACATCCATATGATCTTCATAGTTAAAAAGTCAGCAATAGCTTTGCTTGGCCTTTGTAGCTTTGATAATTATTCCATGAAGAAATTAAAATGCTGCACGCTCCTGCTAAAATAAAGCCATTTATCATTTTAAACGCTTGGGCTAAGACCTTTTTTTTCATCCTTTTGTTAATTGGCAAAATTGAAATTAGGCATGACTTCAGTATGACTTAATTACTAAGGGTACGAGGTGATAAATGTATTCCTGTTGTAGAAGATAGATAAACAGGTGTGGAAGCCCAAGGCTACTAGGAAGCGATACTCTGTTCCGACTAAAGGAGCCATCTCTTATTTTATTCTCTCAAAATGAAAGTAACATTTTACCTAACTCCTAATACTTCTTAATTCCAGTCAAAGCCTTGCCATTATTGGGCCAGCCATATCCACCCCGAATGCAAATTTTTCAGAAGGATGCTTAAGCCGCTTCATTTCTAGATCTGGGCTAGAGAACTTGTTTTAGCCTGTAGGGCTGCATTTCCTTCTGGGCAGCTTTCCAAGGGGCCACATGGCAGTGTGTTTACTTACAAAACATTACTATGCTCTGCTCCTTTAGTGGCAAGAACAAAATATAAACGGAACATTAGCTTCCCCATCTGCGTGGTTCATGCCTGTGCACTTATACCTAATAATTTTTCTACCTAGTATTTCTCGAGAAACTTTGAGAAGCAGGAAGCGATCAGATTATTGCCTCAGTAAGGTGAACGCTCCCATTTTGACCAACACTACACTGAATGTAATAAGACTTGTTGGTAAGTGAAATGGTTTCTTGCTTTCTTAATACAACCTGCATGTTTTATCAGTGTGTGTGTGTTTTATATTTAGAATTCCCTGGCTTTTAAAACTCTATAGCAGGAGTGTCATGGTCTCATCTTTGAATAGTTCTGAGTTTGTTGCCGCTCCTGTTGCTGTTATATTTTTGTTACCCAAAAATACAAAAATTACGAGGTGAAACAAAATGATAAAAGATTGCAAGATAATTTATCGTGAAGAGATTCTGCAGTATATTTACAAAAGAAAAGCACGACAAAAGCACACCAGGAGGGGAGAAGGAGGGGAGAAATAGTAATAACTATTAATTCAAAGAATGGAATATGCTTCATTTCAAAAAGGCTTCATGAAAATATTCCCATTTAGTAATCCACCACATTATCTTACAACGTTTTCACAGGTGTGTGCAATCAGTCCCTAGCTATTCTTTAATGTAATTAACTGGGGGTTCTCAGGCAGTCGATGCCTCCTTAGTTTTCCACTTTTTCCACCACCCTTTTTAGCTTCATTATCTCTCATCTGCTCCCATATTTTAGCTGGTTTTCTGTAGTCTTTCAAGTGTCTGGCATAGAATATCCACGCTGCTTGGAGTATATCTAGTACGTGTTCAACTTTCTTTATTTTCCTAAGAGGCGACATGATAGAAGTGTATAAAATTATAGAGTATAGAGAAAGTGGAGAGAGTGCATTCCCCTCCCCATCCCTTATAATAATAGAACTCAAGTACATCCCATGGATTCAGGACAGACAAAAGGAAGTACTTCTTTGCACAGAGCCTAGATCAGTGCTGGCCAAACTTGGCCCTCCAGCTGTTTTGGGACTACAACTCCCATCATCCCTAGCTAACAGGTCCAGTGGCCAGGGATGATGGGAATTGTAGTCCCAAAAGAGCTGGAGGGCCGAGTTTGGCCATCACTAGCGTAGATAAACTATGGAATTCTTTCCCACAAGAAGCGATGATGGTTGCCAACTCAGGTGGCTTCAATCAGGGGTGCCAAGTTGAATACAATATGGGGCCTAGGCAGGTAAGTCCCGCCCCACATAACCACATAATTGATCACACAGACACCATTTGAATGGCAATGCCCATCAACTTTGGGGGGAAGCCCCCTCAAATGTTTTATTTGGGGGGCCGAAGGGACCCTGGCCCCTAGGAGTTGGCTCCTATGGCTTCAGTAGAAGATTAGACAAGTTCATGGAGGGTGCCTACAAACCCTCGTGCCTGTATGCTGTCTCCATACCCGATGCAGTGTGCTTCTGAGCAGCAGTTGCTGGAATCAGATGGGAGAGCAGGTCCTGCTTTCAGGCTTCCCATAGGCATCTGTTTGGCCACTGTGAGAACAAGATGATGGGCTAGACAGGCCACTGGCCTGAGCTAGCAGAGCTCTTCTTATGTTCTTATGGATGTAAGGTTTTATTTAACAGGCGGCGAAGTGTCAGACATGCTGTAATTTGGTTACAACGCCCACTACTTAATGTTAGCTAGGATACAAACCTTGGAGAATACTTGTACTGAGCCAGCGTGTGTGCCCACAAATGTGCTTTTCCACTGACTGGTGTAACAGAAAGTCCTTCGGTGTTTGGGGGCTTTTTATTGCCTTTTACGATGCTCAGAACAAAAAGTTATCACACGAAGTCATTACCTTAATCTACAATGTAGGTAAATGGATTTTCATCTGATGGACACGAGGGAATGTAATTGAATTGTGTTGTGTGGAACCTCATTTCCATGCATCCTTGCCAGCAATCTTGTTCTCCCCATGCTGCTACCTGAAACTTCGTTAGACTCTGGGAAAACATTGCCTTTGTGAACATGACCTAATGGCATAAGCTGCCGCACTCTGAGCTCTTCTGGGATGCTGCAGTAATAATTTGATAAATATTGCTCAATATTTCTTGGCCAAATGCATGGTATCTTTCTCTGAACTAATAAGACTGTTGACACATCTGGTTGAAGAATATGCAGAATTGCCGTCTAAAAATCTAAGCGGGCACTTCGTTCTTTACGGAGTTTAGATGAATTTGGCAAAGATTATGTTGTTCATTAGTTACAAGCCAGAAATGTGAGGAACGATTTCTGTGCCCGAACTCCCAGTTCTTTGATGATTCTTTATTTCCCTCCTTCATAGCTTCTTTAAAGGATATCCCTAGCTAGGTTGGCCATTATGGGGTAGAACTTTGTGCCATATTCCAGTGTTTTTAGGGAATATTGAAAGAATGCATTATCTACAGCACAGATGATAAAGTGTTGGCTCTCAGATCTATGACCTAGAGCTTGGAAGGCAGATAGAAAGTATATGGGTAAAAATTGTGATAGAGGGAAACATCAGTGACCATACTGTGTGTGTCTGCTATGGATCTCCAAGTCAGACTGAAGACTTGGATGATGCCTTCCTAGAGCAGAATACCAAACATTCAAAAAGGAGAAATATAGTAGTCATGGGAGACTTCAACTGAGTTATGTAAGCAGAGGTTGGATGGCCATCTGTTATCTTTAGTTGAGATTCCTTCATTGTAGGGTGTTGAACTAGATGACTCTCAGGGTCTCTACAATTCTGTGATTCTATCCCTGAACTTTATATGCCTTAATAGGCTCTTTGGACTGCAGCCATGGTTTTATAAACAGGTACCTAAATAATGAATAGTGGATATGCAAAAGTTATTTGTTGAAACTAACCCTACCATGAAAGATTTTGCTATGTCAGTGTTCTAAAGGCGGGGGAAGGGGTTAAAAATGCTTTCCCCTATTCTGTATTTGATAATTACTAATTGGCATGTCCGTTGTGCTTTTGTTGCACAAAAAGTCTTGTAGAATCTATATATCCTTTCAATAACCCTGTGAGACACATTAGGGTGAGGAATTGTAAAACTGGGCTTTTCATGCATTATCCAACTCCAGCATGAAAGGATATTTCTAGCTGAAGATATGCAAAGAGTAAAAATCATGGATATCCTTTTAAAAAAAGAAGAAGCATGAAAAAGGCAGTGAACACTGACTTAGAAATCTGGGATGCTTTGAGGTTTTTAAAAACTGCTTTGAGCTTTTGTGTTTTTTGGTTGTTGTTTTTACAATCAAGCAGTAAATTGTATGCAATAAATCTTGCATGGGCTACTGCGATTTTTCTTGAAGCTATATTGCAATTTACAAACACCTTGAGTAACACCTCTAAGATACTACTATATGGTTCATTATGTGTTCTGCTGCTTAATTTCTCACACAAAACTTAAAGCAGAAATACATTTCTGTTATCTCTTTTTCTGCCAGACTTTAAGGGCAGACTTGGATGACTCCTCCATAATCTATTTGAGATAAGGTTAATGTGAGCTATCCCCCCCCCCTTTGTGGTTCCAGCTTGTGAGAGCTGGAAAAGACGTCTTGCAGTGAACCATCGTGTAATGGAAATTTTAACTGTGATAATCATAACTGTAGGATTCTATGCTATGTAAGAATTACCCACGGCCATGTAAATCCTGTTGCTGTGAGAGCCTATCATGAAATCATTCTAAACGCATCCATAAACACTTGACAAATTATATAACAAACCGAAAACATAAAAGTTGCAGGCTTTTAAATATTAAAAAGTAACTCACCCCATATAGTTTTGCCTGGAAGTCTTAATATCACACTTGTTTTAGAATCCAGATTGCCAAGAAATATGTGCCAATGGCAAACAATTTGTCAAAAAAGCATGTAGTTGATTGCATCTTTGTAAAAGTCTGGTTTCACTGCAAGTGCTGCTCATAATGTTCTTCCCTTCCCTTCTGGTTATTCTAGGGGATTTGGGGGGGGGGCACAGTCTGCTGATGGTCCTGTTGGTGACTTTTCTGGTGATTCCTTTTCAAAATACCTGTTTAGTGCAAAGGGAAAAAAAGGTTGTCTACTAGGTTTATAGGAGAGATTTTAGAAATTGGCATTATCTTACGGAAGGAATGAAGAAGAAATGTTCCTGGAGCCTGAACAGTGTCAAGATGCAGAATGATGTAGTGATAGAGAAATGTTCTTGGCATCTAAGGGAGAAAAGATTTTACAGGGGCAAGATTTAGGGAAGAGTTCCTTGTCTTCCTCATAGACTCTTAAGTCCTATCTTCTAGCCTTTCTGTTAAGTAGATGTTCTTATTGAAAGAGAGGTTTGGAAAATCCAGGCCCGTGGGATTATCTTGGGTGTTATTGGAATCGTTGACATACATATCAGTTACCAACAGCTTCAGATGTTGTTTCTCTCCATAAATGTGATCGGTAACATTGGGACTGCTCCCAGGTGCAAGGATGGGCAAGCCCAGAGAAAAAGGGAGAATGAGCCGAATTTTAGGAAATGTTCACGACTACTAAGTCTTAGAAGGATGTTTGTAATCTAGGAACATAAAATCATTAAGGCATTTCATTGCCTTAACAGTTTTCATTGCAGATTTAATGGGCTAGTGCAATGTATTATAATAAATGAGATGCTGCCTTAAGCTAAAAACGGTGGTACGGTATTTTTTCCATAAAGGCGCTTAAACTTTCAGGGTTCTGATTTTGCAAGGTTGATTATCATTTTCTCTATTTCTGATGTCCAGGCTGTGATTGCCACTTTTTATGTAGGTGCCACCCACATCCAAGAGGAGAGGTATTAGCAGACCTTTGTAATTTGCAGAAGTGCAAAACAACAATAGCAGCAGTATTAGAAATAAAACCTAAGTGGGGGAACCACAAAACAGCCCAGTGAGAATTGAGAGTGCTCCATGGCTCTTGAATGCTGTCTGATGGCTGAGGGACTGGAATCCAGAGCAGGGAAGTGCTTCACACTGCCAACACTTTGGTTGTCCTACCTCTGCCAGTTTCCAACATTCCACCACACATCTAGGCTGTGCAGACAACTGTACTTTTAAAGCACTTTGAAAGCACATCCTTCCTGAAAAAGAATCCTAGGAACTGTAGTTTGTGAAAGGTACTGGGAATTGTAGCTCTCGTGAGGAGTAAATTACAGTTCCTGTGATTCTTTGGGTGAGGGGAATGTGCTTTAAAAGTTTGGCCTGTACGCAGCCTAAATATGATCAAGAATCGGAACCTAGAATGGAGTGAAGAAGTTGGGAAGAAGCTTAACTGTTTATAACCAGGGACAACGAGGAGAAGGAATAAGGTTTAGCTCGGAGCTTCCCAAACTGTGTGTCGCGACACGTTACTGTGTTGTCTGCAGTGTTTAGGTGCATCGTGGAAACAGTGGGAGACCTTCACGCTCCAGCAGGCGGGGGCGTGGCTGGTGTACGTCCCGGGGGGCATGGCACGTGTCCCAGGGGTGTGATGCACCGCCTGTGGGGGCATGGCGCCCAGCGCAGGGGGTAGGGCAGCGATGGTACCCCACCGGGATTGTGTTGCCAGGGGTGGTGTGCTCCCCCTGCCCCCTCTCCCTCCACCAGTGCATGGAAATGCTCCCCAGGGCTGGAAAGGGGTTAGTTTAACCTCCAGTTTGCTAGTAAAACTGAATTATTGTGTCGCAAAATGATGCAAGTCTAAAATGTGTGTCACCAGCATGAAAAGTTTGGAAAGCTCTGGTAGAGCTCCTAACCTATGGTGACCTTTGCTTTCAGTTATGTTAGGAAATAGCTGCTATTCTATCCAAATTCGGGGGGGGGGGCAATATTGCAGAATGGGCAGGCCCAGCATGGATCATTTATTGTATTTTCATGGGATGCACACAGACACTCCGTCCTCTAGCATCCGCTCGCACTCACCTTGCCAATCATCAGTACAGTATGGGTATTTCACTAATAATAAGTACGTATGTATAAAAGCTAGTTTGACATCAGCGTACAAACATGGCATGGAAAGTTGAACTTTTTGTGGTGTTCTTTTTTGTCTTTGAAGGCAAATACATGCAGATGATGAACATCTTGAAGCCAATTGCATTTGATGTGATCCACTTCATGTCCCAGCTTTTTGACTACTACATGTATGCAATATATATGTTTTTTGGCCGAAATGACACGGTAAGTAAATATTGCCGTTTAATCAGCATGTGTGCATGCATGGTGAAGGGGAATAGTATAAGGGGGTAGCGATAGCTGGAATATTAATTTGCAATTCTAGAAGTATAAATGGTATAAGGTCTGTGCGAGGGTTTACACCTATCTCTGCTTCCCAGATGTCATAGAGAAAGAAATGTTGTTATGAGGAAACAATCTGAGGATTACGGAAAAATTGGTTTCTGGTTTGTGATATTGTGAGAGAGAAGATGGGGGTTTCGCTGGAATAATTCATTTTGTTCAGCTAATTGCTTTTCAGATATGATGTTCCTTTAACTTGTGGGCTCTCTCAATATGTCATAACAAGACCAAGGAAAGAAACCCTCATAAAAAACCCAAAACAACAACAACAACCCTACACAAGCTTGCCCACAGGCAGACTAATAAGAGGAATTTGGATGAGACATGCAGGGTAGTGGCTGTGTGGTAATAAGGACTGAGTAAGCTTCAGTTCCAATGGAGATCAATGGCATGTGAGTGCCAAATGGTACTGGGATATGCTGCTGCTTTGCTTACAGTGACTGAAAGAGTATAAAGGAGGGATGGGGCTCCTCAAGGTCTCTTGCTCCTTTTAAGATAACACTAGGAGAAGAATATAGGGAGGTGCCCACTCTGCCCTTCAAATCTGAAGGCACCTCGCAGCATTGAGAAACTGGGTGTTAAATAGCTGGATACATTTCACACATGCCACAGATCATTTGTTTATTCATTTATAACTTGCAAATCTGAAAGGTATGTTCAGAATATTAGTACTAAGGAACAATATTTTCCATGTTGCAAGAATCCCAGAATCAATGCAAATACTAGAATCAAGTGCCCCACGAGCTTTAACAGGATGGGATCCTAAATCAGTCATTTATTTGCTTGACAGATCCACACATGGTTCCAAATTGTCTAGGGCTGTTCTTTTGGCAGGAGTAATAACATTGAGATTTGGTTGTTTACAGAGATGAACAGCAAATTGTTTTTTTAACACTGACTTGATTTTCATTGGCTGTTTCTGCTGCTCTTTCTTTAATCCCCCCCCCCCTTTGCACCTCCTGTTTGCATTTTAAAGCTTTTACCCAGTTCTACACTTTCCACATCTAGCAGAGAACAACAAAGTGCTAGGCAGGTAAATGCGCAAGAGTTGGATTTTTGAACATTGTGTTTCCTACTGTAGTGTTCCTTATTGTTTGGCTTTTTGAAGAGCAGTTCCCATGGGAAACATACAGCTTATGAAAAGGGTCTGTCAATGTAATTTAGCCTTCTTGTAAAGATGATATGATAATCTATCATCTCTGAAGACCTCAAACAACTTTGACAACAACAACAATAATAATGTATGTCCTTTAGGTCAGTAGAATAATATAATGATAGAATTGTAGTGTTGGAGGGGACCCGGAGGGCCCTAGAGTGCAAACCCCCTCCCACAATAAGCTGCCTGTGTTGGGGATACCATTGAGTAGGGTCAACCCCACTAAATTGAAAAGGAAATGTTTTTGAACCTTTGAAGACCAAAGACATTAATAATTTTATTGTAAACTTCTCTAAATGAAAGTCTGTCATCTCAGCCCGCACACTGCAGATGTGTGTGCTATAAAGAAACGCAGATTGCCTTAAGTGTTCTTCCATATTCAGTTGCCCGTGTAACAGTGGCACGCTATTTAAAATATTCAGCCTTTTCCATCATTCAAGCCCATTTGTTTACTTCAAGCCACTTACCCAGTGGGACATAAGTGGGAGTAACTTGGCCAATGCACAGGTACATTAGCTTGAGTGGCTTTTGAATGATAGTTAAGGTCTGTTCTGTTGAATCCAAAGCAAAGGAGTGTCTTCCTGAACTGACAAATGTATTCCTGGTGTGAAACACATACCCATATTTTGACAATATGGTTGAAGTCGACCCTTGAAATGCATGTATGTTTCTTAGTTCTCACGCTATAGTTTTGTCAACTGAGCAGCTCTGTCTGGGTCTCTTATAATTCCCACTGAATTTAAAATGTGGTAAGTTGCAACAGGATGAGCTAGTATAATTCATTCCTCTAATGGAATGGCTTTGCGTCTTTGTGAACCATGACACTGGAACATTTTCTGCTTGATTCATAATCACAAATGTTTGTGTAGGTGTAACTTCACTGAATCTTTTCAAAAGGAAATCTTCCTTATGTAACTTAGAGCACGAAGGTAATTGCTACTAAGTAGCAAGTACAGTTCTTCATTCTGATTTACATTAAATTTGTTCTTCATGTGGCAAAGGTGTCTGGTGCCATTGGACGCCATTCTCAGAAAGAATACAAAGCACAAGGCTTCCCAAAGTGCAATATAAAGTATTCTGGAAAAAAAATTATCCCCTAATACAGTGGATAATTCATGTGTCCGGTATGAATTGTGTGTGGTCGTTCTAGTGTATGAAACTTAGTTTTTCTTTGTATATGAGTGCAGTGTTGAGTGTGTTGCTGCTGCCTTCCCTCCCCATCCCACCTCTTTTTCCATTTTTTACTTTGATTGAAATACCATGTCATGCTGCGCTTTTATCCAATGTGGCAATGGAATGTAGGCAAATGGGAAAATTCCTTTGGATTATTTGTATGCTATCCAAATTGTGTTGCTTAGAATTCCCTCTCACTTCCAGTTTGAAACGACAGGACTGGGACTCAGCAGCAGCCGGCTTCGAACCACACTCAACAGAATACAGGAGAGCCTGATTGATCTGGTAAGTTGTAGGACTTTGAGTAATTGAAATGGAAGAGTAATAGGAATTGCATTGGTTGCTGTACCAGATGTACACCATCCTGAGTAATTGCACTAAATCCATGTTAGATTACAACAACACATGGTTTGTGGAGATGGCTCTGAAGGCGGTTTGGTAACTTCAGCTGGTGCAGAGTTCAGCAGCCAGGAAGACGGCTTGAGCATATTACACCAATCCTGGCTTGACTGCCCTGGCTGCCAGTTAGGCCCTCTTGTTGGTTCCTCTTGACCCATACCACTGGGTGATCCACAATAATGAAGAAACTTGGAAACTTGGCAAAGTTGATGCCTGTATATATTTCAGAAACAGCATGAGACTGTCTGTGGTGAAGCGGTGGTGGTTGAAAACTTACAATGATAATTGGGATTTTATCCTATATTTCATACCCCTACCTCAGCAAAGCCATCAAGATGATTTTTAAAGATGGAAAGCTAAAAAAAAAATGCATTCAACAAGATTTTCCCTTTAGGAATCACTGCCTGTTTTTTCACAGCAGTTGCATTACCTGTGAATCCTTCTGTCTCAACAGTCCTCCAGAAGATGCCCATCCTTTGGGGCCTAAGGTTTCAGCAATCGGCCACAGCACCTTTAGTGATTATAAGCCTGGAGAGACCAAACATGAGACAGTTCAGTTTTCGCTCTCTGTGCTTCACGATGTGATATCCACATTCATTGGTATCAGTGATGTGAAATAAAGCCTAATGACTTCAACTCGGGTGCCTTCACAGAATCACATTAGTAGGAACCATCAGTCCAGAGGTTTTTTCTGTTTCCAGTTTCCCACGCTGTTACAGAAAGCCCCTGACCCCCTGGAACAACTGTGTGTGTATGGGGGGGGGGTGGAACTCCAGCGGCCCCTGGAGCATGGAGTGCTGCAGGAGCAATTGATGGAAATTGCCTCTCCCCCCCTTTCTCCAGTAGAGAATCACAGGCATTTGTTCCAAACTCAGTGCAGTATGTTTTATTAATAATAGAAGGTCTGGTCTCAAGTGTGATTATAAAAGCTGTATGTTACAGTGCTAAAATGGCTACCCAAAAGTCAGTCTAACCACTTTTGCCTTACCATGTATCTCTCGTCCTCTGAGAGCATGTTAGCTGCCAGTGGAAATATTTGATAGATGTTGATTTATTTGTTTGTGTGCCTTTTTTATAGCCAAACACCAACATAATTTGGCTGTTGTTGTTTTTAGCTAAGACATTATTCACACCACCATGATACACTGCATCTCTTTTATGTCAGCAGCTGGTATAAATGGGTCTCCTCCTTCCAGGAAGAATTGAATCTACTGTATAAGAACCACGGTTTATCCTGTCAACTGTTGAAAGAACGTAAAAGCACATATCCCTAATAAGTAATGTGGTACCAATTCTGTGTTCATATTCTGCAATGGAATTAACTAGGCAGGTTAAATTTGAAATACTTTATTGTCACTTGTACAACTTGTATACAGTGAGATTACACAAGTACCCTCCACTCAGCTCTCTTAGTCTTAATTCCCCTCGTTTACTGATGCACACCCACCAAACCCGAAAGTCAGTTGCTCTGTTGTTATCTTTTCATTTAGCAGCCTAACAGCCCACGGATAGAAGCTGTTCTTTACGCTGTTGGTGAGATTAATCATGCTTCTATATCTTCTGCCTGAGGGCAGGAAATCAAGAAAGTGCCGGCCAGGGTGTGAATCATCCCTGAGAATTTTCCTCACTCTCCTGAGGCAGCGTTCTTCCTCTATTTCATCCAGTGGATTCACGGGACAGCCCATAATATCTTATGCTGTATTCATCACCCTCTGTAGGCACTTCCTATCAGATGATGTCAAACCAGCATACCACACCGTGATGCAGTATGAAAGGACACTTTCTATTGTTGACCGGTAGAAGATCATCAGATGTTGATTGACGTTGTTCTTCCGCAAGACTCTGAGGAGATGGAGTCTCTGTTGGGCTTTCTTAACCACCTGGGTTGTATTTATTTTCCAAGTAAGGTCTTCACTGAGATAAACTCCTAGGAATTTAAAGGAGTTTATCTCAGTGAAGACCATACTTGGAAAATAAATACAACCCAGGTGGTTAAGAAATGAAGCTCCTTCTGGAAGGGGAAACCGCAAATGCAACAGATCAATAAAACCAGGCAAATGCTTCTTTCCTCAATAGAGAGGTTGACAAATTATTTACCAGCTCTGGTGCACTGGAGCAAACAGCATTCAATAGAATGGTACTAGGGAACAGAACAAGTTCCTGGTTCAAGCACCATAGAGCTGCTGGCAACCTTGGTTTGGCTTTATCTGTATTAATTGGGAGATCATTTTGATATAGTTCCCCCCCCATGGGTGTGGTTTCATAATAAACCCAGGTATGGACAGATGCATATAGAAAACACATTGGAATTGGAAAACCAAGGTGGATTCTCCAGGAAGGATATGTAACCATGTATGCTAGATTCCTGATAGCTCCTGCTCACAGATATCTTCTGTGAAACCCATGTGATAAAAGTGCTTTGTAAAGCACCGCAAGAATCCATAAACTTCTATATGGGGGAAGCTGTGGCTTCCTTTTTCCGGAGAGGGTTCTGTGTTTAATCCCTGGTGTCTCTATTCAAGTAACTTTGGTTATGTGAGCAAAGTTTCCTTCCATTTCATCCCACATTTTCTGGGGGGTGATCACCTTCACTATGCATGCTGATTCATTACCCCCACGCCTTCCAAAACTGAGCTTGGTAACAGCCACCTGATGGGAGTTGTAGCTCAGTACATCTGGAGGGCAGTAGGTTGTGGAAGGCTGGTCTAAAAGGTACTCATCAAGGTGGTTGTTTTTTTACTTCCCACAGTATATTTAATCTATATATTGTGTTTCAGCCTAGGTACAGTTTTATTTCTGAGACCGAACAAAAATGAGAGCAGTTAATATGTAAGCGGAGGAGCTTGTCAGAGCAATGGGATTTCCAAGGGTAGAAACAGAAAAATGGACCTTAGTTTTTTTCCATATGTGAGAGAAAATCTTATTTGTTTTTCATTTAGTTTGTTTTTCACTACAGTGAACTTATGCTGTACATGCTTAATGGGGGGGAACTGCTCTTACGAGATCAGAATTCAAAACCTTTCCCCATAAAGTCTAAAGGAAATGAAAGATCAGAAAACCTATCAAAATTGACAGTGCTCAAATTTAAGAATCCAGAGCTGCTAACTAGATCCATCTTAAACCTGGGCGAGTAAAAATGTCTTAAGTAGTGACGGATGTTCATCAGGGATGTGGCTGTTCATGCCACCAGGGCAAGGGAATTTTCAAAACCAAGACATTACTACAGAGAAGGCTTTGTCTCACATCCCTACACAATGAACCACGTTTGCCAAGGAGTAACAAGTTGGACTATCAAGCCATTCCTAAAGTATTTGATGCTATATTTCTCCATGTGTACACTGTACATGTGGGGGGTGGGCGGCGGGGGGGTGAGTCTGTCTTCCCTGTTCCCAGTTTCTGTGTGCTCTCCAGCACTGGCATTTGCATGTTCAGCAGACCATCAGGAAACAGAGTCTATGTGCACCTGTAGGGTCTCCCTTCTGACAGTTTCCTGAATGCAGCAGTGTTGAGGGTAGCAGAAGGCTTAATGACCCCATTCGCACATAATGGTCAGCAAAACCATGGCTTAGGGGGAGCCAAGCACATATGCAGGTTCCTGCATTGAAGGTGGTAAGTTCTGAGGTCCTCCCTTGGTCCTGCTGCCACCACAGCATCTATGACTAAGCCATGACTTGGCTTACTGTTGCATCTATACCCAGGCAGCTCATGGCTTGTTTGCTTCAGATAAACTTTGAGTGGTAAACTAAAAATAATATTTGGTTTATTGGCTTGTGGTTTTTGTTTGGAGCGAAACAAAGCACAAGTCTGAGTCTGGGTGTAGTGCTAGCTCAGAGTAGCACAGCTCCAACAGGACTGGGGGAGCTTTGCTCCAGAAGTCTGCTTGTTCAACCTAAGCCATGGTTTGGCATAGTGTCAAGTTAGAATTGGGTCACTGAATGCTTGACTATGGCATTTATAAGTTTTCCTAGTAAATTCTAGGGACGCGGGTGGTGCTGTGGGTTAAACCACAGAGCTTAGGACTTGCCGATCAGAAGGTCGGCAGTTCAAATCCCCGCGATGGGGTGAGCTCCCGTTGCTCGGTCCCTGCTCCTGCCAACCTAGCAGTTCGAAAGCACGTCAAAGTGCAAGTAGATCAATAGGTATCACTCCGGTGGGAAGCTAAACGGCGTTTCCGTGCGCTGCTCTGGTTTGCTAGAAGCAGCTTAGTCATGCTGGCCACATGACCCAGAAGCTGTACGCTGGCTCCCTCAGCCAATAAAGCGAGATGAGCACCACAACCCCAGAGTCTGCCACGACTAGACCTAATGGTCAGGGGTCCCTTTACCTTTACCTTAGTAGATTCTAGGCTGTTCTCTGTAGTAGATTTTTTAAAAACCAGAAAGTTACCACTGACACTTTACAACTCTCTAGGAAAGATTTGTGCATATAAAATGCCGTGATCCTTTATTCTTTCTATTCCTTAATTTTCTGAGAAATCTTGCCTTGGCAATGACGTCTAGCTATTACCTTTTTGACCAACTGTATTTTGGATGGCTTCCTTCTCAGTGTTGACTGTGAATTGCTCCATTAACTTTAATAAGACTAATTTTGCTTTTAAGTTAGGCAAATTCTTGATCAATTTTGTCAGTGGCAAAAAAGTAATGAGTTGCATCAAACAAAAGCAATTTTGGATCCTGTTACATTTAGATTTGAGGGAGTCTGGCATACTCTTTATGAATTAAGGTCATCTGTTCGCAGGAAAAGGATTGAGAATTTAATTCTAAATACGGATAATGATAAGGGGGGCTAATTCTTTTAATGCACCTTCTAAAAAAGTGGAAAATAGGTAATTAAACCACCTCTGGCGTCACTTCACCTCTTAAGCTGTTCATCTGAATATCTGAATATCTTCTTCCCTCTCCCACATTGGAGAAAGACTTCAGTTTTTTATTTCAGTTTTAATTGCATACTCACATTTCAGCATGAGATCCCAGGACAGGTTATAGCAATTAAAAACTACAACACTGAAACTATTTAAAACAAGTTATAGTCACAAAGATAGGGTGGATCTGAAAAAATATCTATCTCGGGTGTCAGAGGCTAGGGACATTTAATAGAGGTGCCAGAAGCATCTCTGGGTAGCGAACTTCACAGCTTATGGGCTACCACAGAGAGTTCCCCCTCCTGAGACACCAACTTGAACTACTATGGGCAGTAGAACTACCAAGAGTCCTTCTCCCCAGGGGGTCTGAAGGGAAGGAGGTGGTATTTTCAGATATGGGGGGGCTAAATTATTTAGAGTTTGAACCCCCAAATGAGCACCTGGAAATTGACCTGGAAACTAACTGGCAGCCATTAGTTGCATCAGTAATATAGCTGCTACATTTTGAACTAGGTGAAGCTTCCGAGTCAGAAGGAGCAGCCAACGTTTTTTAGTAGCAGATTCCAGAAATGTAAATGGCAGCTTGATGATCAAGTAATGTATCAAGTCCAGTCATTTAGATATTTGAGTTTTATATTGAACAATTGGTTCTCCTAGAAACAGCAGCAACTGTTTAAACACCAATTTGTCAGTTTCCAAAAAAATACTTAGCAAAGAATGACAACTGGAGATCATTGTGTTGAAGATTTTTTGTCTTAGTTCAGTTATTCCATGAGGCCAAGCTCTGGAGAAATGGCCAAAATCTCATTTGGAAATCTTGCAGGGTGAACTTTTGAGGGGGAAAGTAGGACATATCTGCTGTTCTCGGAGCTAAACTTGGGATGCCATCTATCGCAACCAGAGTTGAAAATAAGTTAAATGGATGGTAACATCCTTTCAAGCTATGCCGGATGGAAAATGAAGGGTGGAGTGCTGGGCACAGAGATGTCAAAATAAACTGGCAATTGTAACTGTTGAAGGGTTTTTGGTGTTAGGCCATTCATTGTTGTGACCTGACGGAATGGGTTTCTGGCAGTGATGTCCACAAACATAGTTATGGCTATGAATAGCATGTATTTCTTGTGGTGATGTTGCAAGTTTAAGAAAGATCACATCAGGGCACATTACCTTCAAATACTAACCTTCCTTATGTAGGCCTTTTATGGATTTTAAGTAAGACCATAGTAGATACAGTGGTACCTCGGGTTACAAATACTTCGGGTTACAGACTCCGCTAACCCGGAAGTAGTACCTCGGGTTAAGAACTTTGCCCCAGGATGAGAACAGAAATCGCGTGCCAGTGACATAGCGGCAGCAGGAGGCCCCATTAGCTAAAGTGGTACCTCAGGTTAAGAACAGACCTCCGGAACAAATTAAGTTCATTAGCAGAGGTACCACTGTATCTTGAAGGGATGACTGCTGGTATTCCAATGCAGGAGTGAAAATGTTTTTTGTTGTTGTTGCTGAAGCCAAATCAAATATACTACTAATTACTTTATTTATTTTACCCATTATATGTCGATCCATTGAAAAAATCTGGTTGCCTGTTCTGTCTCAGTATTTGAGTTAAACACCACAAGGTGCTGTGATTGAGATACTAAGAATAAATTGGTTTTATAACTTACATGGTGGTGGTGTTTGTACCAAATGTGTTCCCCCACAAACTAATTATTTTAACGATTGAGCTTAATTGATTAGCATATGTAGCCATCATGACGGATACGAATTTTTCATTACATTTTAAATTTCATTTTAATCATGGTCAGTTGTATTGATTTTAGCATATAGTAGAGCGCTTGATGGGTTAGTCTATCTGCAAGTACTTTGGTGTTCAAAAGAAAGGCAGAGTGTTGTGCTCCTCCTAGTTTCAATATCTCTGGTTTATAAAGATAATTGAAAGCTCCTCTATACTGGGACTTCCGGGTCAGCGCCATCGGTGAATGGCGGAGTTCCTCCGTCCGGAGGAACGGGCTCCGTGGAAACTGGGTCTTCCCGCCGCGGCGAAGGTGGGGACCCGCTAGAAATCCCAGGCGGAGGAAGCCTGGGAACGTGGGGTTCGGCAGGGCACCAGGAGCGCCCCCCTACTCGCAGGGAATCCCATTTAGGGGCTCCGGAGCGAAGTGGGGTGAGAAGCACGGTGCTGCGAACTGACTGCTACTTTCATGGAGTGAAACCGCACAGCCATTGCCGGAGAGCGCTGACCTTTTCCTGTCGACAATTGGACTTAAAATAAGTACCCGTGAGTAGAAACGGAAAATTGGATCAAGAAATTTCTTAATTTGGTAACGAAGCGGGAAGGTTCAAAACAGGAAGTCTGCCTTCCGCTTTTTGTATATAGACTAAAGCAAAAACTTTGTAAGCTAAAGCCTGGAAAGCTGTCAAAAAGTCTATATTTTCTTCATTTAGAATTACTGAAACCCCCTTGGAAGCAGGAGAAAAGGGGGGGAATTTTGTTCAACCCTAGCAGGAGAGGGAGTGAAGAAGGATAAGTTTCCACCGTCTCTAACCTGGGAACGGGGTGTCAGAGACAGAAATTGTTGGAGAGGTTCATTGACTGTGAATGGGATATTTTGACAGATAGCTAAAGAAGAGAAACAAGCTGATTCCAATGTTGCCTTTTGCATCCTAAAGAAACAAAATATCTGAAAAATATCTGAAAAACGAAAGTAATTTTCCTTTGTTGGACTTGCCAAAAAAAAAAAAATGGATACAAATAGAAATTGCCTCCTCTAGAGGGAGCTTGTCAAATTGTTGCTGCAGTACACTTGAGGGCTCAACAGATGTGAGATTAAGACCGTGGGAACAGGCTTTTCTGACCTTGACTACAGATGAGTTGGAAGGAAGACGGGATGCTTGCCTTATGTAAGACAAGTGCCCTGCTGGAACAGATGCATGAGACAATGGACTTGATGAATGAGAAGATGGATTTGACTGTTGCAGTTAATAACTGTGGGCAAACAGGGAATATTGATACAGAAATTATCCAGGGACCAACTCATGAATCTGTACTGACTGGGCAAGTGCAGAAGATAATGGAGGAGGATGCAGTTGCACCCCAAATAATACAAATGGAGAGTCCCGAGGCCCTACAGGAGTATGAGCCGCTGTCATTGAAGATTGAAGTTGGAGTGGGCCAGGGGGAGTCTGGAGTTGAGGAGGTTCCCAACGTTGGAGAGACCTTGGAATATCCTTTTAAATACTTTTTGGACTATATTGAGGATTGTGGGGAGTGGGACTGTGGGGAATGGGTGGGTTTGATGAAGGGAGATGGAGGCAATTCTGGCTTGGAACCCCCCAGAGGCCTACCCCTCAATGAGAAAGGAAAGAAACTAAGAAAGAGACCAACAAAAGACAAGGAAAAGGGCAAGTATAAACAAGAAGAAGAAGAATTGCAGAAGGGACATGGAAGAGACTTAAGGGCCTCGGACATAAGGCTTCCAGGTTGATGGACTAGATGGAATGGACAGTAAGGACTGACACGATCCGAGACCAGGAAGAAGGGACGTTGGATGAAGATTGGAATAAAATTTATAAAGAAAATTTTCTAATTGGGGAATTGGCTAAAAATTACAGTGGTGCCTCGCAAGACGAAATTAATTCGTTCCGCGAGTTTTTTCGTCTAGCGAATTTTTCATCTTGCGAAGCACGAAATCCCATAGGAATGCATTGAAATTCAATTAATGCGTTCCTATGGTCAAAAAAAGTCCAAACAAAGCCAAATTTGGTACAACAAGAGTTTATTAAGTGCTCTTTAAAGTCACACATACTGTAAAGAGCATTTCAAAAATTGAAGGAACAATAAATTAAGTTTCTAAACATGACAGAAAAACATTTAAAAATCAACAAAGTGTACAGTACATTTTCTAAGACTCTGGGGGACAACTCGAAGAAGGTTCCTCTTCCACTCTTTGCTTCTTGCTGAAGAACCCCCTTCTCAACTGTTCTCCCAGCCACCCACCACACAGAAATTCAAATACAGAATTTTTTAAAAAAAACAGCAGAGTGGCCCAGTGGTCACAGAAAATCATAAAAATGCAGAAAAAAACCACACAAGCTTCCAGATTCTTGCAAACCCCTCCTCAACTGTTCCTCCAGCCACCCACCACACAGAAATTCAAATCCAGAATTTTTTTAAAAAAACAGCAGAGTGGCCCCAATGGTCACAGAAAATCATAAAAATGCAGAAAAAAAACACACAGGCTTCCAGATTCTTGCAAACCCCTCCCCAAAACCAAGTCCTTGAATTCCAAACACCCCAACCCAAAATCCAAAAACCCCCCAAAAAGTTTTAAAAGTTTAAAAGAAGTTTTGGAAAAGCTTCAAAAATCACCAAAGTCTTCAAAAACCTCAAAAAAGGCTACCATACGAGTTGCTCCTCGAAGTCAAGTCGCAACTGTATTAACGGTGTTAAGAAAAAGGAAACAAACTTGCAAGACCGTTTCGTTTTTCGTCTTGCGAAGCAAGCCCATAGGGAAATTCGTCTTGCGAAGCAGCTCAAAAAACGGAAAACCCTTTCGTCTAGCGAGTTTTTTGTCTTGCGAGGCATTCGTCTTGTGGGGCACCACTGTAATGAATATTAGGGAAAATGTTGGAATGAAACTATATGACTTTAGCAGAAATGATATCAGGAGTAATGTATATTTGATAACTAAGATTCAAGCTTTAAGGTGTTTTAGGGTAAGATAAGGTTAAATTAATTAAGGTAATGTGAATAATAGAATATGGGGAAAGATGGAAAGGATTTGTTGAGTTAATTATTAGATTAAATTAGGTTAGGATGAATTTTTTAACAAAAATTGAGAAAGATGGAAAGAATTTGCTGAAATAACTAATTAAACTAGAATACAAAAAGGGAGGTGTGAGGAAGTCAGTGAAACAAGCAAATGGAAGTTTTAGATATGTAAGTTGTTTTGTTAGATATTGTGTTGTTTTCTTTTTTCTTTTTATCTTTTTGTTGTATTGTTGTATTGGTTTTTGTGTTTTTTTTCTTTTTGTCTATTATAGTGTTGTTTTTTAATGTTTTTTTAAAATGTTTTTCTTCTTATAATTCTGAAAACTACTAATAAATATTATTATTTTTTTTAAAAAAAGAAAGCTCCTCTATACTGAGTCAGACCATTTGCCAAGCCAGCTCAGTGTTGCCCACGTTGACTGGTTGCGGCTCTCCAGCATTTTGGACAAGGGTCTCTCCCACCCCTACCTAGAGACGCTGGGGTTTGAACCTGGGACCTTCTGTGTTCAGGACAGATGCTCTGCTAATGGCCTTTCCCTTTATGAAGCAGAGCCAGGAAGGACTTCTGCTTGAGACTTTTGAGCAGCATTAGAGCCAGTAGGGTGCTGCCCTGCCAACTGCAGTCTGCCCTCAAGCAGCCTCTGCCTACCTGCCTTCTTATTACAACCGCTCTACGGGGTGGGACTGGCAGTTAGCTCCTTCCTCCTTAGCGCTCAGTTCAGTGTTGCCTTTGTAGAACTCAACAGGGAGGAGGCAAAGCTAGAATTAGTCAGCTCCCCAGTCATTTGGCTCTGGTGCCATCTACTGTTGGCCTCCCTGCTTTCCACCCCACCAGTGTCAGTGAACACCAGCCGCCATTGCCTTTTAGAACTGTTCTAGTTAGAGTAAACAGTACTGTACTAGACTATCTAACGGTTTGACTCGGTTTTAGGTACTGTCATACGTTGCAATGGCAATGGGAGAATTTGAACCCAGACTGATTATGTGGCCTTTATTTTACCCACCAGGTTTGTTTTGTGTGTTAAATTGGACACTAGTCAGTATATAGGTAAAAAGCTCTTGCTATTCCCAGTTGTGTCTTCAAACTCAGGCCATATTGTTCTCAGTGGAGTCCTTATGAAACCGTATCTTTTTTCTTTCTCATCGATTGTTTTACATTAAACTGAAAGACAACTTTTAGGACTGATAGTAGAAAAAGGGCACATTTGGTTTTGCAAAATTGTTCTTGCCCAGGGGAAGCATTGGTTAGTAAATAAAGCTTTAATTAACATCATCCATCACCATGAAGGGTGAGATATTAGTTCCTGTACTTGTGCTTGTATATTTTGATGGTTCTGCACTGAAGTGCATGCAGATAATTCCTTTGAGGAGGCAGATGTAAATTTTTAGATTTTCGAGGCTGAATATAATTAGACTTTAGAAAAGTAGCAGTCTCCTTTTCCTATTTAGCGGGAAGAATTGTTGAAGAGTAATGTATATCTTTTGTCATCTACTTGGCAAAACAGGAAGTGGACTAATGAAAACTTTGTGTTATTGTTTCATTGACTAATACTTAGCTGCTAGTATGTACCTTTGAACTTTTGGGGACTGACTTCTGAGTGAAGTTTCAGAAGATTGTGCTACTCATTATTTTTTTTATGGCTAGTTTTATGTGCCAGTTGAATATGACCCTAGTTTTATGGATTTATTAAGGTAGAATTTTCTTTGACTTCCAGGAACCTTAAAAGAATTCTCAGTTCTCATGTAACCTTAAATAGGTTACTGCATTCTCTGGTATAAGTCAGAGAAAACCCACATTATGAATTCTTACTCCAAGAGTTTGTAGAAGTTGCTGAATATTTCTCCCGGGCTTTACAACTGGGAGATATAAAAGGAAAGTAGTGGTTGTTGTCATTTAGAAACACTTCATTACAAGAAACATTAGGATAGGAGTTTAAAGATGATTGCTGCAAAATGGTGTAAGGTGTGTGTGTGTGTGTGTGTGTGTGTGTGAAGTCTGCCTCGCTGTAGAAGCTCCATCAGAAAACTAGCTGCTGTCCTCACTACTAATTAATAAAAATGCTATGTCGGTTGCAAGATAAAACTTAGGTATAAAAGGAGAATTCCAAAATCCAAGTTTGAGACAAGTACTCTTTGGTGAGAACCCCAGCAGAGATTTAAAATCACTAAATTATTGATATAGGAACTCAAGAGTGGCTTGTAAGAGCCATGCGGTCCTGAACTTGAGCAGCCATCTCAGATCTCCTCACACTTTCAGCTTCTCAGGTAGAATGAAGGGGAACAAGGTCTTGATTACCTAGTCTCTCTTAAGGTGAGCTAAGCCTGGCAGGACAGCTTACTCTATGGCACAACCCCTTCCTTCATGCATTAATTAAACATGTTGGTTATATGAGGCTGGTTATCCCACAAAAGCTTGTCTCAAGCTGTTGAACCCAAACTTATTAGAAGGAATCTTTCATATTAACATTCATCTGTGTAATTCAGTGCGAGTGGAGGCCTGCTACCTTAAAAAAGAACCCTGGGAAATGTAGGATGTGGACACATAACTTGAGTGACCCAAACTCAAGTGGATTTATATACTTGGAATCTCAAGTGGATTTATATACTTGGAATCCAGTTTGTGAGACCAGTAGTTGGCTCAACTTGCATCTCAGTTATTTTCAGTATGGTTGAGTAGATTAACAATTTCTATCTCAGGTGAGTCCAGTAATCTGTCTGGGCCCCCACTGTTAGGTTTTATTTTTTGTGAATGGTTAGTTCCAGAATTCTTGGATTTTACCACTTGTTTCACAATGTATGTTAAAGAAAGATGGCATCATATTCCTAGATGGGGTGTGTGTGGGTGTGGGTGTGTAGTACAAATACTGCTAAACGTGAAAAGGAGCTCTTCATCAAGTTTGTTCCTGTGGCCAGTGGTGAAAATTACATACTCCAAAATCCTTTGTAACGTACCAGTCAATGATCTGTCTACCTCCTTTCTCATTACAAGGAGTGATACAGTACAAAAGCTGCTAAGACTTGATGCTTTTTCAACCTGAATGGCACCTGTAAACCTGACAGTTGCTCAAAGGTCCTTCTTGTTTTCCTGATCAATGAAGGAGAAAATGAAAGAAGGAAATGTCACTCTTTTGAAAGTGGGAAACACTTGAGACAGAAAATCTCCCCCACCTCATTTTTTGTGTGTTTTTTAAAGGCACAAATGCTAGCTGTATAATGAAAGGCTTTTTGCAACGCCTACTTGCTTTTTGCTATCTCAAAAGTAAAAACCTTTCTCAGTGTATTGTAGAAGCATGGAACGATACCCTAAAGAAGCAAAATGTCATTAAGGGTCAGGCAGTCTGTATATGTCCTTGACATATTGGGTCAATGGGTTATGTTTGTTCAGGAATTTTATGTCTCTGGATGCTAGAAGCGTGCCTTTGTTCTTTTCTTACTCTATATCAAATCAATTTGTCACTTTGGAGCACTGTTGCTTGGACTGCACTGAATGTTCTCCTCTTTCAGTTTGGGGGGGGGTCAAAAGCTTGCTTTCAGAGGACCAATCTACTCCTTGAAAGAATCCTAAATTCTGTGGATGTTAATCTCCTCTCCCCCCACCCGCCCCATATTTTTCACTCCCATTGCTCTGCTGCTATTCTGGCAACTCCTCCCATCCACACACGATATTGCCATCACCTTCTGTTAGTCACGTGGGCAATCCTAATCCCAACTCATCATAAATAGGACGATTTCATGACACTACATAGCCAATGAGATCTGGCTACGTGCTGATGTCACTGAAGACAGACTAAGCCATTAACCTCAATCCCAATAGATGGACACTTTTGCATCATTTCAATACAGCCATAAAAAATACTGAGAGCGGGGGGCTTTTCAATGCTGGTGAAAATATCCACGAACAGTTGGGTGCTCTGATTTAATGTAGTTTATTTGCCACTGTCTTCTTGACACATCTATGGCTTTAAAATTGCAAAACTGCTGTATCCCAAGCAAAGCAGACCTTTGGAAAGTTCATTTTTCATCACAATCCTTGTACAGTGGTACCTCAGGTTAACTACTTAATTCGTTCCAGAGGTCCGTACTTAACCTGAAACTGTTCTTAACCTGAAGCACCATTTTAGCTAATGGGGCCTCCTGCTGCCGCCGTGCCGCCGGAGCATGATTTCTGTTCTCATCCTGAAGCAAAGTTCTTAACCTGAAGCACTATTTCTGGGTTAGCGGAGTGTGTAACCTGAAGCGTATGTAACCTGAGGTACCACTGTATGGTTAGATTGAAAGCCCTGTCTTCATGAATGCTATGCAACCTCTTCTTTATTCATAGACTCCCCTGCTGCCATGGGTGGCTTGAATGGCATTCTGCGGTGCATGGGGCCTCTTCAACTGATGTGGTGCCTGCATTCTGCCCACCGACAGTAAATTAGGACAGGAGCAGCAAAGTTGGCATTTCTCTGGGTAGCAGAGCCTCATTCAGAGCAGCCCTTGATGCAAGGAAGGGCCCTGCAGAGAGGGGAGGGAGATGCTTGGCTTTCCTATCAATGCAGCCCAAGAGAACCTTGCCGGAAAATAATTGAACATTACCTGTTGTGCTCTAGCAAGTCTTTTCCCATGGACAACACAGGCAAGAAGACATAGGCATCTCGAAGAAACTGGGCAGACCTTGAAGTCATCTTAGTAGCTGAGAATTCTCCACTGAATTGTGGCCAGTCCCCAGAGACAAAATGGTTGCAGGATGTCTTCGGGAGAAGAAAAGGCTCAGGGGTAAAGTAAACCCTGCTCACATCCGGAGAAGAGTCCCTAAGGTGGTTGGATGATGCCTTGTACACCTTCTGGCAACACCTGCAGCCCAGCTGGTGCCAAACATATTGCTCTGCTTCCTTTGGACCACATCAGTGAGGCCAAGAGGACCTCCGTGCACACTGCCCACGCTTGCGCCCTCAGAAGGTCACTTTGGTGCTGCTAACACAGCGGTTTGACTTCACCTCTGGAGGCGCCCTCCATTGTCTCTCGAGACAGACAGATGCCGACAACAGCAAGATTGAGCTGCTCATTCTGATACAAAGTTTCAGAGTTTAGGAGAAGGGCCATTGACTTAGTGGTAGAACATCTTTTTTATGCAGAAGGTCCTAGGGTCAATCCCAGATAGGACTGGGAAGCAACCCTTCATGAAATTCTGCAGAGCCGCTTCCAATCAGTATATCAACTAAATAGAGAGCTGTAAGGCAGCTTCCTAGGTTCCTGAGATAGGTGGGTCAAGCAGGGAAAATTGGAGGTGTCTCAAGAATCCTTTTGGGTTTCTAATGGAAGATACCTTAGTGAAATCAAATATTAACAAAAGAAGGTTATATACGACAGTGGGACACTCAAGACGGCCCTGCAATGCAAATTGAGAGGAGTTGGGTGAAGTTGATAGGAAAGGCTAACATGCCAATTCTTTTCCACAATCCAAGCACATGCTACAGTCTCTGTTGTGAGGGGTGGGGGGTAAAAAAGTAGCCCACACTGCCATTTGGAACAGTCCCACTTGCAGCATCTGAATTCGCCACAGGTAAAATGGCCCACTTTAAATTTTAGTTTTAATACATTATTCCAGTCATCACACACTTGTTCCTCAGTGTAATTTGAAGCAGCCAATAGACTGAAGGTCAAAATTGTAATTCTGGTCATGGAGAATCATATCAAAGAAATCGGTTTTTTTAAAGAATTTCAATCTTCTATTTCTTTGTTTCATAATGGATTTTCATTTTTTCTTTTTAAATGCCTTTGTTATGCATTAGCAGTCAAAAAATTATTGTGCTGTGATTTGTTGCTCACTCGAAAGGTATTTCACTCATGAACTACATTTCACTTTTAATTTATAAATAGGTTTCTGGCTTAAAAGTTTACTGATGTGGAATAGACAGAGTTGTCTTTGAGCTCAAACTGCTTGGCCTGCTTCTCACAGTAACAACCCCTTTGACCCAAACACCTTGTTTGTTTGTTATTCTCCTTGCAAACTCTTGATGTCTTATTCTTTAATGTTGTTTTTATAGGGCACAGCTTTCCATCTTTTTAATGTGCAGGGGAGACAACAGCACAGCAATGCATTTGATGAGGTGCTTGCTGTAATATAAATACTTTGACAAAGTGTGGTTGTTAAGAGAAGGTGCACATATTTGATGACTGAAGAAAAGTCTGGACGTTAAAAACATTTAGATCTTCAGGTCCATTTACTGTTGTTGCAAACCTGCAGAGTTTTGCTTGGTTTGCAAGATTTCACTTCATTGATGCTAGAGGGTATCCCTGTGTTTTAGTACTTGGTGTCTTAAGTTTTGCCCTAGCATATGCCATTGCTTGCTTAGTGGCACTAGTATTCAGCTGTTAGAACTATGCCATCCACAGGCAGCATTGGGAATAAGATCTCACCTCTTCCATTTTTACCATCACTCTGCCCCTCCCTGTAGGGTCCCCAAATGTCGCTGGTACTTTATCCCTGTTTTTGAAATGTGGTTAGTAGATTGGCCACTTGGTGAAACTCTAATCACATTCTCACTTATGACAAAGTGACATAACTCACAGATGACCACACAAATAAGTAGCGGCTACAATGCTTTTTTCTGGGGGGGGGGAATGCAAGGGGACGCATACACCTAAACATTTTGTGAATCTTTGTACTTTTGTCCATTTACTGTATTTATTTTTCCCGATTTGAACTATAAAATGGTGGTTTTCTTGAGTCAAAGTGAGAGTACCTATAAACATTATTTTAGAAAAAAAGCACTGAGCGGCTATATCCTCCACTCATCGATGTATTTCACTGTAGAAATTCAATGGGAGTTTGAAGTATAGTGAGATGAGCTGTCCAAAGAAAACGTTGTTTGTTTGTTTTAAAAAAGAAACCCATTGAGCTAGTGCAGGCAATTGTAACTTTAAACAGCTGTTTGAATCCCAGCCTCAGTCATTCTGTATAATCAAAATAGTGGTTGAAATATGTATCTGCTTGACACCTGCTATCCAGTAGTGTATCTAGAAAATAGACCCTCTTGGAGCTTTAAATATGATCGAGGTTTCCATTTTATTGTGGATGTGGACAGAAAATGACTTTATCAAAACTTACTATGCTGTAAATCATTCAGATTAATTTTTGGGTTATATATCCCTGTTCCAAATACTGCGAGAGAGCATTATTTATTTGTTGCCCATGTTTCTCTTCCCTCTAATCTTGGTGGTTTCATATAACTTACTTATAGTAATTTATTCTTTCCTAAAACTTTGTGCATTTTATTTGCTTGGAGCGACGAGAAACCCCAGAGAATTCTAGTACATGATGAATCTCTTCCACTGTGAGGGATGAATGCATTCTAGTCAGGTTTCTCTTCTAGGTAGTCATTTGAATAACATGAAGGCGAGGCTTCATCAGAAACAGACTTCCTTGCTGAACAAAGCCAGAAGGCCATTGCTTTTAAAAAAACACACACCCACAAACCCCACATTTTTGTGTATATATGCAGTGTTTATGAGATTTAACAAAATCATAGCTTGATAAATGGATTCCTCGATTAACAACACAAAACAGCTGCAGGGTTGAAGGTGAGTAGTATAAAGTTCCTGAATGAACACGTTCATTTTGCTACCCTTGAGGACAAAGAGCTGTCTTATTAATTATGCTTCTCAAATCTCAGGCTTCCCGGCCTTTAGAAGCCCATTGAAGTGTGTGGGTTCTTGTGGTCAGATTATCTGCCTCCTGGATTCTTAAATTTCAGCAATAGCATGGTTTAGTCTCCAGAGAACCCTGTGTTTCAGCTGGATTTCAGCTAGATAGAAACAAGACGTGCCAGTTTCCGTTGCCTGAATACCTTAGGCTGTGTTCATCATGTTTCAATAACTCTGATGCCTGTCTTCCTTGCTTTCCTTCCTCCCTCCCTCCCTCCCTCCCTCTCTCTCCCATACCCTATGCAGGAGGTCTCCTCAGATGCCGCTGGAACTCTGACTGCTGTTGAAGAAAGAAAGGAAAAGGTTCCAACCCCCCATCTCAGCCACCTTGTCGTCCTGACATCAGGCAGCACTTTATATGGCTTGGCAGAGAGAGTGGTCGCCACAGAATCCTTGTGCGTTGACTGTCAATCCGTGTTTCTTTCTAATTATTACAATGGACACTTGCAGATTAGTTTTTAGATTCATCCTCCAATTGTTGAACCGCTTCAAGTGGGGTCTTCGTGGTATTAACTTTCTCTCATTGGCTATGACGCTTTGTGCACGATAAGAGCATAAATCGCTTGGGGTTAAACGAGGGATTCATGGTTCAGACTATACTAATATATCCTGAATCCCATACTTCTCTGTCTGTGGCGATGCTTAAAAGGGATGCATTCCCAGCTTTTCTGCATCCTTTTGACTTAAAAATGTATCTTATTTTTAAGATCAATATTAGAGCAACTCTTTTGGCCCACTGGGTAGCGCTGGACCGCAGCCTCCTGAGAGTGCCACTCCATATCAGACAACATACTTGCCTGAACTTCTCCAGCTATATTCAGTTGCCTGGTTGCATTGCCAACTGCTTTGTTTCACTGTGTTCTGTGGTTTACATTTTTGTCTGTGTTCGTGCTCATAGCAAACGGAGCATTTTAATTCAGAAATCATTTGTTATCACTTTGTAACAGAGACAAAGCGTTGGCGCCATTGGGAGATTTCTTACAGAGATATGTGGTTCGTAAAATTAGTGAGCAAGAGCGGAAAAAATTGAGCCCCCTAGCCTCGGCCTCCCTAGTCTAGCATCCTCTTTGCGTCAGGGGCAAACCAGGTCCTTAAGAGATAGCCGCCTGCAGGACGCAGAAGGCCTCTCTTGCTGTTGTTCCCTAGCAATTACTATTTGGAAGCATATTATCTCTGAAGATGGGTGGGGGGTGTTCATATGGCTATCATGACTAATAGCCACTGGTCGGCTTATGCTTCATGAATTTGGCTAATTTCCTTTTAAAGCTGTTAAAGCTAGAAGTCATCACGAAAGATATTGGGAGTTACATCTGCAGGATACGACGTAGACAGGGATCTGGTCCAAAAGGCTCTTGTATTATCTTCTGGAGGCAATAACTTTTTCTAATATTTGTACCGAGGTCACAATGGATTTTTCTCTTTTGTTTCTCAGAGTGTTTTTAGCTGAGCAGTTTGAGTTCCTCCAGTCTCATCTTGATGCTGTAATGCCTCCAGCCAAGAAACCTTTTCTTCAGCAGTTCTATTCGCAGGTCAGGATTCTGCACACATCCACTGTTTTTATTTTTTAAGGGTGGAATTCATTGATTTCTCCTGAATGGCTATATCACCTGCATGACACAGTGATGTGTTGTGCAGTTTATCTGAAGTTTTCCTGTACCATAGGAAGAAAATGCTGTTAATTACACCAGATTCTCCTTGCGTTCCAGACGGTTTCAACAGCCAGTGAACTCCGTAAGCCTATATACTGGATTGTAGCTGCTAAAGCAATTGATTATGAACAGATGCTGCTGCTAATGGCAAATGTGAAATGGGATGTGAAAGAAATCATGTCACAACACAACATTTATGTAGATTCTCTTTTAAAGGTGAGTATCTCTTTTCTTGCATTGCATTTTAATGACCTAACAAAGACAGAAATCATTTCTGTTGGTCCCTTCTTATATATCCTGTGCAACACATTCTCAGCTGGATGTTTTGCTCTAACCAATTTTTTGTTGGCGTTGCTAGAGCTAAAAATATTTGTTTTCCCATTATTAAAGCTGAAGACTTGTGGGTAGCTTGCCAGCAGTGAGAGTAGGAGACCTGCTGGAGTTCAATTCGGTTCATGAGTTGGTATATATCATTAACAAACAGCATTATGGGACTCTCTTAGCTGGAAATATGAAAAGCCTGTCACAAGAGACCACAAATATAGAAGGAAAGCCAAGCTTAATTTAATTAATTGTTGGTGGTGCCAGAATCTGGTCAGATTGACCTTGAGGAGTAATCGTCTGCAATTACCTTCCCTCTTTTCATTTCCATTATGAGTTTTATGTCTATCTGCTAAAGACTATCTGCGTTCCCAGACGTACCTGTAAGCATTAGTCCTTCACTAGTACAATCATAAGCAGAAGTAAGTCCCACTTTACTTGCAAGTGAGTGTGCATAGGATGGTAGCCTTTGTCTTCTGTTGTCCTTACATTTCCTGGACAAGAATAACCGACTTGGGGATATGTGAATTAATTTTATCCAATCACCAAATTATATATTTTTATGAATTCCATTTGTAGGCTACTATTCCGTACTAATTCTTCCCAGTTTTAATCCTTAATTGAGACTAACTTTTTCCTTAGTAACTCACACTTCACGCAGGCCGACTATAATAAAAATATGTTTAGTGTGTGTTGCATGTAGTGCATTTTATGAGTTTATATTTGTATTCTTTAGGGATGGACAAATCCTGCCAATTCTGATTCAGTAATAAGTTGAATTTACTGGATTGGATACTCCATATCCATGTTTGTGAAGTATCATTGGAGCTGTAGATCCCATGAGCTGTGTGGTCTAGGATACTCCCACATATGTGCAGGATATCACAGCATGAGCCAGGTTCTTGCCACACACCCAGCTGGACTATTTAATTGCTCCAAAACTATGGAAGCTACAGTATGAAAAGTGGTGGCATGCCCTGGAGCGCACTAGAAGCATCAGCACATACTAGCCTAGGTTGAGTTAGGTAAGCCTCCATGCAGAAAGCTCCAGGTTCAAACCCTGGCATCACCAGTTAAAGTATCAGGTGACATGAAAGACCCGCCTCCTACCTGAGACCCTGCAAAGCCTTCTGCCAATCAGAGCAGACCTAGCTGGACCAATGGGCTGACCAAGGATAAAGTAGCAGCGTGAACACACTTCATGCCATATGAACATTCCCCGTGTTCCAAAAGCAAATCTTAATTCAGCTACAGAATTTTAGATGATAAGGGAGTTTAGCGGCAACCCTCATGATAACCATAAATGAGATGAAGTATAATCCATTTTCTCTCCATTTTGTATCATTGTGATTTGTGCCTCCCTTTGCTCCCTCTATATAAATGAGTTTTCGTGTCTAGATAGGTATGTTTTGTATGTATTGCCACCACTGACTAATATTCCCTTTATGTTTTATTAGGAATTTGAACAGTTTAACAGGCAGCTGAATGAGGTTTCTAAGAGAGTTCGTATTCCATTGCCAGTGTCAAATATTCTTTGGGAGCATTGTATACGACTAGCTAATAGAACTATTGTAGAAGGGTAAGTGGATTATGACACCTTTTCTAATTTTTTTGTGGGTCCCTCTCCTTGCCTTGTAGCACATGGTTCAACCCTGCTCTTTTCTTGTAAAACTTTAAAATTTGGATGATGTGAGCTAATTAATCAGAGAAGCTTGGACTGTGTGGACCCTGCTTTAGCCTTGAGTTGGATCAAGGATGGGGAATCTTCAGGCCTCCTATATGTTGTGGATCTCTAACTCTCATCACATCCAGCCAGCATAGCCAGTGGTCAAGGATGAAGGGAGTTGAAGTCCAACAACATCTGGAGGGCCAAGGGTCCCCATTCCTTGGGAAGATCGTCTCCAGGTTATATCTCAAGTTCTGCAGTGATCACACCACATGTGTCCATCAGCTGCCTTGCATAGGAGTCATGAGGAATAGAATTCTTGAACTGAGCTTGAGCACAGAGCCACGGTGCATGTGTAACAATATTATTTATTAGGGGAAACCTTTCCTTGCTCACTTCATTACTGGGTCAGAACAGCTGCTACGGCACCTCAAGGTTCTTAGGAACATAGTAATCAAACAATTGGCCCATCTAGCTCGGTCCAGCAGTGGCTCTCCAGGGTTTCTGACAGCACCATTCCCAGCCCTACCTGCAGATGCCAGGGGTTCACCTGGGAATGTCTGCAAGCAAGGCAGATGCTCTCCTACTAAGCTACAACCCCTCCAACATCAATTCAACCAAGAGAATTTATCACTGCAGAAGTATTAATATCACTTTGGGCTGTTTAGGTGCACCCCATACTTGTTCCCTAGATTCAAATTCAGACCATTCATTTTCCAAACCAATTGCCATCTTGAAGGGCAAGAGAAGAGTATTCACAAGTGACGTGAGAGTTGTCCCTTTAGTCCTCTGTAAATACATCAGTCTCCAATAGCAGCTTGATATCCTTACTGCATTCTGCGGCAATTTGCCCACAAAGATGAGGACGTCAGAGTAGTTACCGCGCAACCACGACTGCACACTTATCTGTTGCCTGTCTGTCTTAGTTACGCAAATGTCAAAAAGTGTAGCAACGAGGGGCGTGCCTTGATGCAACTGGACTTTCAGCAATTTTTAATGAAGCTGGAGAAACTCACGGATATTAGACCTATTCCGGATAAGGAATTTGTTGAAACCTACATCAAGGCTTATTATTTGACTGAAAATGACATGGAACGCTGGATCAAGGAGCACAGGGTAAGACATGGATTTTTAGTTCCTCTCATTGGGTAGGAATTGTGGGGAATATCCTTGAGGCAACAGTGGAGGCCATGTAATTTAAGCAGAGGTGGCTGGCAAGGAAAGCGATAAACTTGCTCTCCTCCCCATCCACTTGGTCTGAAGTCACTTGCCCCATGATAAAAAGGCCCGTGAGAGAGAGAGAGAGAGAGAGAATAAGCACTAGGCTTATTTCCCTCATGTCATTATAATCACCTGAGGGAGAATAGGGGGGCACACTGGCAAGCCCCACCCTCCTCAGACGCATTACAGGCCCCATATTGAGAGCTGAAGGGCATTTGATTGGAGCTAGGAGCCTCTACTATTTGTCACAGCAAATGTTGGAAATCATATGGGGATCCCTGGTTTAGAAAAAATGTGCTGGGGACGACAACTTCCCAGCACTTTCTTGCCAGTGTTTGTAATCACATGAGAGGGAAGATTTCCAAATAGGGTTTAAATCTTTCAAGGAAGGGTATAGGCTCCCAGGCTGATATGAGTCCCTAAAGAAGGGTCTGACAACTGAAATGGGTTGGGCTCATTTCAAGAAGCTATTTTCCTAGCATAATGGAGGTGCGTGTCTCTCCCCCCACCCCCTATCCTGGCTTCTGTGTTTTTCCCTTTCTTTTTGATTGGTGCTTTTCCATTCTGTAACAGTCTGTTCCCTGTACTGCTTCCTTTCTGCTTAATATACTAAGTTTAGAAGGCCCATTAGGAACAGTTCTTGATTATTTCTGCGGTTGGTTGCATCATTAAGGAATTGACCCATAACTTTGGCATTGTTGTATAAGAAAGCAATGAGAATAATACATCAGTCAGAAAAACAACTGCTTTCTCATTTTCTGGTTATTTATCCTATAACTATTTTTATACCTTGTTTTACTATACACATGAAAGCTTATAGATATTAAACTATTAAATCAATTTATTTTAGAATCATGAAAGTTAGAATAGATCACTGTAAGCCTGTAGATTCATAAACTGCCCTGGGAACTTAATTACATGGGTGGTATGTAAATGCAGTACTGAATAAATTAAGGGACTAAAACGTTCTCCAAGTACCTTCCATAAAAAGCAATCTCTCTTCTGTTGCTTGTAGGTTTAGGATTTATCAGATCTAAACAATATCCATGAGGCCACGGCTGTTAAGTTCTTTGGGTGCGCTAATGCAGTCCTACCTTGGAAGTTGAACAGAATCTTTTCTGGAAGTCTGTTCGACTTCCTAAATGTTTGACTTCCAAACCACGGCTTCTGATTGGCTGCAGGAAGCTCCTGCAGCCAATCAGAAGCCACGGAAGCCCTGTCGGACGTCCAGCTTCTGAAAGAATGTTCAAAAACTGGAACAATTGCTTCCATATCTATATGCTAGGTTGTCCAAGGCTGGCCTAAGTAGACATAAATGAGCCCCAATCATGTTATGTTCTATTGATGATGCGCTACAATTGCAGCACAATAGCTGTGAGCTCGTAAGAGATTCTGGGTGGTAATAGGCTGGGAAGGAGTCCATATGCTTGCACCAAAGGAAACCTGGAAACAAAGTGAATTGGATGTGTCAGAGCTGTGCTTAACTTTTCTCACTCAACGAGACATCTGAGGCACACAGTGTGCAAACCCACCAAAGGTCACCAATTAATCATCCAGAGCAAAAGGGGGAAAAAATGTCTTGGCAGATTATTTTCTTTTAACATTGGATAATAACTCCCTACCTAGCTCCCAGCGACTTCTTCCACAAATCTTGTTTCAGCCTCTTTTCTTTATCCATCCAAATAGTCTGCGTTGGAACTTATATAGCTCTACTAAATGTGAGCCTTTTTAAAAAGTGCTATTTTTGTACACTCCTCATTCTGAGACTATTGCAACTTCTAAACAGTGAAGTTAGAATCCTAGTTATTCTCACCATACATTGGTTGGAACGGTGCATGGTTGCATTTTTATTATTATTATTTTTAAAAACTTGCAAATGTTGCACTGAGTCAGTAATCCTGGATTGCTCTCAATCTGGCTAGACATTTACTTTTCTTGGATGAGCTTAAACCCACTTTAAGAGCATTTCCACCCTTCTCCCTTACCCAAGAGAAATGTTAAAAGCTTTACCTCTGTTAAATAATCACTCAAATGTTCTGGCAGTGTCTAAAGCAAGAGAGAGCTCTGTTTAAACAGGCAGCTGTGCCCTGGCACATTTCTGTGTTTTTGTAAGAGTTAACAATTATCCTTCTTAAAACACTATTTAAGAAATGTGTTCATCTTTTGATCAGGTACAATATTGCTGAATTTCCCCCCCTCAAATCCTTTTAGGTAAAGCTAAATTGGAACTGTGAGCAGAAGCACTAAAAACAGATTTGCCGAAACAGTGTTGTTTTCTTAGTATCTGCTTTCATGGTTGTTTTCAGTCTTAGCCAGTTTCGCATATTTTTCCCCGAAGAATGGAAAATAAATTTTAAGTGCCTTAAGATGTTTAAATATTCACAGAACTGCATCCCATCCAACGCTTGACTAAAACTGTAAGCATTTCCCCGTGATAATCTGCCGTACTTGTTGCAAAACACCCTTCTAAGCTTCACAACCACAAATAATAGCCACATGTGTGGCTTTGAATATTTCTTCAGAAAGTGACAAGTTCTGCCTTGGTGCATTTTCTTCCTTTTCTTTTTCTTTTAGCAATACGTTTCTTATTTTCTGGGCAGTGTCATTCCGCTTGCTTGGAACTAAAATGTGATTTGCTTTCTTTGCCCAGGAGTATTCTGCCAAGCAGTTGACTAATCTGGTGAATGTTTGTCTGGGGACCCACATCAACAAAAAAGCACGACAAAAACTCTTAGCAGCTATCGACGACATTGATAGGCCTAAAAGATAATAGGAGAGAGATTGCAGGGTTTTTGTTTTGTTTTTTTAACCAATGAAGAGAACGAGGGTATCTCTAATGGACTACTCATGGAATTTGGTTAAATTTGGAAAATTTGTGCCGTATTCCTATTGACTTTGAAGGCACTTTGAATCAGTGCAGTGGGCTTTTCAAATGCAATTTTTATACTGTCTTTTCTGTTTCTTCAGTTGTCAGGAAGGCACTGTTGTACCATTTTGGCTGTATATTTTCCTTAATTGTGTACTATATGGCTAATCAAAATTAGAAGGAAACAAGCTGAGATATTAATATATTTAGTTGGTGTTTTTTTGTGGGGGGTTTTTTGTGTCTTTTTGTAAAAGGGCTGCTAATGCAGTAGTTCACCCTTCTTTGCTCAGAAGGCGGTTATGAACCCATATAAAGAGAACTTTGTTCAGAGTCTTCAGATTATGAAATGTGCATGTCCTTTAAGAGTGTGCATCAGCAAAATATTACTGTAATGTTTAAGCTCATTGCCTTTTTATTTCCTTGCAAATGTAAGTTCATTTCAGAATGAAATCTGTCTTGTCAAAGGAATTGACCACAAATTATGGGAAAGTAATAAATACTGTACACTAATGCATGGGCTTGTGGAATCTCTTTCTAGTAGCTTACTTTTTTCCACCCTTCATCATGGATGATCTCAAAGGGGGGGGCGGGTTGCAGCATTTAAAATTACATAAATTGCATTTAAACAACAATACTCGGAACGTACAGAATCAATCCATTGTCCCCATACCATTGCACAGATCCGTGTTCCCAGATTATTCAAATGCCTAGAAGAAAAGGAAGGTGACAATGCCAGCTGGATCCCAAAGGGTTGTCATTGCACCATCAAGACGCCATTGCTGACACTCCAGGGTGTGTGAGATCCCAGGATCCCGCTCAGTAATAGAATTTCAAGAAGGATATCCAAGCATTACTTTATGCTCCCCAGGAAACTCTACTGCTTAGGGGATAAATCTTTTCAGCAGCATATATAAAATCTGAGACTCAATATATTTTAAAAAAGTATCCATCCTCATATTAAAACTTCTGTGGGCAATGATTTTGAGCTCTGCCGTCTTCATCTATCCAATGGCCACGTGAAGAGTTCATACAGGGGGTGAAGCTGAGCTTTGGTGAATCCATAACATTTATCTGGAATTCAAGGAAGAAAGTGACTAGTGAGGAATAGACCTCACTTTCTCTTGGCAAAATTGCCCTCGCAAAGCAGATTCTTTTTCTCAGCTCCAGCACAATGCATTTCACGCAGAGCGAACAACTGAACCAAAGAAAGGAAACAAAATAATGATTGGATCCGTGAAAAATAAAGTTTGCCTTGAATTTGGACCTCTGGATATTAATGTTGCCATTAGAGATGGACATCTGTCTGTGCTTTTATGTACTTTGAGGGCTGCTGCTCACATTGAGCGATGCTTGAAATAATTCACTTTCTTGGCTCATTGCATACTGCAATTGTATTCCTGTTCGTATCAAGAAGGCAGCACTTTTTCTTATAGCAGTGCTTGTTTCAATATAATGTGGTACCTGTTATCAATTTCTATAAAGGAGAAACCATTTATTAAACTGCTGTGGGCCAGTGAATAGTAACAACACCCCCCTGCCCGCAATGTGCATTAATATTCCTCTCCAAGCAAGTAATAATGCTATTTTTCATAGCTAGAGGACTCTCTAGGGCAGGGGTCTGCAACCTTTAAGACAAAAAGAGCCACTTGGACCCGTTTCCGAAGAAAAACAACAACTGGGAGCCGCAAAACAAGCCAAATGTAAATAACCACACATTCTTCCCCTTCCCCCATTCTCTCTCTTTTCCCTGAGTCTATTTCAGATAGCAAAGAGGGATATGGTACTTCTCATATCCATTTTTTGCAAAGCACCATGTGCATAGAGGGCATTATACAAATTAATACATAGAAAAGTGTCTGTCCCTCCCTGCAGTTCAACTCCCTCTCTTTTTACTAACAGCACATATCCATTCCTTCTGCTGGTGCAACTTTCTCATCATTTCTACATAGCAGCATTTATAAACCAGTGCCAGAGAAACTGGGTGAAAGGAAGGTGAGAGGGAAGAGATATGAATATTTATGTGTGTATATGTATACATACATACACCTACACAATTACAGGTTTGAAGCCAACTTAAAATAAAAAGAGCTGGTAAGCAAAGGAATCTGTGGTGCTTTCCATGGGATCCGGGGACATGTCAGCTAATACTCTTCCCTTTCTTCTTCATTTGCTTGTCTCTGCAGCAAATCTCGAGGGGGAAGGGAGAAGGGCAGGAATTGCATAGGCACGAGAGAACGGGGGAAATCCCGCATGCAGGATTTTGGTGCCTAACAGCCCCCCTCCCTCTGCAATTGCTCTCGTGCTCCCCCGCCTCTCTCTGAGGCCGAGATGCTGCATCACGGCACCTGCTGGCTACCTCTGGACCCCCTCCTCGTCACTGACGTAATTCACCCCTTCCTCCCTGACAGGGAGGGCGGGCCCATTTTGTGGTTCACCTCAGGTGCTCTCCCTCAGAAGCAAGGCACGGAAAAGGATCCCGAAGCACCACCGCCACCCCTCACACACACACACACAAAAACCCCGCCCCGCCATTTCCCTCGAGCGCGCGCTCTCTCCCTCGCCTCAGGTGAGGCAGAACTTCCCTCCGGCGGCAGCAGCAGCAGCAGCAGCCCTTCTCCGGCCGCCGCCGCCTCCTCCTCCATCCCAGCAGCCGCCGCCTCTCGAGCTCCGCTGCCGCCGCCGCCTTCCTTTGCCCGGCTCGGCTGCCCAGCTCCATCCCCCTCCTCTTTCTGGTGCTTCTGCTTTTCTGCTCAGCGTCCCCGAGTATCTGCGGAGCTACGGCAAAGGTGTAAGAGCCGCATGCGGCTCCGGAGCCGCGGGTTGCCGACCCCTGCTCTAGGGACACAGCTTATCAACAGGTTGTAAACAGCAGCATATGGGAATATTTAAGAGTTAGAGTTTGGCAGAAGCAGACATCAAATCACTAACCAAATACCAAGTTTACTGGGCTACAAGACATGTACGTGTGTGTGTGTGTGTGTGTGTGTGTGTGTGTGTGTGTGTATGGTGAAACCTGCAATAACATCTGCTTTATGTTTCTTAGCCTTGTTGTATATCTCTAAACAGCAGGTGTGGAGAAGCTGTGGCCCTATAGAGATTTGACTACATCACCTCTGATCGTTTACTATGCTGGCTGGGGTTGATGGAAAAGACGTCAGCCTACATAGGAGCAAACTCCAAGGGACTGAGGTCCCATTGCCCCTTCCCCCCAAAAAAAATATTTGAGGGGGCCAGCCACCACCACCCCAGTTGATGGGCATTGCCATGCAAATGGTATCCGCCACGTCTTGTGATCAATTATGTGGGGCAAGGCTTACCTGCCCCATCCCCAATCTTTTATTCAAGTTGGCACCGCTGTCAGCCTATAACATTCTTCCATGCCAGTCCATGTGTTGGTTGGGTTTGCCAAAGTAGCATATTGGTTCAGCGTGTGACTTACGAACTGGAATGTTCCTGTTTTTCCACTTCCACTGCACCACACATTCGGTCGAGCTACTTCAGCATCTGTCGTCGTGGGAATAATACGGACTTACTTTGTAGCCTTTCCTTAATGATTACTGGCCTAATTTAGATGAAACTCACTTCAGAATAAAGGCAGGAGGAGAGCATCACATCAGTGGCACATCTGTTAGGCAAAGAAGGCACATAGATTCAGATCGGCTGCCAAACTCTTGCAAGTGAGTAGAAAGAATGAAGGGGGGTTCCTGAATTTAACTCTATTTCACTAAGAGGCTTGGGGCTGTCAAAAACGTAGGTGTGCTGCAGCAGGAAAAAAATAATGCCCTAATCAATTTTTATTGAGAATCTTGGACGTTTTCCCCTCAATGAAAGAGCTTCTGTAAAGTTCATGGGAACAATAGGGGAAGGGCCTTAGCTCAGTGACAGCGCATCTGTTTTGCATGCAAAAGGCCCCATATTCAATTCCTGGCATCCCCCGGTAGCACTTGGGAATGTCTTGGAGCTAACCCCCCCCCCATTGATCTTCCCTTCTACTACACCACTAATGAGGGGACGCGAGTGGCACTGTGTGTTAAAACCACAGAGCCTAGGACTTACCGATCAGAAGGTCCGTGGTTTGAATCCCTGTGACGGGGTGAGCTCCCGTTGCTCAGTCCCTGCTCCTACCAACTTAGCAGTTTGAAAGCACGACAAAGTGCAAGTAGATAAATAGGTACCGCTCCAGCGGGAAGGTAAACGGCGTTTCCATGTGCTGCTCTGGTTTGCCAGAAGTGGCTTAGTCATGCTGGCCACATGACCCGGAAGCTGTACGCCGGCTCCCTTGGCCAATAAAGTGAGATGAGCGCTGCAACCCCAGAGTCGGCCAGGACTGGACCTAATGGTCAGGGGGCCCTTTACCTTTACTTTTTACACCACTAACGGAGCGAAGGACGAAAAGGACGGGAATTCTGGTCATATCTACTTCTGAGTGAATATGCTTAGGAATAGGCACTATGTGGTTGCTTTTTGTTGTTGCAATTTCTTTGGTGTGTTTGCCTGCCGGCTTAAAATTGAGCTGTGGCTCATTTCAACTTCTTTTCACTTGTTCTCTATTATTATTATTATTATTATTATGTAAGGATAGAAATAACATCACCTCTGTGAATTAGCTTGACCGCTGAGTTGCTCCATGGTCTTCAGCTGCCAACACTGGCTGGTATGTTTAAGGTAAGCCAAATGATTCAACTGCTGCCAAAACTTTTTTTTTGCGGTTCTTTCTTCAAGCTAGCAGAACTGTCAGTAGAAATATCTTTCTTTGAACTGTAGATTTTGGAGAACCACCCCCACTATACATATATATATTCAAGCTGTTTGCAAAGTCCTTTTTCTGGGAACTGGTTTATTTATTTTAGGGCCTTAATATTGATTGGCATTGTATGGCAGCCAGTGTATTTGGCCATAATTCTGTGAAAAGTACATACACAAGAACATATGTTGATCAGGTCTATTTGGCAGTGGTGACGATTTGGATCTTGTTACAGGAGGCACTAAGGCTATAATTTGGTTATACTCTCTGACGTTACAGTGCTCAAAATCTATACACATCTTGAAAACAAAAGGCCTATATTTAACCAGCATTACCCAACACGGATGAAGTAGAGGTGGATGGGATCTGCCACCTTGAGAATTCGAAAACATTCAACTGATGAGTTGGGATCTGCATGCTCTTCTGAATAATTGTTCAGACCAGTGCTTTTTTCTAAAAAAATATGTTTGGGGGTACTCTAATTTTCCTACTCATATTGAAATACTGCCCCTCAATGAAGCCAAACCTAGATTCACAAAATGTTTAGGGGTATGCGTACCCCTGCCTCCCCCCAGAAAAAAAAGCACTGGTTCAGACTGGTGAGTTTCCACCTTGGAGCCAGTTGCCAACCTCCCCTTCTTGGGCAAGGCTCTTAAGCAGGTAGTTGTGGACCAGATCCAGGCGCTCTTGGAGGAAACTTACTTTCTAGAGCCACTGCAACTGGGGTTTAGGCTCACTTTTCCCACAGAAACTGCTTTGGTTGC